CTCATGTTCAATTTAGATTACTTAATAATGATGTTAGATTGTCTTTGAAAGAATTTGGCAAATTATTTGAGTTAAAATCGGATAGACCAATTGAACCTCCCCAAGACAACATTGCCGTTGTATATCAATCCCTTACGGGGGATGCAAACTTGAACCTCCAACATGCCAAGGGCACTTGGATACAACATCCCGTGCCAAAGTTTTGGCAACGGTTTGTTGGCCTTACCATATTTGGGAGGCATGAACCCGCCAATGTTAGGCGGGATGAGCTAGAATTGTTAGGGTCATACATGATACCTAGGAGTGATAAGCTCAACATTGTCCACAAGATGGCCAACCACTTCCAAAGGGTGGCCAATGCGGCCAAGGCGGGTAGGTCTAGGGTACCCATTTATTTTGGTGGTCTAGTAACTCACATAGCGGTCAAACACCTTAACTTTGTCCATAACAACGAAGGGAAGGTAGCCGACCCAACAATTATGGACCTACCCTATTTAGGTGGCCTAAATTGGATAAATGGAATAGGAGGTGAAACTTGGTGGGTGATTCAAAGGGAATCGGGTAGAAGGGACAATGCTTTTACTTTGCCCAACCCCGCCTTGACCAAATTTGAGAAGGGGAAGCCTTCTTATACTTTTGAGATTAACGGTCAAGGTGAGGTTCAACCACCTCACCTTTCACCACAACCCCACCAATCTCCCCTAGACCACTCCCCTTATCACCATTCACCACAATACCCACCACCTCCACCCTTCACATATGACATTCCCACTTCCTCAACCAACTACAACATTGACCCCAACGCCCCTTATGACTTTTCGGCTTTTAGGAGCCAATTGGATAGGATTGAGGTGGGGCAAGGGAGAGTCGGGAGTATGGTTAGGAACTTGGACACTAGAGTTGGGTCTATAAATAGACGGGTGGGGTATTTGGAGAGGAACGTCGGGAGGGGTTTGTACTCCATGTATGATGATTATGCCCGTCGGGGGGCTATTCCCCCCAATTCACTTGTTCCCGATTGGTTCCAATATCTGCAAGGAGGATACATAGACCCAATTGCCTACGGTACCTATGTGGACTACTCATCGGTCCATGGTTATGGGACCGATGTTCCTTTTGGTGGGCTTGGGGGGAATGTGGACCCAAACTACTTTTCAGGTGGTTCGGGTTATGGAGGTGGTGGTTCGAGCCATGGAGGAGCCGGTTCTAGCCATGGAGGGGGCTATTCGAGGATGGTCGAGGATGAGGAGTAGGCTACACTCTCAAGTCAATGAGGGCATTGCTTGATTTGGCTTGGGGGGTGATCTTTCGCTTGGTAATTCTCTTCCTTTTCTCTTTTTATTTGCTTTCTAGTATAGTTTTTATTTTCTTTTCTAGTGTAGATTCTTTTTGCTTTCCTATATGAAAATACAAAAAAATTGAAAAATAAAAAAAAATCCAAAAATACGTTCCAATGAATTGTAAATCATGCTTCCCTGTGCCCCTTATGTAAGAAAATTTGTTTTGATTCTTGGTTATTGATAATGAGCATTGTGGATTTGTTGGTCATGATTTGAAGTTTAATTGTTTGGATTCCTAAACATGCGTCAATTTTGCCAACTATTTGTGAATATAGTGCTTGACTAGTTGATTTGGTTAAGAAATGTGTGATAGTTCCATAGTTCCTGGTATGTCAATGAATTTGAGTATTGATTTGCAACTATGAGTAGTGTTTCATGACTTATTATTAATTTATTATGCACATGAGGAGGACGAAGGCATTCATTCTTTTAGGTAGCCTTCAGAGTATTTAGATACATTTGTTCCCTTCTTGCTACCCATGTTGTTGCTTGTGCCCTTTTATTGTTTATTTAGCCACATTACAAGACTATATGAGCCCCATTGGTTACTAATCCCAAGCTTGGCTTGGGGGAGCTATTAGTTGGTGAGGTGAGGGAGTTGTGGTGTGCACATTATTTGCACAATGTGGGAATAAAAGAAGAGTGATTGTTCTTTGATTTTTGATTGGAAAATATTGATATGTTGTGTTTCAAAGTTGAACTTTCCAATATGAGTTAAAAAGAGAGAAAAAAGAGCAAAAGAAAAAATTTTAATGCTCAAATTTTCTATTTGAAGGTTGTTCAAGAAGAAAAAAAAAGAAAAAAATTCAAGTTTGAAAAGAAAAAAAGAGAACGAGTTCAAAGTTTGTATTTCATTCATGTTCTACATTATCATATTTTTATGAGTGAATTTTGTAAGTAATGGGTTTGTTTATGTTGATTGGAGTTGTATTTGGTGGTTCTTGTTGGAGTTAGTTATGTTGTTGGAGATGTATGATCATCATTTATTTTTTATCATGGGTTTGTTAGTATTTGGCTCCCTTAATGCATAGCTTTTCTCTCACATACTCCCAAATTTATCCTACCCTTTACCCTAACCTTACATTACAAGCTTTAAAGACCTTCCGACCTTGTGCATAGAGTTGTGGAAATGTGAAAGTGTTGTTTATCAATGCAAGTTATGACTTGACATATTTCGAGTCGACTAGTAGGTTGAGCGTTCATTGTTTTAATTCACGAGAGTGTGAGATGGGTGGGCATTGTTCACAAGTAAAGGGGTTGGTTGGAGAGCGATCGAGTACATCTTTTACTCGCCACATAAATGAGAGTTGAGTGTGTGAGCACTAGTCTTGAATTCTATATGCTCTTGTGGTTTGCTCTATTTGACAATTGTTGTGGAGGAAGGGTGATTGGTTGAATAAGATTGATTGATGTTGAAGCATGTTCATTAGATTTGCCTTGAATCGTTTGTGTTTGATTTGATTATTGGGGTGAGGCATGTTTTATATGTTCATTGATGAGCTCTTTGCTTAGGGACAAGCAAAGGTTTGGCTTGGGGGAGTTTGATATGTCCATTTTATATAGTAATTTACCCCCGTCCCTTGGTCATAATTAGTAGTGTTTTTGGCTATTTTGAGCCACTTTTATTACTAATTGGTTTTTTCTAGTGTTTTCGTAGTCTTTGTTGAGTTTTGTAGGGAATTGCACCTTTAGAGCATTTTCTCGGGTTTTTCATGGAGCGACTACGGGAATTAGAAGAGCACGACCATCTTTGAAGCCCAAAGCCGGTTAGAGTCATCGAGCCGGTGATTAAGGGCTCGGTAATCGGGATACCGAGGTACTTGGACCGAGTATTCAAGACCCAAAGAGGAAATCCGGATTGGGCCGAGGAATCAAGCCCAATCGAAGTCCGAGCCTCGAAGTGAAGCAAGGGCCCGGTCGGGCAAGGATTAGCACGATCGGGCGCGGCATGCATGGTGCTGGTGCATGGCCTAAGGCACGCCCGATCGTGCGAGCTTCTAGCTCGATCGGGCGGCGCTGCTGAGAAGGGGCATGAAGAAAAAGGCGCGCCCGATCGGGCGGCCTCTAGCCCGATCGGGCGCGTGTTTTTATCAGACCTGATTAGTTTAGTTTAATTTTTGTTTTGAGGATGTTTAAGTACGAATTATGTACTTAATTATTTTTTACCATCTTTTTTAGATTTTCTCTCTCTACTTAGGATATTTCTCTCTCTTAAATTCTCTCTCAACTCTTGTTCTTAATTACTTCCATTAATTCAGATTTCCTTTGGTAACAATTTCTTCTCCTTTAATTTCAGCTATTTCATTTACTTCTTTGATTATGTTTTGTTTTATTTATTTGATTAGTTTAGTTATGATTATGTCTGAGTAGTTTCATTCTAAGGTTTATGGGGATCCATAATTAATATGAAGGGATAATTCGTTATTATTTATTATTGGTATTGCATGATAATTTCTTATTGAATTGTTTTAATTCTTTGCAATTAGATTATGAATCGAGCAGATGTAATTTGATTGTGAATGTTTAGCAATATTGAATTGATGAATCGAGCAGATGTTAATTTAATATTATAAGCTTTTTTTAATAGGAACTTAGATCTAGTAAATTGCGAGAGCCTGTTAGATCTATGTTGATTAATAAATTGCGAGAGCCTGTTGATCATGTTATTTGTGCAATGTTGATTATTAGTTATTATGTTTTATCCCGGAATATTAATTATTGGTGAACCTGTGACCGTAGGCTTTCTTATTATTGTTTCTTTTCTCCCTAAACTTATTCTTCGTAGTATAGAATTTATTCCCAAAAATATTGGTTACTTAGATAATTTAGATTATAATAATTAATTAGGAGTAAAAGACTTATTTCCCTGTGGAGTTTGACCCTACTTCCCTATCTACTTTAGTTAGAGGACTTAGGTATTTATTTTTTATTAGGGGATACGACTTTACCCTGTCACTCCGCCGTAGCACCGGTCGTCGCTTGGGCACTACCATACGCCACCCAACTTAACGCCATACTATTTGCATGCCCCGGGGCTAGAAGTTCACACCGGGTGTCTTCCTACACAAGTATATATAAAAAGAAGATAGTTAAATAGGTCTTTTACTACAGCATAGATAATATAACAAAATTCATTAAGGTAGAGGGTTACAAATCACCTGTAACTCTGGATATTCATGCGGTGTTGGATTATCATGCTCCCTCGAGTCCGCATGTGTATGAGTAGGAACCTGCAACAGTACATCAATCATGCCACATCAGATCTCAATTAACTCAGTATTTTAAAACTTTTAATAACCTAATTGATTTTACCTCAGGTGGCACATCTTCACCACGTATCTCATCTCCTCCATGTCTATCACCTTCTCCTTGTCCTTTTGGTTGAGAAAATGAGTCAACTGGGGTACTCGCGAGGAACGACAAAGTCGGTAAGTTCATCTGCTTCGCCGAAGCATTGAATTCACCTACTAACTCGTTGCGTACTTGTTCCTTAATTGATGCCACCTTGGCATCCAACTCCCCCGACGAGTTAACACTGGCTCGAGATCTGCCCGATTTCGTGTATTCTGGACCCATCACCTTTTCCATCCAAGCAATGACCCTCCCGAACCTACTACTCGTCCTTGATGGAATGGCCTTACCAAAGCCATGGTGAAAGGCTCATTCTCCACACTTGGTTAATTTTCCCTCCACCAGCTCTTGAGTGTGCTCAAGCTATAGCAAAAGGAAAAATGAGGTCAGTAAGACAGTTAATGGTTTGTATAGTGATTTAGATGCAAAAGTGACTTAAAATTCAACAGTTCATAGGTAACTTACAAGCTTATCTGCCATTTTTTTGGTTTCCGGACCCTTGATGACCCATTTTCCGGTTTCCTTATCAAATGTATGGAAAGAACAAAAGAAATCACCAACACGACTCACCAAAGTAGTGATCGTGGAACTAGAGGGTTCCTTCGATGCCACTAGAAGCGATTTAGGGTATAAACCCTTATCGACCCACTCAGGTCTCTTTTCACCAAATGTCTTAGGCCCCATAAGATGGACGTATTCCTTCATCTCTGCATTCTTTTTATTTTGCTCTCGAAGTTCCTACATTAAAACAAATGTTAGTATCATTGCTACAAAAAGAGTTAAGCTATTATTCAATTAAGATTAGATTTACACAAACATACAATGGCTTTCTTTTGAGTCTTCATTCTAACGAACTCTTCCCAGTCATCTTTTGACACGGTCGGCCATTTTTGCCACGGGAGAAGGTCATCCTCATCAGCTTTCTTCTTCTTCTTATAGATCCACCCATTAGTCAAGTTGGTCTTAAAGCCTCTAAATCTTTCCGCTAATAAAGATTCAAACACCCTTCTCTTCTCGGGATCATTAGGAATAGAAAACAGCCTCTGCAAGCACAAATTAAAACCGATTATTAGTTTCGATTTAGTAATAACCATAAGGTTAAGGTTTCTTAAATTGTCTAAATGTGCCAAAAACACACTTACCCTTGTATCATCCCAAAATGTTTGAATCAAACCCGGAGGTACTTGCCACATTACAAGTGTAATGGGGATTTTCCGCACACACATTCCAACCTGATTAGCATATTGTCGACGCCATTTGGGCCCGGGTTGGCCGTTGTGTCATACTCCATGACCATGGGACCGTCCAGTTTCTTAAAACTTCTCGTCGGACCCCCTCCCTTTCTTTGAGTCGGTGCCTTTACCCCCCCTCCACCACCTGTGTTGTTTTGATCTTGTCGTTGGCAATGAGTTTCAGGAATCGGGTTCTCACCAACTATCTCACGTGCTGTATTTTCAATAGGCGGTGCACGTTCAGCTAAAATTTCAAATTCTTCAAGCCTACGCTCGAACTCATCTTGAGCCTGATCCTCTGGCTCGCCCAAGTTATCCTCCTTATTCACAACATAAGGCTCATCATCGTCCTCGTCCTCATCCTCATCCTCGTACTCGTCCTCATGCTCATCATCGTCAATGTCCTCTACACAATGAGGATCATGATCGTCCGCCATGAGATATAAACACTTGTCAAAGCAATCATAAAACAATATTAGTGTATAGTAAAGTATAAGTGCAAATGAGTACACTTAGGCAATTTCAAACTACAAGCATGTTAAATATAATGAATATAGGTTGTTAGAATGAATAAATGTTAGTTCATACACAAAACAAAGGAATTGGGTTAAGTAGAAGCTATTTAAGCCATTTTTACCTACTTATGGTCCTATAACCTTGTATATGCATGATAATGAGTACACTTAGGCAATTTCAAACTACAAACATGTTAAATATAATGAATATAGGTTGTTAGAATGAATAAATGTTAGTTCATACACAAAACAAAGGAATTGGGTTAAGTAGAATTTTCACCTACTTATATATGGTCCTATAACCTTGTATATGCATGATAATGAGTACACTTAGACAATTTCAAACTACAAACATGTTAGTTTATGGTCATTTTCTCCTACTTATGCTCCTATATACATGATAACTAAACTATATTTGCAATGAAACCATTACTAACTTTTAATCAAACTACCTCAATCTGAAATTCCTTCGTTGTGGTCTGATCGCATATAACCTGCTTCGTTGTCTATGTCATCTAGTACCAGGTCTAGGAACAGTGAAAGGTGCTGAATCATCAAACACATCATATTCTTCCTCATCCTCAACATCTCCAATGCCTAAGATTCTTCTTTTGCCAGCTAGCGCTATAGACCATTTTGAATCCAGTGGGTCAGTTACGTAGAACACTTGCTTAGCTTGAGATGAAAGGATAAATGGTTCCGCACTATCATTCAAGTGGCCAAGTTCTACAAGAGTAAAGTCCTCATATTTGACGTTACGCCTGATATTATCAACCCACTTACACTTGAAAAGTGCAACCGTGAAGTCACAATAATCAAGCTCCCATATTTCTTGAATTCGACCATAGTATGACAACTCTGCATCGACAGGTGATTTATCCTTAGAACTTGCAAACTCCCTTGACGATGCCACAAGCGTTACACCACTGTTTTGGGTGGAGGAAGATTTCAAATCACGACCCTCGGTCCAAAAAGTGTACCCATTGATGTCATATCCCTCAAATGAGAGTCGCCAACAAGTTTTAGGAACTTGTAAACCGTTCACGAGGTGAAGGTTACACCCCTTAATGATACTAACATGAATATTAGGAAATAAAATAGGAAGCATCGCAAGAATCATAATAAGCATATTTGATATTATAACATATGCATTTTCTCTAAATATAATACTAGGAATCATTGTTGTCATTCAAAACATCAAGAATCCTAACATGATACTAAGAATCATAATAACAACCTAGACATGATTTCTATATCATAATATCAATAAAGCAATTAAAGCACTTACTTGGATGCCTTGTATCTCTTTCTAATAACAAAATACACACGTTAGTAACTTCAAGGAAAATAATAATTAAAACAATCAAATTAAATAATTGAAAGAGAGATTTTGGACCAAACCCTCAGTAATTAAAACCTTTCACGTCTAGGGCGAAGGCAACTTCGAATATGGCTAGGTATATCTAAGTCTTGCGAATGCGGAATTTTGTATTTGAGAAAAGGGCTAGTTTAAAAAAGAGAGAGAGATTAGAGAAAGTAATCAAGAATATCTTGATGAGAGTTGGTGGATGAAAACGGAGTTTTTAGGAAGCTATTTATAGAGAAAATCAGCCAAAAAGATAAAAAAAAACAAAATAGAGTTCTGACGCGTAAAACCGAGGTTAGCGCCAGACGCTGACATTAGCGCCAGGCGCTAACGCTAGCGCCAGGCGCCAAGCTTAGCGTCAGGCGCTAATGCTGGCGTTTGGCGCTGACTAAAATATTGACGCGTTTTCTAAAATCAAATAGAAATTGCCGTACAGGAGGATAAAATCGTATTTTCCTCAAAAACATTCTTTTATTCTGATTAAAAATCTAAAAAGTCAACAAAAGTCAATTTATCAATGCTAATTGAATTAGGAATGAAAAGAACCTTCTAGAAGAATCTAAAAGACTAAAACCATTCCTAATTGTATTAGGAATGATAAATCTATATTAGGCCATGCTCTAGATCATTGGGCCGCATATGAGGCTCAAACCAGGCCCAGTTCAGTAATTTGGCCATAACTTCCTCAATATTCATCGGAATTGGGCTTATAATATATCGTTGGAAAGCTCTTTTCAAGTCCTATCCAACTACACTATTATTGGACCCATATCATGGACCAACAAAACTGGATTGGCTGTTTTCTTAAAATAGGTTTTCAAAAACAGAGAGAAGAGAAAAGAAATTAAAACTATCCGCAACACTAAACGTTTCACACTTTCACTTCATTCAATTATGATTCAACGTGAAAGGTACTCATCAGGGTTTGGTTTTGGGGAGACACAAATGGGTGTCTACAAGTGGCTTGAAGAAGTATTGAAGCTGATAGAAAATTGCTTTATTTGTAATTTAGTTTGTTTTTGGTTGTGGTTTGTTGTATTGCCTTTGTTGTCTAGTCTTGCTGTTGGTTTGCAGTTGAGTCTAGGATTGGCATTTGTTTGTTTCTCCTGTTCTCTTCTCTTTGCACCCTTCCTGGAAGGTGGCTAATGTTGGGAATAGGTGTTGTTCCTGGTTCTATGGTGAACCCTTCCTAGAAGGTGGCATCATAGGTTCCAGGAACTTGTTGGGGGTTTGTGTGTCTGTGTTTACAGACTTGTGTAGTTTGGGGGATGCAGCTTAGCTTTTGTAAGGCCCTGTTCTCTTCACCTTAAAAAAATAATATTAAGTAAAAATAAGTTCAGTTTAGTAAAAATAAGTTCAGTTCAGTAAAATTAATTTCAGTTCAGTAAAAATAAGTTCAGTTCAGTAAAATTCAGTTTTTTTAATGAAGAATTATAATAGAAAATCAGTAAAAATAATTTCAGTTCAGTAAAAATAATTTAAGTTCAGTAAAAATAATTTAAGTTCAATAAAATTAAGTCCAGTTCAGTAAAAATAAGTTCAGTTCAGTAAAAATAATTTCAGTTCAGCAAAATTAAGGTGAATCAAACCGGGCCTAAGTTGTATTGTTCTTTTCTCCTTTTGGTAATAAAATTTTATTTGCCAAAAAAAAAAAAAACCAACAAAACTTAAAAAAAAAAAAAATAAAAAAAAAAACAAAAAGAGAGAAAAGAAAACAGAAGGAATGAGAAAAATAAAAACTAGAAGTAGAAGAAAAGAGAAACATTAACAGGTCGAAGCTCGAAGCCTGGCCAGTCGCCGGTAAGTCGCTTCTCTAAGGGAATCGCCGTTCGCAATTCTTAGGGTTTTGGAGAATTGGGGGAAATCAAGTGCCGGAATCGCCGTTCGCAATTTTTTGTATTGTTACTTTGTTTCATTGATAACTTTGAACAATAGTTTCTTGCTTAATTTTGATTTTTGCAATTTTCATTTGCCATTTTGTTACTAAAATGTTGAATTTGTAGGATATAAACAATGTTCGAGGGACCAGTTCGACAATTGCTACTTGGTTATCTTGGAAAATACATCAAAGATTTTCATCAACAGCAACTTAAAATCACTTTAGGTAATTGTATATTACTGCGTTATTAATTGATAATGAGAATTATGATACATTCGATTAAGAGGAGTTTACAATATAGTGATGTTTGATACTTGTATTATTGTTTGTGTTGTTTATTTTGTTCAGATGAAATTGTATTGAAGGATGTGCAGCTTATTCTTGAAGCATTTGACTATCTTCAATTGCCGGTTGCTCTCAAACAATGTAATTCTTAAACCCACCTATTCGTACTTGTAAACTGTAATTTTTTCTTAGGAAATTTCATGAAAGTGCGATAATACCACGTGGCTCTAGAGTTTTTGAGATGATTGAGAAAAATGTTACTCCCTCCGTCCCTAAATTACATTCCTCTTTCTAACATTTATTCCTCACATAATAGAGAGAAAGAGGAATGTAATTTAGGGACGGAGGGAGTAGTTAATATTGTGAGGTTAAACCAGAATTGTTTGTTATGTTTGCCAAATTGACAAATATTATGGGATTGCCTTAGTGTTGAAATTTAGTAAATTTGTAAATATCATCATTTTTACCTTAATTTTATACAAGTTATAAATCAAAAATCATTTTTCTAATAATTTCTATGTTTATGTTCTACCACCCATTGATAATTTATACGAAGTATTTACTTGTATTTAACGTGTATACTGATACTATTTGACCCTTGTCTAATTAGAAAACTATAAGTTTTACAAAACCAGAGTATAAAGCAGAAAAAGGATTATAACTTGGTATCATAGAGGTTGCGAGATGTTTTGGAGATCTAAATTTTCTACCATGTGCTATGCTCTTAGGAAGATTTAAGAGTAGTCTTGCTAACTTGGTTGTGACTTATCTGAAAATCTGAACACTATACTCCTTATTTCAAATTAATATCCTTGCTAGGTTTCAAATTCCACAATTTGAGGCCTTTACTAGGTTTAATATATTAGTGATTATTGAATATATTTTTTTCCCCACCTTGTCATTTTAATTTTCATGATTTTAGGATAATTTGCTGAATGATTGGTTAAGGTCCTTGTCGGCATGAGCCTTTCGGTTGTTAGCCCTCCTTTTGTACATGAGTGATACTCCATTTGCGTCTTTGTAATATATCTCCGTTTTTTAATTGTTGCAACACTTCTCTAAAATAGAAATGTCATAATACTTGCAACACACTATAATTAGAAAGATTTTTGGGTAAAAATTGTACTGTTACAGCTCATGGCCCACATAATAATACTATTTAAATCACTCAACCCCATTTTATGTATATTTGATCACGTGACCCACTTTTCTTAGATTCCGTGAAAAAGTGTGTTGCAACTATTAAGAAAACGTAGGAAATATATATTAAGGAGGTAATAATTTTTCTTTTTCCTTGGAAGATTGCATATAGAGGAAAATGTTGTAAAATTTTTGGGCCTTGTTAGTAGCAAAACTAATGCCACTTGGATGTTGGAACCATATTTTCCTAACTATTGGGTAGGATGATACGTGGAAGGTTAAGAGTACATTTATCCTTACCTAAGTTTTCATAAGTTGGGGTTATGCCAGTTAAGAATGGGGTTAATATGATGCTGCAATATTAGTTTGTAAGAAAATTGCCTATCATTGCTGAAACTTGCAGAGGGTAACCCTTGGGGGGGGGGATCTTTTTTTTTTTTTTTTTTTTTTTTTCCCTTATAGTTGTTTTATTGCTATTGTTTTAATCCGAATCACCTGTCACACAAGTCAAACTTATGATGATTTGTGCCAGTGATTTTTTTCTTGTTTTCTTTTTGGTTTTTAGAGTTGTTTAAAGTATGCATGTTTAAATTTTATGACTTATTTTTCATTAAAATCCGCATTTGATTGACTGACAGGTCATGTTGGTAGGCTTAGAATTGGAATTTCTTGGAAAAAGCTGAGTTGGGAGTCTTGGGACCCTATTGTAATAAGCTTAGAACTTGAAGATGTCCATTTTTGTGCTGGTCCACGTGATGATCATGAGGTATCCCTATCTTCTATGCACTTCCCTAGATGAATTCCTTGGGGAAAAGCATATGATGCTAGCCTGTTGTTTCTCTTTCTTGCGCATTGGGTAGAAAATGTACTTTGTTATCTCATTTACCCTTATATCTGCAGTGGAGCGTAGATGCTGTTGAAAGAAGAGAATTAGCTGCTAAAAAAGCAAAGCTTGCTGCTGCAGAGTTGGCAAAACTGTCAAGACGTGTCTGTGGTGAGACATGATCTTATGCCTCTTTATCATCTCTTAATGATGTACTTGTTGTTGCTCGAATGAGTCGTATTGAATGTTATAGTCTAGGCTAGTGCTTTTATTAAGATGTTCTTGACAGGAAGGTAAAGGTAGGAAGGTAAAGGTAGACAGATAAAAGTATAATCTACTAATCAAGAGACAGCCAATTGTCAAAAAAAAGTTGTGGAGAAGATGAAGGATGGCAAAGCAAAATTTGCTCTGATATTATAATTTGCCCTTACTAGGAGCTTCTTAGTTTGGAAAGGAACCATCAAAGTCATTGGTAATGAGCCCTTGGTCGACGTTTGGCCCTCGTCAATCGTCATCAAGATCCAAGGTTTCCTCATCCCAGTCTACTACAGCATTGCCAAAGTCTGTCACTATTATATGCTGGTTGATTGTTACTTAGTCTAATTAGTTATTAGTGGTGCTGTTTGCTGTTTTGTCAACTACTCCACCTTCTGCTGTCTGCAATTTAGACAGTTAGCCTAATTATCTGACCATATAGTTTTTGGAGTTGTTTTGGTGTCATCTATAGATGTTAAAATAAAAAGGTAGATGTGATGGGAGATGGTTGGGTAGTAATATGCTAGAGATTAGTATGAGAACAGTAAGTAAATCAGCTAATTAGAGAGAGAAAATAGCAGCCAAGGGGATATTTGTATTTCTAAACAGAGAATTCAGTAATACAATGCCTTCAATACGAGAAGAAGGAACTCTCCTACACAACAATCTTCACAATTAATTTTCTGATGCCTTCCCCTTAACCCTTAACACCTATTAATACCCCATTCAGCAAGCTACAGCTAAGAGAATCCAAAATAACAAACTCATAACAAACTTTCATATAGATTACTATTCTACCCTCTTCTCCCCAAAACTGATTTTAACAAACTTCCAACTCAGCATTCTGATTAATTCTTGAGCCTTCTAGAATAAGTGAAGCGTATATTGGGCTGATTCCTTGCATAATATTTTCGAATTAGTTGTGATAGAGATAAGTGGTTGGCCAAGGGTAGTAAAGAGAACTAGAGAAGTAATAATAATAGTTGGCCGTTGCCAGAAAAATAGGCAATCTAAATTGGGACAGCTGAAAAAGGTAAATGTAGGCAAACTAAGTTGGGGTGGAAAGAGTATTTAAATAGATGCATGATTAAGTAAAAGAAGAGTATGACATATGCTTGCCTTGTATTTCTTTCTCTCCTTTTCTTTCCTCTCTAAATTCCTCTTCTCCTTTTTATTTATTTGTTTGTTTTTTGCAGATAATCAAGCAGGGCAATCATTGATCTCGCATGTGACTGGAAGGGTGATTTTCTGTTTTGTTATTGCTGTAATTATTGGAAATTAATATTCTCTTTAAGTGTTGCTCTTTGAGTTTAGTGACTTAAGTCTGTCAAAGTACTAACATTATACAAATTTGTTTGTACAGATCCTTGATAGCATTCAAGTATCTATGAGGAATGTTCATATAGTATATTGTGATACAGAGTCTCCATCGGTATTACTTTTCTCTTTATAGTTACTCTCTTTAATTTCTGCGAGATGAATTTTCTTGTTATTCTATCTATGTGTATCTGATATGATGGTTTTTTTGTTTTGTTTTTTTTTTGTTTCAATTTTTATGGCTTTGATTTTCAGTATTTGTTGCTGATAATAGATACCAGAGTTAGTGTTTGTGAGCCTGTTTGTATGTGTATATCTGGTCCTAGATTTTGCTCATCCACACTGTAGGATTCTATTGTGTGAATGAATTTCTGTTTGGTCTGACAATCATCTTCCTCCCTGTTTTTCCCTTGTTAATTGTTATCTTCCCTTATTATTATTATTATTATTATTATTATTATTATTATTATTATTATTATTATTATTATTATTATTATTATTATTATACAATAATAATAAAATTTATGCTTGTATATACTAACTCCATTTCCTTAAAATTGCAACAACTTTACTTTCATATTTACCAGCTTACATTTTTTACCATTAATATCATTAATTATCTATTAGTAAAAATTTATATAAAATTGATTCTTTGAAAATATAAATAGTGACTAATCCAACAACATTTTACATTATATAAAATACGGTTGATTTATTTATTTTTAGAACTTTTTATAAACATATGCATGTTTGTAAAACGTGTGCTCAAAGTTAATGTATTGAAAACATTAGAAGTTGTTTATGTAGGGAAGCTTACTCTGATGTGGATTTTGTATGTTTTGATCGAAGTGTTACATTTGCAGTATCAATTCATGTACATGGTAGCTCGATGTCATTGTAGATTTGTAGTTTTCACTTTGGTTATTTCATTTTTGGCCTCTTTAGCTATCAAATTCATAAGCATCCAATCACCTTATCTGTTTTCTTAGGTCAACATGCTAATGTTTGATTCCTTTCATTAATAATAATAATAAAATTTATGCTTGTATATACTAACTCCATTTCCTTAAAATTGCAACAACTTTACTTTCATATTTACCAGCTTACATTTTTTACCATTAATATCATTAATTATCTATTAGTAAAAATTTATATAAAATTGATTCTTTGAAAATATAAATAGTGACTAATCCAACAACATTTTACATTATATAAAATACGGTTGATTTATTTATTTTTAGAACTTTTTATAAACATATGCATGTTTGTAAAACGTGTGCTCAAAGTTCATGTATTGAAAACATTAGAAGTTGTTTATGTAGGGAAGCTTACTCTGATGTGGATTTTGTATGTTTTGATCGAAGTGTTACATTTGCAGTATCAATTCATGTACATGGTAGCTCGATGTCATTGTAGATTTGTAGTTTTCACTTTGGTTATTTCATTTTTGGCCTCTTTAGCTATCAAATTCATAAGCATCCAATCACCTTATCTGTTTTCTTAGGTCAACATGCTAATGTTTGATTCCTTTCATTAATAATAATAATAAAATTTATGCTTGTATATACTAACTCCATTTCCTTAAAATTGCAACAACTTTACTTTCATATTTACCAGCTTACATTTTTTACCATTAATATCATTAATTATCTATTAGTAAAAATTTATATAAAATTGATTCTTTGAAAATATAAATAGTGACTAATCCAACAACATTTTACATTATATAAAATACGGTTGATTTATTTATTTTTAGAACTTTTTATAAACATATGCATGTTTGTAAAACGTGTGCTCAAAGTTAATGTATTGAAAACATTAGAAGTTGTTTATGTAGGGAAGCTTACTCTGATGTGGATTTTGTATGTTTTGATCGAAGTGTTACATTTGCAGTATCAATTCATGTACATGGTAGCTCGATGTCATTGTAGATTTGTAGTTTTCACTTTGGTTATTTCATTTTTGGCCTCTTTAGCTATCAAATTCATAAGCATCCAATCACCTTATCTGTTTTCTTAGGTCAACATGCTAATGTTTGATTCCTTTCATTAATAATAATAATAAAATTTATGCTTGTATATACTAACTCCATTTCCTTAAAATTGCAACAACTTTACTTTCATATTTACCAGCTTACATTTTTTACCATTAATATCATTAATTATCTATTAGTAAAAATTTATATAAAATTGATTCTTTGAAAATATAAATAGTGACTAATCCAACAACATTTTACATTATATAAAATATGGTTGATTTATTTATTTTTAGAACTTTTTATAAACATATGCATGTTTGTAAAACGTGTGCTCAAAGTTAATGTATTGAAAACATTAGAAGTTGTTTATGTAGGGAAGCTTACTCTGATGTGGATTTTGTATGTTTTGATCGAAGTGTTACATTTGCAGTATCAATTCATGTACATGGTAGCTCGATGTCATTGTAGATTTGTAGTTTTCACTTTGGTTATTTCATTTTTGGCCTCTTTAGCTATCAAATTCATAAGCATCCAATCACCTTATCTGTTTTCTTAGGTCAACATGCTAATGTTTGATTCCTTTCATTAATAATAATAATAAAATTTATGCTTGTATATACTAACTCCATTTCCTTAAAATTGCAACAACTTTACTTTCATATTTACCAGCTTACATTTTTTACCATTAATATCATTAATTATCTATTAGTAAAAATTTATATAAAATTGATTCTTTGAAAATATAAATAGTGACTAATCCAACAACATTTTACATTATATAAAATACGGTTGATTTATTTATTTTTAGAACTTTTTATAAACATATGCATGTTTGTAAAACGTGTGCTCAAAGTTAATGTATTGAAAACATTAGAAGTTGTTTATGTAGGGAAGCTTACTCTGATGTGGATTTTGTATGTTTTGATCGAAGTGTTACATTTGCAGTATCAATTCATGTACATGGTAGCTCGATGTCATTGTAGATTTGTAGTTTTCACTTTGGTTATTTCATTTTTGGCCTCTTTAGCTATCAAATTCATAAGCATCCAATCACCTTATCTGTTTTCTTAGGTCAACATGCTAATGGTTGATTCCTTTCATTTATTACATTCATTGTAAGAGTGTTTTTAATGGATAGATATAGTGGTCTCCATGAAATTTAAGCAAAAGTTTGTTTCATACTAAACAGTCTATGTCTTCTAATCTTATTTTAGGTCATATTAGCCCACACTCGTCTTTGGAATGTAGGATCTAGTAACAGATCACATTTCTTTTTGTTTTATTTAAATATTTATTTATTTAATTTTCTATGTGATATGAGCTGGATGATGTTTAAAGACTGAATCAAATGTGCACCAACTATTTCTTTGATGCAGATGCTTTTTGGTTTAAGATTTTCAAGCTTGGAGATGAAGCAAGCTCCTGATGGGTAATCATTTGTCCCTGCAAAGAAATATGTGTATGTTGCAAGTTAACTGTTCATAATGTTCCTTTGGAAATTAGAGCAATGCATAAATATGTACTTCTTGCGTTGCTGGCAAAAATTGTTTGAGAATTTCAATGTTAATGAACATCATAACCAAATCAAAGATGTTCTGATTTGAACTGCTCAATCTTTATGGTCTGGTTTGGTGTAAGCTGAATGTCTGATGCCCTGATGTGATTTAACTTAAACTGTATTTAACACTATTGTATAAGAAAAAACATTGTCATGTGGGTTCTTGTTAGATTCTTCTCAATCTTTACGGTCTGGTTTGGTTTGGACTGCTCTGATGTGATCAGATGCTTTCAAGAATAACTATGGAGCAATAAATTTCTAAAATAAGGTGAAAAGAACTAGTTCATAGTTTTATTGTTTACTACTCCGTATATATCTCATATAAACTATATAAATGTTGTGAGCTTGTTGCATATTGCCTCTCAAAATGTTTGTGAGACTTGCTGTGTGTTAGCAGCTGATGGTGGTCTTGAGTGAGCACTTGTCAGCTCTGCTCAGTCCTGTCTTGCCAAGTGACCTCGATGAAATAAAGTAAAAAAGCTTACCTATTATTTGCAAGCTAGGAAAAATAGTAGCCCAGCTAAATGGGGGATTTGATGATTCAATAGAAATCCTTTCTTCTTGTGCGTGTTAGGTAAATATCAATCTGAAATAAGAGGGATTTGAAAGTTTTCCACAAAAGTGTTTTTATTTTTTATTTTTTTTTTAATTTTTAATTTTATTTTTTTAACAGTGAACAATACTATTAACTCTTGTCAAAAACAAAGTGCTTTGAAATTCTGCTTTGCTTGTTGGTCTTTGCCTTTACTACTCCAATCTTGGCAGTTAGGCTGTTGTATTATTTAATATTATGGGGTTATATCACTTCAGCTGTTTCAATCCTTGTTGAGCCTTTTACATTGTCTTCTGACTGTACCTACCTCATCTATAATTGATTACCTTCCAATCTTCAATTACTTGCATTGGTCAATGTAATGCCTTTTTTTTTTTATTATTATTTTTTTGTTCCTAGTTTAATAGTATAAGTAGCATGATTTTTGTCCATCTACTGTTTCCAGGCCCTTGAGCTCAAAGGCAAGAGGTGGTCAGGTCAACAAGACTGTGGAGATCTATGGTCTGGGGATTTACTGTTGCACCCTTGAAGGGTTTCTGAATTCCTTGAATGCCAATGTTATTAAAGAAAATGTATTGTGGCAATATGCAACAACTAATGTGGATAAATATGACTATTTAGTGACACCCTTTGATTTATCTCTACAGGTATTGATGTCTGCATTTGTCTATACAAAAAACTTAAAAACCTTATTACAGTATAGTTTGTACATAAAGTTGCTTCTTTTAAATTCCCATTTTTTAATTGATCTAAATCGTATTGATAGGCTCTACTGTGGCTTGTAACCTGATTAAATTTTTTGAAAGCTTTATTTTTTTTTCTAATTGAGAAACTAGTACCATTTGTTCCTTGTCATTCTAGACATGATGAATCTTGTTTTGAAATGAAAATTGTAACTTATGCCTGGCCCTGATACGATTGTCTTGCTCTACTCAAGGTGACAAAGTCTGGAAAGCTTGAGCTTGATGCTCCTCAATATTCTGTTGCCGCTGAGTTGACTAAACTGGTTGGTTGATTGATATGGAGCAATCTCTGGGTTCCAAGTTATTGAATGTCTAGTTAGTTTCTTTACTCCCCTCATTTTTTTTTCTGTCAGGTCATGACCATAAATCCTACTCAGCTACAGCACATCTTGAAGTTTTCAGACTATATCTGTACATGTCAGCTGAGGGAAAAGTAATTTCAACTCATATAATCTACTACTTTCTCTTTTCATGTTCGCACATAATGTTTATCTGCTTCATTATTTTTCTTGTTGGAAAAAGTTATCTTTTGAATTTTAAGCTCTTGAGCAAGTTTAATTGGGCATGTATTGAAACAAATGCTATAGTCCCAATTGACACCGCAGCTTTAATTCTGTTGGACATAATGTGTTAGCTTATCAGTTGTCTGTGCAAGTGTATACACAACTGGCTGCCTTTCAACCATAGGCTCAATTAGGCTGTCTTTGGCTTATCATTTTATCAGACATCTTAAGATCTTGTTTCTTTTGGTATTGTTCAAATTTCTGCATGCTCATGTAACATTGCTCTGATAGTCTGATCTATTCCACTTTTATTAATGTTTATACTGTTTCAAAAATCTGAGCTACTGACCACTTACCTACCAAAACAAGCTATTTTCCACAGGACACCAACTGAAGATGGTCAAGTGTCATGTGTTTCTGAAGCTAATATCAAATACCATTTCGCAAATCTATGTACTTTAATTGGTTTAATATTCACCTCTTGTCAGTTCTATGACCCTGGGCAGAAGCAAAAATGACTTTATCATAACCATGATGCTATCTTTTGAATCCCCACTCTGTAGGTATGGACGCTACCGTCCTTGGGACTGTCCATTATCAAAGAAAGTGAAAGGATGGCAGAAGGTCTGGTGGCGCTATGCTAAAGAATCTGTTATTTTTGATGTTCGTAAGAGACGGAAGAAAACATCATGGTGGTATCTCGGGCAAAAACTGTATGTATATCAATATAAAATTTTCCCCTTGTTTTGTTTGTGTGTTTTATTTTTTATTTTTTTAAAGTCCGCGTTTCAGCTTTGAATTGAGTATGCTGGGCTTTAGTTTTCCTTAGTCTGGTTGTTTTGTTGAATCAATTTAATTTTTTGCAGGAATTTTATCTGATGTTGTGACATTGTATGGTCAAGATTTTAACATCATGCCTGTGTTATTTTGGCTAATACATGCTGTATGCTTTAGGAATACTTATTTAAAAAATTTTCCAGAGTTTTGTACCATATAAATCTGGATCATAGACCAAAGCTCGTACTTAAATAGTTTGCGTCAGCTCGAATGCATGGAACTAGTGGGACATTTTTATTGTTAATGTCAGCAAGGGTGACTGGGGCTTGGTTTAGTTGGTTTTAAAAATGTTTACACAGTCTAAAGAATTCCTCAATATTGTAGATACTAGTACCACCATTTAGAGAATGAGATCAAAAATTTCTGTTTAGTGTTTACTCCCTCCACTTGGAACTTTTTGAGTTTATATGTATTTTTAGGAAGTATTGCAGGTATTACATAAAAATGAAAAAACTGAGATGCTAGTAAATTGAGTTGGGGTATATTAAATTGTTTGTGAGATAGAGAAACAATAAAAAATTAGTGCAAGTAAGGTTGGGAGAGAAACATAAAGATCGTATACTAGTGGGGCTATTGGAAGAGAGAAACAATTAAATATGGTGGTCTCTTGCTAAAGTAGGAAGTGTTGTTGTAAGTACTTGTATTTGGAAACAGACATAAAATGCAGCTGTGGCAACTTGCAAGTGTTCAGGAATGGATGCATTATTATTTTTAAATAGAACATTTTGTAATTTTTTTTTATATAAATAGATATCTATGACAAGACTCTCATTATGACATTTGTGGTCAGTCCTTTAAGCTGACCACAGCTTTGTTGAAAATTCATGGATTTTTAAATTGTAAAATGCTTTTTTTTTTTCTTACAAAAATAATTGCTCTCATAAGCGCATGCTTTTATAATTTTTATGGACATATAATGGTAAAGTACACATTTTAAGGTTTAAATAAATGGTTAAATTTTGTTCCTATGAGGGGAGTACTCACAAGAATATAAGTTCCCACAACTTTTTAAGGTGTAGTATGATGAAGTACGACTTTTCGCCCAGTTGACATGTAGTTGTTAATTTGTTTTGAACTATCTGTCCACCTGATCATATTAATTTCAGCTCCACTGGTATCATTTATATTGATCATTGTGTCCTTCTGACTGAAAATTTTGAAGTCTGTATTTATTTCTATCATTAGTACCATGCAATCTTAGCGGCAGAATGGCAGATTTAGCACAATGTCCCCAAAATGTTTGGGATGGAAATCATAATTCGCAACTCATTGCTTTAAAGTTCATCAAAATGTAGTTCTGTTATGTTCAGCTGGCTAGGGTTTATTGCCAGACCTCTTTATTAGGCTGGACCAAATTCATTGCCAGTCTAAATCTTTTCTTTTGACGTGATGTTTTGAAGTTGTTTGATGTTGCCATTTTTTTTATATGCTTGATTTTAGGATATTTGTCTTCTGAGCATCTTGACATTCGTTTTTTCTTTTAAATGGGTGTTGTCTCTCTCTCAGGATATATATATATATATATATATATATATATATATATATATATATATATATATATATATATATATATATATATATATATATTATTTTTCTTGCTGAAGTAATTTACTTATATCTCCCAGAGTTCATCTTCGGAAATATGTGAATTTGTACAAGGTCAAATTGGATTTCCTTCAGAGGGAGCAGGTAACAATGGTTACTGATTTTGGAATTTGATACCTTTAAGACAATTATATTGTTCTTGTGCAGTTGCACTTTTGCTGTGCTACATCGACCTACAATTTTTTTTTTTATATATATGGCGAATGCAATTGTGCGGAAGTAGAAGTATTTTCTGTTGCAGAGACCAATTTTAGAATCTGTATTTGTTCAACCTCCTCAGTCTCAGGCTCTCAGCCACCTACCCTACACTAAATATGTCCCAAGATTTAGTGCGTAATTCCATACCTAGTCCCTGCTCAGACTACATATCCAGTCCAGCATGCAAAAATTAGTTTCCAATCAAATTTCCCTTAAGGCTTTCATTTATTGCATTGTAGTATTTTACTCGATTAGTTAAATCGAGCCAGCCATGTCTTTATGGTCAAGGCCTTACTTTCAAGAATCTTATTCTATAAGAGCAATTGGTTTGTGACTTTCCTCAACCAATCACGTATATGATATTATTCTATCCAAAGAAGTTGTGGACGCTCTTTTTAGTTTCGTCGTGTTTATAACTTTCTCCAAGATTGTCACATGTTTACGACTTAGGCACTTTAATTGATGAATCACTATTGAACTTTGTATGCAGTAAAGATTAGGTTTGGGGGCTAGACCTTTTCAGTTTACAAGATATAAACTAAAATTGAGTATGCTTCAAAGATATTACACCAAGTACTATTCCAAATGAGACTCAATCAGTCAAATAAAATTCCGTATAGCTAAAACCCCCCCTATCATATTCAAACATGATAATATGAAAATAGAGCTGAAAAATAAAATCAAACTAATAGATGTTTGGCCTTTTAAAATGACTTTCAATTTCTGATATGGATGGAAATTAAAGTTCAATATGTGGTAGGATGTATATGTTGTATTTATGGACATGGGTGGGAGTGTTGTAGCTTTTGTATACTTTTATAGTTGTTTATATATAGAAGGAAACAATCAAGTTAAAGCGAGGGGAACGGGAAAATTGGGATCCATGTGTTGAAATGTTGGTTAAAAATTTAATTACATCTAATATTACTCTAGAAAGATATGTGTAGTTGATTCTAATAGAAATTTATAAGGTCATTTTTTTTTAAAATTTAAATGTAAAAGGTAGTTACTTGCAAATGTATTTTATATTTTTATGTCCTTATTATATTAAGCTTTTTACTTGCAAAGAAAATACTTTGTATAAAGTAACAAAAAATATGTTTAATTCAATGGCGTGAGTGAGTATTGTTTGTGGGCGCACCTTTTACACGTTTTCTCATCATTCCAATCTTCATGTTGCATTTTGAAATTTCTATAATTATTTGAAGGGATCCTAGCTTGAAGGTAATATTTAGTTGGTGGGTGAGTCAATTATGTTTTGAAGTCTTTATCTCAGTTTTCTCCACGCTAATCCTTTTGGAGTTGACGAGATTAACAAGAAAAAAGTGTTTGGAATTGTGTGTTATGATGGTTCTAATTCTATTTACCTTTTATAGTCTTTGAAGGCATGAACTTTACTATCCATAGCTCTCCTTTTGTGTATTGTCGACTTGGAATCATCCCCTTGATGCCTTTCTTTGGTTTACCTGCCCCTGCCTTAGTCACTCAAACTTCCTATCTTTATTTTTGGATGAAATTACATTATTGCCCTAAAAAAAATTGTAGACTTAGTTAAATTTGTTACTTGTATAATACATTGGAAGTACATCAAGTTAACCAAACAAAACATATGAAGTTGATATATAGGGAATACAATTTTCTTTAGTTTTAACCAAACATGATAATAGTATTTCCTAGGAATTATAACGTCCCATGAATTGTTACTTCCTATGGTATTTAATTCCCGAACGCAACCAAACGTGCCCTAATTATTTCAATGAGACCAACATTGCTGGGAAGCCTTTTAAACTGGGGAAAAATGAATTCCTCTTGTTTTATCTTTATAAATTTGATACTTAGTTGATGTGGTGTTCATGTTATCCTGTTTACTTGGCCCTTTAATTTGTTCCAGCCAGTTGATCAAGATACACAATTCAAATTGGAGCAAATGGAGAAGGATGTTGACTTGGAGGATATCTTACGGTTTCGATCTATTGCAGAACAGGAGTTAGAGGTATCTTAAAACTGGCTATCAGATTTTTGATTTGCAAATAGATAGAAGTTGAGTTACTATGGTAATTAGGAATAATTATCAAAACTAAACCTTTTTGGTGTACACCAAAAACAAGTGAATTATCTCAAAATGTTACAACCTTTATTGGGTATCCGCCTAAAATGCGAAATGACCTATTGGTAACTTGTTTAACAGATAAGTGTGACACATGTCACTATTTAATTGGTCTGGATTTATCATTATTTTTCGTTTGATTTTTAGAATATTAATTCCAATAATCCTTCTCTCTATTCCCTTTCACCGGTGCTGCTTTGCGGCCGCCCTTACCTCTATGTTGTTTCCCCACTCTCTCTCTTGGCTCTGTTCTTTATCAACTTGACTACAAAAACACCATCTCACCCCCACCATCACCACCGTAATACAATCAAACTTGCTATGATATCACAACTTTAGATGTTATGTGTTTCCCTAGATATCTATATGTTTACTTGTCAATGAATGCTCCCAAAAGCACGATACCATTAAAGTAGCAAAACAATATGCCCACAAGAAGATGAATGCTAACATTTCGGGTTGTGTTTTCTTACTTGAATATTGTTGCTTCTTGTGTCTTGTCGCTTTTTAAAATATTGCACACCAAATGTTTGATGAAAAGTCTCACTAAAGTTTTCTTTCTTTAGCTAATTTTAATGCCGACGTTTGAGCAAGCTTTGGGTTTGTTGCCAAGATGCATTGATGGTTTATTAATTAGGAGTGATGAGACTGGAGACCCATTATGAGCATGGAGGTTGTATGCAGCCTGAGGAAGGTTGTTTTAAAGGGGAGGAGTTGGATTTGTGCAAGTATCTCTAATATAGTAAAGCCATTTAGTGGGCATGAGTATGGAAAGAAGAATAAATGAGGAGGTGTCTGGTGGTGTGGCTGCACGAGTGGAGAAGTTGGTGGTTGTAATGTTGTAAGACATGGGTCTGATGATAATAGGGGAAGGAGATGATGGGGCTGGTGACCGGGCGGATCTTGTGGTTGGGAGGTAGGGCGAGGTGGTGTGGTTGAGAAGCTTTATTTTTTTTAAAACAAAATCCTGATTACCCGGTTATAGGTAGTTTCTCTTGTGAAAAGCGTATACCCTTAAAGATTGTATTATTCTGAGGTAATATGAATTTTGACTTTTTAAGCGGATGACTGAAAGGTTTGAGAATTTTTTCCTTAGTACTGTATATTGAAGAGACAAATATTGGTTTTCCTCATTTTTGCAAGATCACATTTAAGCACTATATGTTAAATAATTGTTAATATCTTTGTAAGGATTCTCAAAGCTCGGTATCCTCTGATGCTATAGAAGGCAGCAGTCCAGCAGAAGATGGTCCGGATGACGAAGTTTCAACTGTTAAATCTCGTGGATGGCTGAACTGGTTATCTCGTGGGGTTCTGGGTGCTGGAGGAACTGATGATTCTAGTCAGTTTTCTGGAGTAGTCTCAGATGAGGTCTTAAAGGTGAATACAAAACTTTTATCAGTATAAAGTTATAATTTTCATTTCCACCTTTTAGCTCTGATCTGGTGGGTCCAGAATCTAATGATGTACTGTTCCTTAGGATATTTGCAAAGCTACAAAGTTTCAGCCTATGCCTAATGTGAACTTAGCTTCCAGTGGCGTAGCATTCCTGTTTGCTGTCAACTTCCACATTTCTGAGATGTCAATATCGATGAATAGCTCGTAAGGGTTCTAATTCTGATACTGAAATTGGGCTTTTCTTATTCTGTTATTTCTTGGATTGTTTCTATTTGATACTGTCTTAAATTGGACTTTTCTTTTGGAATTTACACCTATACATGTCATCTTGTACACCTCTCTAATATTTTCCATATCTTTGCTGATGAATTTTCTCATCCAAATAAACTCATGACATCAATTTTCACCTTATTTAGGAAATTGGGCCAAGAGATAGCAGAGTTGAGCAGCTGTGCCAATCAAATTGAGTTCAATGTCTGGGAAGAATCCACTACAATCCTAGCGAAAGTTGGGTCTGCAAAGGTCACCAGTTCGTCTAAACAGATGGCATTATTGCAAATGAAAAAGGTGTTTTTCACATCAAACATTATTCATAACATGCTTTACTCTTATGTGGACTAAATATCATGGAAGTTGGTTTTCATAGATATATGGTCTAAGTAGTGGAACAATGAAGTGTGTTAGCCTCTTTATGAAAGAGTGATTGCTTTGGCTTCTCTGAATGATCATAAATCTGGGGTAGTACTTGATTTGGACCTGAAAATGACATTGGAGATTGATGCTGCTGTGAATTTTAATATCTTTTGCTAGAGGCTGTTGTAAGAAGAATTTACCTCTTATCTTTAGGATCTGATGGTCCATGACTCCATGGCATGTTCTTCGCATCCTATAATGTGATTATCTGTGATGGATAGATCTGTAGAAACTAGTTTTGGGGAGTTCTATCTACAAATGGGAATGATAATATCTGTGGACATAATTTGTTTCTACTTGGGTTTATGTAAATGTCCTGTTTATGAAAACTCAGGGTATTGCAATTTATGATGATATTATGTAAATGGCTTATCATCCTCATCTTAATTATTTTTATGCTTTGGTAATGGTTACAACTCTTCGAAGCGTAATTTTAAATAGAAGTAAAGCTAAAGCAAAAGCTTTGCTACTTGGGTTTATGAACCTTGGGCTGTCTTAGACCTTGTAATTTGAGAAGAGGCGGGGGATTAAAGGTTTAAATTTTTCTATAATATTTTCAATATAGTTCCCCTCCTCCCCCCTTTTTCTTCCATCTTTATGAAACAGACATTCTTTCTTTCTCTATTCATTTCAAATATAGTAACCCCCCCTCTTCTCCCTCTTCTAACTTTTTGGAACAGACATTCTTTCTCTCTTTTCATTTCAAATATTCTATCTGGGACAGTACATCTGTTCATGTGATACATCTAGTCAAAACCAAACATGTAAATCATAAATTGACCGGACATGGTAATGAACAATTTTTAGCAGTGTATATAAAAGTTTGCCTAGGCGACTGTGGTCAAGCACTAGATTTATTCTAGGTGATGCACTTTCAATGGACCGCCTTTAGGCACATGAGATGCACCTGGGAAGCATTATTTTCTATTTTACACAATTTTTTTGAGGCACTGCAGGACCCATATCTCCCGATTAGTCTTTTGCTGCATTTATACATTGATCCTTAGCGAAATCTTTTATTTTCTTGAGCTTCTTAGATGCATGGAATCTCTCTCTCTCTCGATTAAAAAAAGTTTTGCTCATTTTGGAATGCTGCTGTTTCTTTCTACTTTTTAATCTACAGGTATTCAATGGAGAGAATGGTTTGCTAAGTGGAACATCTCCCTCAAGCATCGAAGTTGATATTGCATTGAAGAATCAGATGGCAGAATCAATGTTCAGGGTATTTACAATACTCATATCCGACATTATTTATTACTTATGAACTTGTACCTGTATACTTTTGAAGTCCTCGTCACTATAAATTGTCATCTTGATGTGACCAGGTTAAGGTTCAGCCAGTTGAAATATATTGCGATTTGGAGTCTCTTCTTCCTTTTGGGGAGTTCTTCAGCGTTATGGGATCCCACAAATCTTTGCAGCAAAGGGTATGCAATTAATTTTATAAATGGTTTAAGTTTCTTTAGGTGCTGATTGCTGCTTATTAGCAAATTGCTTTCTTGTCAACCCCTCTTTTTCTTTTTTGCTAAGAAGAGTAAAAGAGTTACGGTAAAGCTGCACAAGAGGTTTTGTTTGATGTGTGAATTTCAGTTCAAGAGGTTTTATTTCCTTCATTCAAACTAAAGTACGTGATGATGCGACCGAGTTTTGAAACCGTGGTATTTATTGTAGAAAAAGACAAATTTTTTTTGACACAATCCCACCTATTAGTGACCTTATTTTGGTCCGGCCTTTTAATTAATTTAATATAATCCCACCTTAAGCATCCATCTTAAAATGGACCCTAGTAAAAAATGAACAGTTATAACTGTTAAAAACTGACATGGCAATTATATACATATATTTATAAAAGTCCGACGTAGCTAGTGAAGCATAAGTGGAACCCTATCTCCTTTCTTCCTCTCTCCTCTTTCCCTTTTCCTTCCTCTTTCCTCCTTGTCTTCCTCTTTAGCTCTTCTAAAAAGGGAAAAAAAACCTCATTCTCTTTCCTTAATACGGATAAAATCTTGGTTCTATGGTTGCAGCTACCATTGACATGAGGAAGGTGATTGGGGTTCATTGTAATGGTACAGTTTGTCAGTTCGGTGGTCACTGTCAAGAGGTCTGGGTAAGTGGGCCAGTGGTGTAGAAGGTTAGGACATTTGAGCAACAATTTATCTCTTTGGTGTAAATTCAAGTGCAAAAAGATTTGTTCAATTTAGCGTATTAATTTGAAACTATTCATACAAAATCAATCTAATTTTGCGTGAAATAGGTAGTATTTTGCGACTAAGGGCTTGATCAGTTCACCTTATTTTTGCTGATTTGTTGTGATCTGATCTAATTTGGTATGATTTGATCTGATCTTATGTGTACGATAATCTATAAAGAAAGAATAAATAAGGTGGGGTCTTGTTAGATTCACAATAATGTGTATTTTATTAATATATAATTTTCATAAATTTTTCATCACTACAGTAAAGATATTTAGCAATAAATAACCGCACTTAAAACGATAAATTGTGTCGAACTTTATTTTCTAATCTGATGTGATATGAACTTATTTTTTCTAAAATAAGTAAAGATTGGTGAACTAAACATGGCCTAAGTTGGTCCTCTAGAAGTATAGTTAGAATGTTAGATTGGGGTGAATTTTGTAGCGACAGTCACCGCCTCACCAGTGCAAATTGTTGTGCTATGGTGGTTGCGATGAAAGTGAATGGGGGTGGGTTGGGAACTGTAGCTGCTGGGTTGTGGTTGTTGTTTGTGGCACGGACTGTAGCAGCTGGGTTTTGGATGCTAAATGGCTTTGTAAAGGGGTTCTTTTTAATATTTTAATAGAAGAGAGAGGAAGAGAAGGAGGAGGTTTTAAAAAAAGGGGGCTTCATACTTTCACTTAGGGGACGTTTGGTTCACCCCGAGGTAAACGGATTGGAATGAACAAAGGGAATGGAAGAAAATGGAATGAAAATACTCAATATTCTCTATGTTATTTGTTTTAGAAACAAAGGGAAACAATCCCATCAACCCACCACCACACAACCACCCCACAACCACCACACAACCACCTAATTCATTCACTTTCCACCTTTTGTAGCCACCATCCGTCCACCAAACCACCAGCCGCACCTTCGCCGCATATTTGCCGCCTTTCGCCGGCCCCGGGCAGCTCTCTCTTCCCCGAAAATCAACCCCGAAAACCCTAGAAACTAACCTCGCCCCTAGAAATCCCCCCCTCTCCCAGGGGTTTCGAGGGTGGGGGAGGGTCGGACGGCGGTTTTGCGGGGAGAGGGAGGGATTTCTAGGGGCTGGGTTAGTTTTTGCGTGAGGAGAAGAGAGTTTTACGGGGAGGGGGAGAAGCGGCGAGGGTCGTCGGCGGTGGTTGGGTTTCTCGGTAGTGTGTGGAGGTAGGAAGGTGGTGTGGTGGTGGCTAGGGAATGGGAATGGAAAAGTGTAGGGGGGGCGGGGAATGAACTTAGAGGGATTTGAGGTAATGTAGAGGGAAAAGGGAATGAAAGAAAGTGCTAAACAAACATCAACAAAGGGAATCGGGCCAGTTGATTCCCATTTTCTTTCCTGATTACCCTCAACCAAACGGCCCCTTAGTCTTATAGGATTTTTTTTTCATTTTCATAAAAGCCACGTAAACTTACCTGCTCAATCAGACAATTACCAGTAAGGCCTATTTGAAGAAGATGGATGCCAACGGTGGGATTATATTGAGTTAAATGAAAGGTCAGATTAATATGCAAAGCTTACTGAATATGAAAACCTCTAGGTTGTTAATGAAGAAAGACAGAAAGCATGGAAGGATGATTATTGAAAAGTGTATCCTTGTGCAAATTTTGTCACACCCTACCCGTTACATCTTCCCTTTGTATGCTAGTGTACTTGCAATTAAGTACATATTAAGTCTGCTCATACCTTTTCTCTTAAGTCTGTTTAAAGCTCGTACATCTGATACTTGTATCGAAGTTGAAAAGTTTCGGTTATCTGATATCTGATGTCCTAAACTCCAAATATTACCGGATTCTATATACATGATATCCAATATCCAAAATAATATGTTAATGATTTTAATTTTGAATCTTTGTATATATATTTTTTTTAAGAAACCCAATTTTAAACTGAATAAGAGCTCTGAAGTATTCCGGGTATCCAAAAATTCTGAAACTGATATCAGAATTGGTATCTGATGTCTGAAAATTTCAGACCAGATATACGGTTCTATTGATAGTTTTATCTTCCCTAGGTAAAATGTCTAATCCTTTGTTTTTTGCCACTCCTTAGAGTACGCGTTTGTGCTTTATGATGTTGATGTGTATTTGTTGTTTCTCAGGTCCTTTTGTCTCTGAATGGCATTAAAGATGCCAGTTGTCGACTACAATCTAAAGCAGAGTGAGTGTTATAGCATAGTTGCTGAGACATTTTGTTTTTCATGGATACATATTGATGTATGCGATTACAAACCTAAGTTTTGCAGAAGATTTAACATTAAATTCAATGACATTGATATTCTATGAATGATAGCTGGAAGTCACATGGCACTTCCTGACTTGAAATACATTATTACAACTATGGAAAATGACGATGATGTGCTGTGGGGCTGTAAAATAGTGTGTAGAATTAGAATTAGATATATTTGATTGCATGAGAGATAAATGAGAGTCTTTAATATGTCATTTTTTTTTCTTCTGTAATATTAGATACATAAATGAAATAAAAGAATTTATGCGGAAGACTGAGACTGATAGGGATCCTAAACAATAAGCTTAAACAAATTGAAAGAAAGAGGGTTGGGCAATGGGGCTCTGCATGGCTGGCTGAGAGAATTCAAATGAAAGCTTGGGCTAGTGTTCTTTGTTGTTAGGCATTGGCGTTTTCTTATAGTGTAACTAACATTTATTGCATAGAGTTCAATCAATGCAATCCCAGTTATATTAATTATCTGATGCAAAATATTCTGTTTAAATTGTTAATATATGTTACACTCTATGCTAGGGTTGACTTGCCATTTTTGTTGTAGGTGTGTTCGGTCTGGTAGGCAAAGGGTCGTTTGGGATGTTAATTTTGTCAATGTCTCCATCAGTTTCCCTTGGAAAAATGCTAATTCAGAATCATGCAGCTTGGTAATATACTTATCCTTCAAATTAACTCCCAGTTTCTCTTCTGCATGTTCTGGGTACATCCTTTTTGTTTTTTATTTTATCATATTCTCTATTTGTCTTATTATAGGAAATTATCTTTTGCTTCTTCCGCACATGTGTTTTTATATCAATATAATCACTAGTCTTCCAACTTAAGTATTTTCCTGATGCTTCTTTTTGGAGTACAGACAGTACAGACTAATGGTCTATGGGTGTCGTCCAACTTAAATATCTCTTCTGTTTCACTGAAAAAGAAAGATCAATATCAAATATCCCTCATGAAGAGTTTGCTTGGTCGGGAAGATGGTGATGAAATTCTTAATGCACTGCCGCTTGACATATATGACCATTATGAAGTGAGCATGGGTGATTTTCAGGTCAGTCTTGCTTAACTTCATCTTCTTAAATCCTTTTAACTAGTCTTTGTATGGATTGATCTATATGGATTGACCTTGATGTGCAGGTGACCTTGAATGACCCCGTTTTACCTCAAGGATTGTCAGTGGTGGAGAAATTCTCTGTTTCCGTCTCGCTTGCTCATTGCATCATCCCAGATGAAATGATGCTGAAGCAACTAGAGGTGGCTTCATTGTTTAACACCAACTTCATACTTTGTTTTTTTTATTTGTGACTCCAAAAACCTTGATGATCCCTTCTCTCCTCCTCAACTGATAGACTTATTACATACTGCTTTGCAAATCAGCATTTGCATCAGCCCTTAGCAAATAGCATGTCTGACGAAAACTTACAGGATTTGGTCTTCATGGCTTTACTATGTTGATATGGAGTATGGAATTAAGGAACCTGATGCCATGCTAGCACACTTCTAAAATTGCCTTATGCCTTACCAGTCATTTATTGAATCAGAAGAAACCAAATTGTACTCAATTTTCAAAAAGTAGGTTTATCTTATTTGGGTAATTCCAGGCTCTAGCAAATGCATTATTTTGTTTCTCTTTGTTGCGTCTATAGATATTACTCAATTACGTAAGTAATTTAGCTTCTGCTTTGTTGTTCATTATATCATTGTGTACGTTGCAAAAATGCTGACATGCTGTCCAGATGTTTCTATAGTCAAATTTTCATTACAAGGGAGATGCATTCTTTCTATTTCTAACTGTGTTTCTGGCATGCTTTGTAATCCTAGTTGTTTTTATGGCAGGCTCGCTTTATACTATCATCTCTTCATGTGCACTTTTCTGCGGTGATTCATAATGCTTTTCTGAGCCTAGCTGAACATATTCACCTTTTATCTTCCAACTCTAAACAAGTCCTGGAGACAAGCTCCCAACTGCCAAACACTTCATCATGTTATCCAACAATGCCATTTCATTTTTCAATAGCTGCGAATTTAGAACTGTTCAATTTGGAAGTTGATCTTGGTGATTGTCAGAATAATATCTTTATGATGCTCAGTCTACGGAATGTAAATCTGAAGTAAGGCCTAGTTTTACACAATCTCTCTCTCTCTCTCTCTCTCCATTGATTCTGTAATGACAACTTGGTTTCTAATGTTGTATTTTGTTACAAGCTTCATTAAGTTCATTACATTAATATTATAGGTTTGCTCACAGTCAAGTTGAAGATTGCTGGGTCTCTATAAGGGTGATAAAAATCTTTAGCTACAGACAGATGGATAATCGCAAGATTATTTGCTCATCCAGGATGACTGGTGACGAAGATATTTTGCATCAACAAACTGTAAGGAGTGAGAATGGTGGTGATCGTGATTGGAATGAATTAATGAATGGGTGCTTTCTTTTGCATTATGTAGCTGACACAAGTGGGCAGTTAACTAATCATCGTTGCACGTTATACTTAAGTGACATTGATTTTCATTGCTATCCTGATATAGTGCAGTTGCTGGTTGGTTTCTTTGAGAAATTGATGCTTAATGGATCTGGGGTTGACAAAAATTCTCTCTACCAGGAGTCGAATTCAACAAATGCTCTTACTTCTAATTTGCAGAGGTTTGGTGTATCGAATTTTTGTGAAAATGGACAAGCTGAATGGGCAAACATCCCTCTGGATCGATTCCCCTTTATCTCAATACGTAATTCTGGTCGTCTCCGAGATCTTGATAGCGCCATCATTATTCCCGAGTGGATGAATATTAAAATGGGAGAGAAGAATGTTGGGAATTTAGACTGTAAGAAGAATCTAAAAACACCATTTGTGAAGGCCCCTGAGCCAGGTGACAACTGTATGAATTTGAGTTTATTGAATGTGCAAGTAGACATGGAAAATGTTAGAATACATTTTCATGATTTGTCGTGTGTTATAGGTAGCATTACTATACCAGTTGGTAAAGCTTCAATTAGTAGTAACTCAGACCAGTTTGATGTACTGTCTTCTGTTGAGGGGCTTACTCTCTTTTCTGAGTGGTGGACATGTAATTTTCAGGAATTTCTGTGGGGGCCTACACACCCTAATATTTTTCCTGTGTTAAATATACGGATAAGGAGAGGAAGTGCTTACCATATGAATTCTGATTTGGAGATTAGTTTTGGCATTCAGCATGTTTGTTGTGTACTACCCCCTGAATATTTAGCAATATTGATTGGTTACTTTACCTTGCCTGATTGGAGTTCAAATGATGGTGAGCATCAGGCAACAGAGAAATATGACCATATTGATACAGATTATCATGGATCCATAGTCTATAAGTTCGAGATAATAGAGTCCGTCTTAATATCACCTGTTGAAAGCAACAAGAAGCAATTTCTGAAGCTTGATATACCACAGCTTTACTGCAGTTTTATTGAAGATGATGCCTTGGAAAAAGCATCTATATCTGTTTTTTCGGAGTTTTCTATTCAGGAGGATGAAGTAGCTGATAGAGCTCACTCTTTGAATATGTTTGGACGGGATTTGCATCTTTCATTTCTGACTCTTAAGGACTTTGGATCTGAAATTTCAGTATCTGATAAAAATTCTGAGAATGAAAGCTGTACTTTAGTTCATTCACTTGGTGTTGATCTTTGGCTTAGGCTTTCAGAAAATTCAGTCTCACAATCATCAATGTATATTTTGACTAAAATTGCATGCTGCGAACTCAATGCTGAAGGTAGGCTATCCTATAATGACACTCATATTTTTTAAAACATTTATTTTTTGATATGTTCTTCATTTATTATGTCATTTACTTGTTTCTACTTTCTTCTTGGTTCCTGTCACAACAGACAGCAATTTTATCTGTGGGTTTGGAGCATTTACAGAGGTAATTGATCAGTATGCATTGGTTGACAAAAAATCCCAATATTTCAAAAGCGACATTCCCGGATTTTTTGAGTTGATTAATTCTCTCAAGGATATCAACAGTGGAAATCCAGAAGACTCAAGCATGGCAGTGACAGAAATAAGGTGCTGCGTCACATCAATGGCTGTTAATCTAATTAGCTTAAAAAGAGACTCAAATTCTCGAGATGTGATTGGGAGACTGGAGTTGGATTTTATACTATCAGCAACTCTACAGAGTGACTTATTATTGTGTTTGGATATCCAAATCTCTACACTGTTGCTGTCTGCATCGCATAAGTCCATACGTCTAGCACAATGTTTATCGGACAGCGCATGTGCATCAGTTCGTGATATATGTCTGTCCGCCAATCAGCAATATGTTATCGACCTTCACATTGCAATTCCTTCCTTGGATATATGGCTTCATCTATCTGATTGGGTCACGGTGATTGATCATGTGTATTCATGTTTTTTACAATACCCCCAAGGTTCAGTTGGGGACACTACTGGGCGGGGGGAACTTTCAGAGCAGACGTCCCTGCAATCTCAGACTTTATCATTGCCAGGGTCAAACAGGTTGGGAGACAATGCTGTTTCTGTAGTTGTGAAGTCCAAAAACATTAATGTATCATGCCATATCCCTCTATGGGTCAGTGAAAATGCAATTGCACAATCAGATTACTTAGAATCTCATGGCTTGAATTCAGAAACTCATAATTCATTAAGTGGAGGAAAGGACACCAAATTCCTAACAGTTACTTTGCAGAGCCGAAGCTTTGAACTGCAAGTTAATGGCCGTAATTTGAATTTAAAATCTGATTTTGAAAAATTAACTGGGTCAGTGGGAATATGTGAGAGTGGTTCTGTACAGTCTTGGCCATTCTTCCAGCTATTTCAGCTAGGCATAGATATGCATATCTGTGAATATGAGGAAGTCCAAATAGGGGTCAAAGTTCAGGTCCATTGTGAAGCTTTTGATGTTTGGTTGTCACAACAAGTATTCTACTTTTGGCAATGTATTGAGTTTGGGACAGCTGAGGCTAATTCAGAGATCACTTTCAGGACTTTTGATCTGAAACTGCAACTAAAGAAAGCCTCACTTTTGCTCACTGATGGAAGGGTATTTTTCTACCTCTATAATTAAAACATAAATGATTCTGTGTTTGGAAATTTGTTCTGCTGTTCTTATATTGCTAATTTTTCTTTCTTTTTTTATTTTTTTTATTTTTTATATTATTTATATTATTATTATTATTTTTTTAAAAATATCTATTAATGCTGGTAGCAGTTTGGTATCATACTAATCAGCAATCAGTTATATGCTCATGCTCTGTGGACCATGAACAACTTTTTCTTTGCATTTCTTTCTTTCTAGCTTGCTCCTTTATGGTATTTGTTTTCTTTTTTTAAAACTCTACTCTGTTGGGTCAACTAAAGGGAGGAATCATGGTTCGAAATTCGTTTTTAGTTGGAGTGTAGGAACGGTCATAGAGTGGCAAAACTGGAAATGATTTGCTGATCACAGACTGTGTTGTGCTCTCCCTATAAATTTAATTTCAAAGTCTTTTAAGGAGTGTACATAAATTTTGCACTTTTATAGTAGTTAGACTAGACTATTAGAGCCTCCACCTTTATTGTCTAGGTAGAGCACTTTTTTAGCCATAAGCGAGCCGCATTCAAAGTGGTGACTTGAACTTCACATGATCTTTTCATACTCATGTTGACAGAACCCAATCTGACATGACGTTTGGTTTGTATTCTCTAGAAGGAGAATGAGTGCAGAATAGTATCAGGAGGAAGGAAGGAAAACCTTTGTCAGGTTTTAAAAAATGCTAGATCTGAAAAGTCAAAGCTTCAGTCAAAGAGGAAGGAAAATATAAGGTTGGGGCTTTTGATTTCCTGGTCATGCGAGCCCATGAATATGTTTCCCGGCTGCACTGTCAATGCCTATGAGAATAAATTTGTATGAAGTAGTAATTGCACTGTCAATGCCTATGAGAATAAATTTTATTTCCTTAAAACTTGTAGTAACAAAAAGGTTTTGATATTCTTTCCAATATTTAAGTTAAGCCCTTATTTTCGAGCTTCTTGAGCTCGGTACTAAAATATGCCCGATTCATAGAATCCTAGGTGATGGGTCGTATTTGAGTCTACATTCATTTAGCTAATAATAAAAGAATATGTTGTTTTGTTTTTACTGATGATTTACCTAAATATAAAGTTAAATGGTATTAGATTTGTATCAGTGTTAAAATATTGTACTTTTTATAGTATTATACTTACAAGGAATTAATCAAAGTTGTATTTTGACAAAAGTTAAAGCCAAAGTTGTACAATTAAAAACAAGTTAACTTTGTTTACAGTCTTCATATCATAGCATAATTTTTGCGGGTGGATTTAGAGTGTTTACTAGGTATATCAGGTCATTGGGTATCCTAGTATGGGTTAGTTTTGGCAAACACTTGTCAGTGATAGACTTGAAAAATATCATTATTGTTTTTATGATATTAATCTAATGCATTGATTAGCTTCATTCCATTTCACATGAGATTCCTTGACCCTTGATTTTAATCTTTTGTGCAGTTGAGTGGTAATGGGCCTTTGATAGAGTTACTCATGAAGGATTTGTTTTTCCTTGTGGAGAATACCACTAATTTCTCTGCTGAGGGAGACCTGCTTGTCAACTACAATAACATCCACAAGGTGTTTTATCGCAACTTCATAGTGACTCTTTTTTCTGAGACTATAAATCTATAACATATTATTCTGTTCATTTGCAGGTCATGTGGGAACCCTTACTAGAGCCTTGGAGCTTTCAGGTTACTATGACCAGAAATTATGATAAGGATGCTCCCCTTGGCTGTGGCAATATTACGGATGTACTACTCGAGTCGACCACTCAACTGAATATAAATATTACCAAATCACTCTGTGAGGTATGCTCTCGTTTTAATTTCATCACAGAGATGGACCTTTATAAACAAAAATTGCATGTATTTATGATAAAAACGTGTATGCTTGATTGTGTCTCACAGGTTGTCTTGAGGGCCATGGAGATGATCAAGGAATCTAGGGACCTGGTGCAAACATATGAGGTTCCTAAGAGCCAAAGACTGCAGAATCTTCAGTGCATTGATAATTTGTGCACAAGAAGATATGCTTCTTATACCATTCATAACATGACCTCCTTGCCCTTTGTATTTCATGTCCATCAAGGTCTTGGACATTCTGAGAATGTTGATGTGTCTACTTCAGCATACAAGAACACTGTTCAACCAGGTGCATCTATTCCTATTTACATTAATGGGACACTTGAGGAACCAGCATTTAGTGATAGACCAGCTTCTTCTTCTGAAGGGCATAGCAAGAAATTATCAAGCAAGGCTGGGCATTCTTTCATGACCATCCAATTTGAGGGAACTTCTGAAAGTTCTGAACCAATCTCAATGGATCTTGTTGGTCTTACATACTTTGATGTGAACTTTTCAAACGACAACAAGAGGGCAGATGCAAATATTGGGCTTCTTGTACCTGTGGTGTTTGATGTATCTTTGCAGCGATATAGCAAGCTCATACGACTGTATTCTACTGTAAGTTAGATGGCTAACCCTTGTCTTGATGATTACTTTCTACCACTTATGATATATAACATAATTTTCCTTATTCAATTGCAGGTCATATTTAAAAATTCAACGTCTATGCCGTTGCAGCTACGATTTGACATTCCTTTTGGCATGTCATCAAAGGTATATCCAAAGGGAATATTGTTATTTGCTTATTAGCTGCCAAGTGTAGATATGGTGATAGTTTTTTTTGTTCGTTGCATTATTGATATCTCCAACTTCTAACCTCAATCATACAATAGATTGTAGATTCAATAAAACCTGGCGATGAATTTCCCCTGCCTTTACATCTGGCAGAAGCAGGTCACATGATGTGGCGTCCTAATGGTAACAATTATATGTGGTGTGAAGTGCATAATCTTTCAATGATTCTCTCTCCTGAAAACAGGAGTGGATTTTTGAGATATCTTGCTTGCAATCCATTTCATCCAAGCAATTATTTGTTTCGTTGCTGCCTATCTGTTCAAGACATAAGCTTGTCTCTTTCTGGGAGATTGAGGAGATCACCCTGTCTCAGTAGTTCTTTGAAGCAATCGGTCACAGCTTGTGATCAGCCACAGCAACATAAAAGGTCAAAGACCAGGTTCATACATCGTGTGACACTCACCACACCCTTAACAGTTAAAAATTATCTTCCTCACCCTATGTCTGTCACTATAGAAGGTGGTGGAGCTACTCTCACAACAGTAGTCAAAGAGGTATACTGAAGCTTCCAAGCCCATATGTTACTAAAGACCTTGTTTCAGAATTCATTATTAACAATTATGCATGTACCTTATTCTTTAGGTGGAAGCGTCATTTTTTCATGTTGATTCTTCACATGATCTTGGTGTGACGTTCAACATTGCTGGATTTGGACCAGCAGCAGTGAAATTTCCACGTGCAGAGACATTCAGTGCAACAGCTAAACCTAGTGGAACTGTGTTGTCGCTGACAGAAACAATGGCTTTAAGTGCTGATTTGTCTGATGGTAATTTGTTATAATTTAACTTTTGGAAGACCTAATTCATTATGTTCTCTAATACCCTTTATATTTTGTTTTCTGTAAGGTTCTATATATGTTGTGGTTGAGAAGATGATGGATTCGTTATCTGGTGCTCGGGAACTTTGCATATCAGTTCCATTTTTGTTGTACAATTGCACAGGATTTGCACTGACAGTTTCAAGATCAGACCACGAACTACAAGGAAATCATTGCATTGTTCCTACTTGCTATGATTCAACTGAGCAGGGATTATTCATTGATCAGAAGGATGGTCTTCATCTCTTACCATCTGAGGATAAGCCACATCCTAGAGCCTTGAATTATGACAGTGAAAGTTATCTGTCCAAAAAACATGTTATTCCTTCCAAGAAATTCGTTAATCCACATTCAGGAATAATACTAACGCAGTCGTCAGTTTCACATGGTACTTTGTATCATCAATCTGTGAACCAGATGGATTTGGTTGAACAAGAGGATTCTCAAAACAACTTGACCAGGAATTCAGACATTGACAATCAATCCGAATTTAAAGTCTCCAATGTTTCAAATAATGAATGTCTAAAAGCTATCCCGGTTATGTACTCTCCTGATCCTAGTTCTGTTGCTAGTGAAATAATGGTCAAAGTGACGAGGTACCCTGCTGAATATCCAATAGAAAATTTACCCAGCTCATCATGGTCAAGCCCCTTTTTCCTTGTTGCTCCTAGTGGGTCAACTGCAGTTTTGGTTCCAGAACCATCTTCAAGCTCTGCATCTGTTATATCTGTGACATCACATCTACTTGATACTCCACTTATGGGTCGGACAAGAGCCATAACATTCCAGCCAAGGTGATAGATTTCTCTGTACTCTGAATTTTGTTTTCTTTCCTGAATGTACATAGGCATATTAATGAGCTGAAGAGCCTTTTGGGCCCATAACGGGCTGTTTGATTAAGGTTTGTGCAGCTCAACTAAGCTTTAAAAGCGTCATATTTGAGCTCAAGAGCTGAGAAAATGATTTTTATTCTTTTGTATCTTATGTCCTAAAGCCTACCAAAATTAACCTGGCAACTTGCATATTATTTTAAACATTCAAGTACCCTTGAATAATAATTGATACAACAATTACAGTATGCTACGTCATTGGATCATTTGGAATGTGAAGAGTTTCATGAATTTGAGATTTACTTCATACAATTTTTGTGGAAAGTATACTCTACATACTTTGTCAAATTGAGCCTTTCCTTAACCCCTTAACTTATCATGTAATTAATATTGATTGTGTTTCGATATGCTCGGTTGGTCTTGGTAAAGTATTAAGTATAGTTGGAAAGGATTCAGTTCGAGATGTGTAGAATACTAACTTAGTAAGTCTTATGCCTAGAGTGAGCTATTAGTGTGCAATTAGCTGATATTTTTCTATGGTATTCTTGGTTGCATTTTTTATTTTGCAGATATGTGATCAGTAATGCATGCAGCAAGCCTTTGTGGTATAAACAGAAGGACACTGATTTTCTTGTCCGTTTAGGCATTGGGCAACACTCTCATCTCCACTGGATAGATACTACAAGGTACAGTGAACTAAAATGTGTTTGTGCTGTAAGCTTGGCACACAAAATCTGGCAATAATGAATTCAAGAGTGACATACATGCTTAGTGAAGCTTGTGTGGCTTTAATTCCCGTACAACTGGATCTGCTCTTTTATATAAAAGGATAAAAGACTTTTCAGAAAGAACTTATGTTTGTTGCTTCTCTAATGATGCTGCTGTCTTATGAGGGGTTTTTTTTTTTCCCAGCACTTAAATACAGCACCCTTACATACATGACAAATCAGCAAGTTTGCTTGCTTTTGCTTTAATTGTTTGTTGAACCTGCTACAGGGAGTTGCTTCTTACTGCATGTTTTGATGAAACTGGATGTCAGTGGTCAGGCAGCTTTCATCCTGATCATCTGGGCGATACACAAGTGAAAATGCGGAATTATTTTTTCTGGTGCATCAAATGTCATTCGAATTGAAGTTCAGAATGCTGATGTCATTCAAGATGAGAAGATAATTGACAATGCCATTGGCAAGTCAGGAACAAATTTCATTCTTCTTTCTGATGATGACACAGGCTTCATGCCTTACAGAATTGATAATTTCACTAAGGAGGTATGTAGCTGTCTATTGACTGTCTAATTTACAAGGATTGTTGAAAGCTGTATTGTTTAGGACAAAGAAGCATAAATGGTAGAATTTCTTATTATCTTGCTGGTAATGTAGCTTTAAATAGTCTTAATGTGTACCCTCAGTCCCTCAATCCCTGTCCCTGTGTTAGAGTAACATTTTTTGTCATTTATAGGGCAAAGTTAACTCACTACTTTTGGAATATATTTTTTTACTAGCTTAGGTCCCATGCAACTCACGTTTTACCAAATTTTATAAATCATTACAATACTTAGTTCAACAAATTATTACCAAACTAAACGTCGTTTTTATGGAGTAAAGTAACTTTAATTAGTCATGAATACATATTGACATGACCTATAACAAAGATATTGAGGTTATTGATAAATAAGACATTGTATAAACTACGATAGAGATTTCGGGACTATATTGTTTTACTTTAAAACAATGAAGTGATTTTGTACATCTAATTATAAAATACATGATAATAAGAGAGTAAATTTTATGTTGGTAATTGTAAGATATACGAATTTTAAAATTAAAATTGTGTAAATATGTTTCTTAATAACAATTTCCGCTAAATTTTATATAGAAAAAAAATTGCATTTTACCACCCCTCTAAACACCACCTGTTTTTTCGTTTATTATTTTTTAACCACCTACAAAATCGCAAAATTATAGATTTCACAATTCCATTTTTAAAATAAAAAACATCAATTTTTATGAAGGTTTTGGGTCATTTTGGCCCTTTGTGTTCGATTTGAGGTCAAAATTGAAAAAAAGTTATTGGAAATGCCTTGTTGCATGGTAAGTATAAACTCGGTTTGCGTGACACACACAAAATGAAGCATTTTCGATATATAGGGTGGTTTGAGGGGTGGTAAAATACCATTAATCCTTTTATATATGTAATTGCAAATTTTTGTGTGGTGTATTAAATTTTGGAGGAAAAAATTGCATTAAATGCACAAATTAAAATTGTATTAATATCAAGACGATTTGGAATTTTAAAAAAATTATTATTCATGGAAGCAACATGATTATTAAATAGTAAATAAAATTTAATTAGTGAACTAAATTTGTTGCTAGAAGATTTGCCTTTAGTATGTAGTTATAGATTCTTTGCTTATTTTTCTCTAGAAGGATCTAGTATCCCATTTCTGCGACAGAGACTTATTACTCCCTCGGTCCTAATTTACTGCCCACAGTAAAATGGGATGAATTATTACTTTTGATATTGTTGGAGGAATGAAAGTATCTACTGCTCTATAAGTAAGGTCAAAAACATTGAAATATGTCGGTGTTTACCAAGATAATTAAGATACAAAAATCCTCCTTTTGTCTTAAAAATGTTTAGCTATTCACCAACTAAACTGAAGGTCCATAATTATCTTCCTGTCATGTTTGTGCACTAACTATCAAAGCCAGTAACATGACTTTTAAAAGTCAACATTCATTTGATTTAAGTTGTTTCATTTCACTGCTTTACATGATTTGAAAAGTCAAGATTTATTAGGGTTAAATCTTTTTCGTTTCACGCTCTCCTGTCATTTACCTCCTCTTCATTGTCGCTATATCCCTGCTCCTTCTGACAATCAGAGTACTGGTGATAGTGGGGGTGAGGATACTAGTGACACGTATAGTTGAAGGGGTTTGCAAAAATTTACCTCAATTAGGTTTACATGTGTACAAGACAACTGAAAAGGTTGTGTTTTGGTCATTCTGGTTGACTTCAATATGCATGTCAATAGCTGAAAAGGTTGGATCAGAGCATCATGCATTCTTACCGAAAAACTTTTGGAAGTCGTTTCTGTTGTGTACTTTTTTTCATTTTATATCTATGTATATTGCATACTTGTTTCAAATTTGCAACTTTAAGGACTCCATCTTGATACAAACTAGGTAATTTTCTTGAGAATTCCAGCGTACATCATAACTTCACTTGAGAAAGTTTTCTTCCTTATTTTCACCAATATTGTATATTAGTTTGTACTAAGCCCAATAGCCCATTGGTGCTCTGTTGTGGGGGCTTTTAATGCCAGTACTAATATTTATTAGTGTCAACCTTCTTCACTTCCAGCTCTTGGCTTGGTGTAAGTTATGTGTGCTTTTAATCTGTTTTAGTTATACTGTCTACATTTTTATGTTTGAGCACTACAAGTCTCCCTTGATACCAGTCAACTGGATGAACTAAAAACTGCTATTGTATTGGATTTTGAATTGAACACAAATGACACTTTAAAATTTTCAAATTTTATCATATAAGCACTTGTTACTTGATTTTGATTATAGTAAGTTCACAATAAGCTTATGGATAGTGCTCGCATCCACCTTGCAGACTCTGCGAATTTACCAACAGAAGTGTGAAACTCTGGAAACAATAGTCCATCCATACACTTCGTGCCCTTATGCTTGGGATGAGCCTTTTTTTCCCCATCGACTGATTGTTGAGGTATGCAGTCTTTTCCATGTATTCTCCTATTCCCCATTTTCTGGATAATCCCTATCTTTTTGTCAAATTTTCTCAATCTAATTTACCATATCCAGTTTTATGTTTTTTAAGTTTTGTGTGATATTCTTCCTCTTGATTCATTCATTTCTTCTGGAACCAGCCCACTATTAGATTTGATATGTTATACCATTCCGATAAATGTTTCTCTTATTACTTAAATTTTGGTATTGCTGCAAGATCCCTGGAAAGCGCACATTAGGGCGGCTGGGACCATATACCCTTGATGATGTCAAGGAATATCCACCTATAAAGTTAGTGACATCTTCAATGTCATTAGAGGTACTTCATCATTAGCCAAATTTCTGCTTTGCTCATATCATGAGCTTTTTCATGCAGCACTTTATTTGAGAACAAATTTTCTTTCCATGCTGAAAAGCTTGATAATGCTAATATTTTTACCTCTATCCAACATATTCCTTGCTCTTTCTTTCTTATTTCAATTTTTTATTTCATTTTTTTGGATGGGAAGCAGAGGCATGAAAAGACATTGCTTTCATCAGTCCGTGCAGAGGGTGCAATAAAGGTAATGGCTATATGGTTCAGGATCTGTCCACTATCTATCTGTTCTATATCTTCTCATGAGTAAATTTTTTTTTACAGGTTCTCAGTATAATTGATTCAAGCTGTCATGTTTTAGAAGAGGTGAAAAGTCCAAGCTCAATTTCATCTGGGAAAAAAGAAAATAAAGGGGTGGAAATGAATATTGATTACAAGGAGAAAGTATCTGTCAAGATATCATTTATTGGGATCTCCTTGATGGACTCATCTCCTCAGGTATGCTTTTCATGGGATCATATTTGACCTTATCCCAACTTCAGCTAGTTTGTTTTCTGATCTCTTCTATATAATAATTATCAGGAGTTGCTTTATGCATCTGCAAAGGACATAAGATTTGATTTTCTCCAGAGTGTGGAGCGACAAAGTTTTTCCTTTCAAATCTTGTCATTACAAATTGATAATCAATTGCGTGGTACACCATATCCAGTTGTTTTGTCTTTTGATGAAGACTTCAAAGGTAGCCTTGTCAGCCAGATGAGAAATAAAGATGGAGGAGCAAAGACTAAAATTGAAAGTATGATGACTTATGCTGTTGGGATCTCCTCTGAACCTAAGATATGTTTGGCAGCTTCAAAATGGAGGAATAAAGAGATGATGTTGCTTTCATTTGAATACATAAGCTTAAGGTTTGTGCGGTATCATTCAATGTTCTGTCAGATATATTCGCTAAATAATCCTTGTAGACTTACCATTTATATTGTTTACAGGATTGGAGATCTATCTCTTGAGCTTGATCTGGAGCTACTTTTGAAGCTGCTTGAGTTTATTAAGGCAATCCTTTTGTTAAATTCTGATAATCCATCTTCAGTAACAGTGAATGATGATTTATGCAAGCTGGGTGTAGTGGACAGATCTTTTTCTTTTGCTCCACAGAATTCTGAGTATTTGCAAACCAATGGGGATAATCAGTTCCCTAAGAATCTGTATACTCTTTCTGATAATCACACCAATACCCCATTATTGCCAGAAGTAGTTCCTATAGGAGCTCCTTGGCAGAAAATTTTTCTTCTGGCCAGAAGACAGGATAAGATTTATGTTGAAGCTTTTTCTTTGGCTCCTGTTAAAATGACTTTGAGGTATTGTACAATCAATTGTCACAGGAATTTTCTCTTAATTTCTAATACTTGTATTTCTCTTTTGATTACATATGATGAACTTGCAGTTTTTCAAGCAATCCATGGATGCTAAAATCAGCAGGTTTGTCATCTGGTGAATCTCTCATCCATGTAAGTCCCTTTGATTTAGCATCTGAAACTAAGATTTTGGTGCTTTCTGTGATAGATACTAGTGTTTTATATTCCTATATTCAGTTGTGGAACTTTCCCTTTCTTCATCTTTAAATTGTTGTTTACCAGATTATAACATGGTTGTGTTAAGTCTTGATAATCAAACAAGTGTTTGAGCAAAGTTTATTGTGATGTTTCTCTATGAGGAAAGTGGGAAATATTCTGATTCGAATAAAAGGAAGGCAAACTAAAATGTTTTCAAGTTTCAACAATAGTGAGTGAAATCTTTAATTTTCCAACCTACCTCTTCCTACCAGATGAAAACTGTTGTCCTGTAGTTACATGCAAGCCAACAATATAATTACTTAGTGTACGATCAGTTTAGTGTGAACCACAACAAATACTCATCCATCCTATGAATACAGTCATTCTGTCTTACAGTGTTTTGAAGTCAGTTAGAATTTGAAATACTCCCTCCGTGTCTGTTTAATTTACACACATACCTTTTCAACGTTACCAAAAAAGGCATGTTAAAAAAGAGTGAAAAAGTAAAGTGTGAAAGTGAAATTTAAATATTATTATTTGTAATGAGTAAAAGTGGTGGGTCTCTTTTCTAAAAATAATAAGTTAAAAGTGGATAAATTAATCATTCTAAAAAGGAAAGTAAACTTAAAGAAAACAGAGGGAGTATAAATTTTCAGTCTGCTTGTGTTGTTGGCTAAATGGTGCTACAATCTAGATTGGTTTCTTATTGTTTAGCTTTGTAATCCTAAGTTGTTTCCTCAATACTGATGCTATTATGTAATTACTCTTTACATCACGAAGAAAGTTTTTAGAAGAGTGGAAAAGAGGTAGTTTTATCTTTAACTTGTGACTTAACATTAATAAAGGTGCCTGTGGACCAAAGTGGGGGAAATTATCTATTTTTGGGTAAAGACTATGCATAAGTTTGTGTTAACTACTCTGCAGCAGCTTCCTTGGATTTGCAAATAATGTGCCCTGTTCTCTGATACCAATTTTACATAAACTGGAAAAATAAATCTCTCTTCTCAGTTCTAAAACTTAGGGTCACATAATCTCTATCTCATTAGATGATTATCCTACTATCTCCATCACATCTACCTTTTTTCACGTAAATAACCTTTGATAGTCAAACACCCACTTATTGCCAAAAACTATGTGCTTTGATAAGTGTGTAAGCTAAATTTGGTTGTAGAGAGTAGAACTCAATTGGCCCTTATAATTTTTGCTGTCTGATATATGCCTTTGCAGTCGCAAGCTGCTCATGTAATTATATACGTAGTACATAATATCAAAGCACAAGCCAGTTATTGAGGTTCAATATTGTTCCTATGCCAGTGTGCCCTAACAAGTAACAACTATGGTTTATGACCCTGTGGTGATATTTCATGGTCAAGGACTAGTTTTGCATGGAGCTTTTAAACATTTAATTTCCCCTAGTTTTTAAAGAATTCTGTAGGAAAAGTCTGTATGTCTCTTGACTTATTATCTTATGCTCACAGAGAGGTATTATGGCTCTTGCTGATGTTGAAGGAGCGCAAGTCTGCCTCAAGGAACTAACCATTACACATCATATGGCTAGCTGGGGATCCATTCAAGAAATCCTCCTCAAACATTACAGTAGGCAATTTCTTCATGAGATGTACAAGGTACTGCACCTTGTTTGTGTGCCAGGAATAATTTACTTATATCTTGCATGTTATAGTTTCAGTTTATTAAAATAAGAAGCGCTTGTAATTATTCAATCCATATCTAAACTGTTTTTCTACTTTATTGATGTATATGCTTCAGTTCCTCTGTTTTTTTTTTTTTTTTTTTTTTTTTAATTATTACTTGCAACACTTTCCATTTTGGGAAATGTTATACTTCGTATTACTTGCAATATTACTACATGTGGTAATATTTATGCAATAAAACATCATTGTTACCCATATTTTATTTTCCAACACTTCCTCCCTCTCTCCTCACCTTCGCTTTCCCAAGCTCAACTAACCCAACCACAAGATTCCACATTACCTAAATTACTCCAGCCACAACTGTTTTCAAGCATACCACTATTGATCTCAACAGCCACCACTCACCAGTGCCTGCCCCCACCATTCTCAATACCGATAACAGTAAAGAACAGAAAAGAGAAAGAAACCCCCTATCTTCATTGTCAAAAGGTGTATGTCCTTTTGTGTTTAACAGTTTACTAGATTTGCACATTAAGAAGGATTTTTGTGTGTGTGTGTGTGTTTGTGTGTGTGGTGCCGGGGGGGGGGGGGGTGGGTGTTGAAACCAGCATTTAGTGAATTGAGGTGAAGGCCTAGACCAGCTCATCCCATCTGCTTATGTGGCATTTGTCTGTTAGGACCTGCTGTGGGGATATTACTAACTTTACAATCAGAAGTTGCTTATGTCGATTGCTACATTCAGCTGTTCACTGTAGTGAGAGTGGATTTTGATGTGGCCCTATCTCAATCAAATATCATTTTTGGTCACAATTTGCTACTTTTTTTTTTTTTTTGCTTAAATGTCTTTTCTTGCTAATTTTTCTATCATATACTTCCTCTGTTTTTTAACACTTGGAACACACCCTTTTTCACGGTAATTAAGAAAAGTGGGTTCACATGATTTAATACACTTAAAATGGGGTTGAGAAATTGTTAGGGGTATAATTATGTGGGTTGAGAGCTTTAAATAAGGGTAACTTTTACAAACTAATTAAAGTGTTTTGCAGGTATTGTGACATTTCCATTTTAGAAAAGTGTTGCAAGTATTAAAAAACGGAGGAAGAACATGTTTTGCTTTGAGATAAGAGGGTCAGAATAATGGAAACATCAATTTGTTGCAGAACTGTTGAACCGTTTGTAGGAAGTTGCTTAGTTGATAATTCTATTCAAAGTCTAATATTTTGTTTTTCTGCTAGATGTACTCTTATTAGGTAAACATGTCTATGTTATTACTTTAAAGAAAATTCTATCATATGCTGATATTTTTGCTATTTATGAGTCAGGTGTTTGGGTCTGCTGGTGTGATTGGAAATCCAATGGGCTTTGCTAGAAGGGTTGGGCTTGGAGTCAAGGACTTCTTTTCCGTTCCAGCAAAAGGAGCTCTGCAGGTATATAATGAGTTGAGGATGGCATGAACTTACTGATAACAACTATTGTTTTTGGTGCATTCTTATTTCTGCAACTAGAGTGTTTCCTTTTGTCAAAACAGTAATTTTTAATAATGCTCTGGAGTCTGGATATATCATTTGCCAATATATGATAATCTTTTATAGTTATTGGGAAATTAGTGGAAATAGATGGTATTGGGGAGGTTACTTAAAAAATAAGAAAAAAATATAAAATAAAAAAAGAAGAAGAAAGAAAGTGTAGCTAAGGATTTGGTTTTGGTGCAAGTTGGATAAAACTGATATACTAGAATGTCCATGCTAGTTCACATGATATATACTTTATGGAAAGTACAATGTAGGAAGTTATAGGGATGTTATTGGGGTTGATAGTTATTTGGGAATTTTCTTTGAATTTTCTATTTTTTTTTTTTTTTTTTTTTTTTTATTTTTTTGTAAAAAAAAAAGATAAATATAGGTTAGAGTTTGTAGAATTTGGAGGTTTGTAGTTAATAATTAGGAAAATGGCTCCTCTATTATTATGTAAGACTAGTGTATGCCTGTGCAGAATTGCACGGGACATTGTAGTTAATAATTAGGAAAATGGCTCCTCTATTATTATGTAAGACTAGTGTATGCGTATGCAGAATTGCACGGGACATTGATGACATAGAGAAACAAAAGGATATTTTTTGAAAATCTAAAGGGTTGAATTATATATATTGCACTTATTTAATAATTATAAAATAGTGTTTCATTGCACTATAAAAACAGGGTTAATCTTTTCAGTTTCTTGGAAAATTAGTTGCGCTATTTTTTATAATTTTTTTGTACCTCTCATCTTGGGGGGTAATTGTACCCAATTTAAATTTATAATTTTAGATTTATTAATTGTTTTTTTTTTTTTTTTTTTTTTTTTTGTGGGGGTTGGTGCTGTTTGGGGGAGAGGAGGGGGGGGGGCAAATAGGGAGTTTTGAATGTTTATGGAGAGAACATAATGTTTGAGGGTTGGTGTTTTGTAGGTTTGCGGTCAAACTTTCTAATCAAAGCTAGTTTCTTGTCAAAAAAAAAAAATCATAGCTAGTTTGTTATTTATTTATTTATTTTTAAATGTAACTATCATCTTGGGGGATGATCATACCCAATTTTTAATAATTTATCTTTTTTTTTTTTTTTTGAGGTTCGGGGTGGTTTGAGCCTTGAAAAGGGGGAGGGGGGGTAGGGAGTGTTGAATGTTTATGGAGAGATAGCATAAAGTTTTTGGATTGGTGTTTTGGAGCTTTGTGGTTGAACTTTCTGATTAATATATTGATTATTTTGTTATCATTCTAATCAAAGCTACTTTCCAATTAGCAGAGTCCTTCTGGGCTGATCTCTGGAATGGCCCAAGGCACTAGTAGCCTGCTTAGCAACACACTCTATGCTATGAGTGATACTGCAACACAGTTCAGTAAAGCTGCTCATAAGGTACATAGCAATCAATCATAGACAATAAATGGGTAAAAAATGCAGTTTGGTAACTAACAAATTTGTGCCTCTAGGGAATTGTTGCTTTTACATTTGACAACCATGATGCCTCAAAACTGGAACAACAAAGGGTGGTTACTTCATCTCGGAGCAAAGGCGTGATAAATGAATTGTTTGAGGTATGTTAAAGCAAAGTTACTTTAAGCTTCCTTAGATATTCTCTTCATGCTAATAAAAACCTTCTTTACAATCAGTCATATCTTTTCTTCAGGGACTAACTGGTCTTCTGCAATCGCCTATTAAAGGAGCTGAAAAGCATGGACTTCCAGGGGTTCTATCAGGTATTTCTTATTGGGAAGTTGTATAGTGGCATTGTCCTTAGGAAAATTTACAGAATAATGACCCTGTATACGGTATCACTGACACCTGTAAATGAAAAGGTCAAAAATGGAATTCCCAAGTTACTATTCTCTACTGAGAGTACCACTGATTTACTCATGGAAATTTAGAGGTGATAAACCATAATCAACATTAGTTAGAGGTTGCTGTCGTTGACGATTAAAAAACTTTTCCCAAATATGAATTAATTGTTTTGCTCCAAAAACATCCTTAACTTCTTTTATCACAATTCAGCCTCTATACAAGCTATTTCCAATTTGTAGCCTTTTGTAGTTAACTTTACTAATGACTATTACTTTAATATACTTCGTAGGTATCTTATAAACTTAACCTCCCTTCACACAGCATGCATCTACATGGCATCATGTCGGTTTTCGGAATCAACAGCCTTTGTTATGCTTGTATAATATTCCTAATAGATATCCTGGATGGAAAGAGAGTTTAGTTGTAAAGAGAGAGATAGAGCATGGAAAATGAGGAGGGATCCAGGGCATGGAAACAAATTTGATAAGAAATAGAATTTAATTCTGCTGGAAATAAGTGTGCAAAGAAAGAGAACAAGCTTTTAATTTCTTTGAACCACCCTCAATCAAATACTACATATTTTTTCTTGCACTTTGACTTATGCACAATTTATCTATCCCCCTTGACTGACTTTGATGATTTGTAGTTGAAGAAAAATATAGTCACGTGGGATCTTGTTTGATTTGCCTCTATTATACTTTCATAATATTAAAATTTTTATAATTTATGCATATTGGTAATGAAAGATATTAGTGATTGGAATAATGCAATGGCAAGTGTAAAATGAGAAGTTTTTGCAAGTAAAATAAAAAAATAAAAATAGAGGAAGTAAATCTTAAAAGTTCCAACGACGCCTTAGCCTATAAAAATACTCCTAGACTAATCATATGATTATTAAGTAGACAAGATAGCTCCAATCCAACAAATGAGCTTGCATGGAGTCCTAGGCAAAATTTGTTTGTATGTGTTGAATGGAGAAAGAAAGATAGTGATGTGAGGAGAGAGATAGAGATAGAAAGAAACGACAATTTAAACATTTGTTGCACATAATGTATGTGTAACAACCTTTATTAGTTAATGTTGCACAGAATATGAAACAGAGGTAGTATTATGATTTCATGGGGTATAATACATCTAATAAGGTAAATCGAATATTGATTTGCATCTGCAACCATGACATGCAGCAGAGAAACACTTGAATTTGTGGAAAAGGATATCATGTTAGCTTTTTGGAGTTGCTGAATTTTGTTACTTCTTGTACTGCAGGATTTGCCTTGGGTGTAACTGGGCTTGTGGCAAAACCTGCGGCTAGTGTACTTGAAGCCACTGGAAGGACTGCACAAAGTATAAGAAATCGGAGTAGGCTTTACCGAACAGGACCGCATCACTTGCGTGTCCGTCTTCCCAGGGCTTTGAGTGCAGAATTGCCCCTCGGATGCTATTCTTGGGATGAAGCAATTGGTACAGCTGTGCTCTTGGAGGTTGATGGTTCAAAATTCAGGGATGAGGTCCTAGTAATGTGCAAAGCACTACAGGTTGCCGGGGAATTTGTTGTTCTTACTGAAAAACTCATCTTGATTATTGAATGTTCTAGTTTAGTAGATCTGGGAAAGTCTGTGTTTCAAGGAATTGTTGCAGAACCAGAGTGGAAACTGGTAGCTGAAATTGCTTTGGAGAGCGTGATACATCACAAAATCGATGGAAAGGTTATGCACATTGTCGGAAGCAGTTCGGAAGCCCTGATTGGGAAAAGTCAGCATCATCACCATAGATGGACTGGAGGTAGGATGAAGCTATGGAGTAAATCTCCAAATCCACTTCCTCTCTTTCAGACTGATTTGGAATTCGCTTCCAAGGAAGAGGCTGAGTACTTCCTGGAAGTTTTGTCGTCTATAATCAAGAAGGGAAGAGAGCAAGGTTGGGGAAAGATGTACCTTCTCCACCAAAGTAATTTAAGAAAGTGAATGGTCCATTTTCTTGCATTGTAAATTTGTAGGTATTTGTAACTTGTAAGAATTGTAACCTGTAAATCCACCCAATTTTGTATCTCCATATGTTTCCTTGCCGTAGATTGCAGAGCTAGCTTATGTGTTTCAATTGCACACATTTTGTAAATACGAGGTACAGTATATAGGGTTGTGTACATACATTATTCACTTATTATATGTTTATCCAAGTTTTATATATTTGAAATTTTCACTGGATGATTATAAAGCCGACCAATATTTTGGATGAGACAGTCTCACACTTTTGTTGGTCCACATAATAGTTAGAGGAGGCTTTCTAACTGTTAATTTAATATTACGTCTACTTATGCACATTCTGATTTCTTATCAGAAAAATGTTGGTCAATTGACCAAATTGGTGAATAAAAAAGACCATCAGTGACAATTTGGTTAAAAAATTAACTCATGCGACAATTTGGTAGAAAAAAAATGTGGATTGGCCGGTTGGTCCACATTTTAATAATCTCCCGCATTGTCAGGTGAAATCTGGTTATCAAAATTCTCAATACAATCTTCTTCCTTTTTACAACCCAGAAATTTCCCTGGAAAATAATGTACTCTCTATGAATCCAACAAGAAAAAAATTAACATTCAAAATATAAAATTCAATCAATCAATCACATTTAATTAATCACACCCAAAAAAAATCAAAACAAAAAAAACTGGTTCAAAGCAATGAACACTGATTCTCTCTCCTCTTCTTCCTATCCTTCTTCTCCTTCTCCTTCTACGTCGTTGTTTGTCACTCCACCATCTTTGGTTGAACTGGGTACTTCTTCTCCGACGATTTCTCCTTCTGGGGATGTTCAATTTTCCCCAAAATCGCCGCCGCGAATTCCACCGCCGATTTCAGGAATTTCCACCATGACTACTCGGGATCCTGATGCTGTTTTCAGTGGTGGTGGTATCAGGTATTTTTCTCTTTCCTTTTTTGATTTTTTAATTCCCATTTTTCATTTTTTTTTTCAATTTTTGTTTGTGGGTAATTTATTTTTGTCATGGGTTTGAATTTTTTTTTGGGTTTAATTTGAATTTGAGTTGAGGAGTTATTGTGGGATGATGCTAAATTTTCGTAGTGATGTATACATTTATTTTATTGGGTTAGTTTTTGAAAGAATTTGTGGGATTGTTATGGTTATCATTGATGCATTATGGACTTATGGTTTAATTTTTATGTAATATTGAGTTAATTAAGTTGTGTATATGAGAAAATTTTGAACTTTTGTTGGTTGTTTTACAAATTTGCATGCTTTCAATTATATAGTATATGAAGATGGAATGGAGTTTTGGGCAAAAGGAGGTGTGGATGTACACATCTTTTACCTTGAAAATGTTATAATTAATGAAGTGTTGACATCGAAAGACCGGGTGTGAGCACTTATTGAAGAGGGGATTGTAATAGTATTGTTCCTGTAATAAATTGATTAGTATGGCTTTGGTGTTTTCATGACTTGTATCAGTTGTATGCGCGTTTGAGTTTCCGGGGTAGCAAATTCATTTGGTCATTGGCTTCTGGAAAGTCTAAGGGGTAAGGAATTTGGAGAGGCTTATGAAGCTGCATTGCACTATTACAGGCTGGTTTTTCATCTTTGGTCTTTTGTACAGTGTGGTTTAGTGTAATGCTTTATGGAAGTGAAATTATCTAATATGTGTTTTGTGTTAATTTGAAATTGCCTGCTATGGCTATTGGCTTCTCTATTGATGTTCAAAAATTATTTAAATTAATGGTTATATAAAATTACTCCTTTCCAACGATTGGCCAGAGTTTTAGGAGAGGCACTTGGGTAATGAGGTATTGTATATTGTATTCCTGTTTTTCTGTTCTATAATATACCAAACAAGCCAAAGGAGAGGCAGTAGGATAATGAAGTATCTGTTCCAACTTTCATTGTTTTATGTGAAGTAATAGAAAACAAGGTTATACAAGTGAACAAGTTTTTACTTCTAGAAAAAATATTAGATATGCCGACGTTTTTGATAGAGATAGTATTAAAAAATGGAATTAGTTATCCAAAATTCTTAAAATCATAAGATTGATGCATCCAATCTAAGGTTTTAACAATACCATTGCCCTTTAGTGCATGTGAGATACTCAACATTTGACATTGTGTAATAGACTAACCTAAGGAGGGGTAGTATAGCTATTCTAGTAATATTAGTTTACTAGGTTAATAGTCCTATAGAGAGTAGAGGGAAAGAAATTATAGGTAGAATTTTGGAGTGAATCCTTTTGAGAGTTGTGACCTCAAGTCACTAATATGAGCTTTGTAGGCTAAACCTATACCCTTTTGTTAGAAACCATTAGCAAGTTTAATATAATTTCAAGCTTTCAACCTTAAATTTCTGCTTATTCATATAAATACACAAATCAGATTGCTAGCTCATCACACATTGGTATGGTACTTAGACACTTCTTCTCGAGCTTTAGGGGAAAAAATCAAAATATAGGTGTGTCTGAAAATTAGACAAATATGTGTCAAATGAGCCTGAGTAATTTACATCGCTTTAATATTATAATTTCCAACATTGTTTAACGTGGCCGAACAAACAACTGATGGAACTTTGTTTTTTTGATAGCTTTTTAACTGGGGAACGCAATGTAAGGTTCAGCTATGGATATTCTACTTTCAAGGGTAAACGAGGCTCAATGGAAGATTATTTTGAGACAAAGATATCTGAAGTTGGTGGTCAAATGGTTGCATTTTTTGGTGTTTTTGATGGTAGGTTCAGACCTTTTTTATTACTCTAGAATTCTAGATTAAATGTCGAGGCCTCTGCAACTGAGATACAAATTTTCTATTTTGTTGTTACCGTTGATGCAAACATTAGCCGTCAATCTCGCCAGAAGGGAGGTTGTGAAATCTTGTATGTAATGTGTCTTTATTCTAATTTGTCACTGTTCCATGTTTAGGTCATGGAGGTCCCAGAACAGCTGAATATCTTAAGAACAACCTTTTTAACAATTTATGCAATCATCCAGATTTTATTAATGATACAAAATCAGCTATTGGTATGTAATTGCTCAACATGCTGGTAAATTTCTATTTTTGCCTACTTTCATAACGTATTTAATCATGGATCACTTGTAATGATGATTTCCTTTTATTTTTCCTTTCATATTGTAGTTGAAGCATTTAAACAGACTGATGCCAATTTCCTCAGTGAAGATATAGGACAACAAAAGGATGCAGGATCAACTGCATCAACTGTGTTGTTGGTTGGTGACCGCTTGCTAGTTGCCAATGTGGGCGACTCCAGAGTAGTCTCCTGCAGAGATGGATCCGGTAAGTTCAATGCCTGAATTTAGTGTATGTTCGTTCTTCTGCATAAAATAAAACAAAATTTGTTAAAAAAAGACAACAGATTATAAGAGAAAAGATGGTGGCAATGTAGCATCAAGTCTAATTATTTTTTTTAATTGTTAAAAGGTTTTATTTATGTCTGAGAGCTTATAATGTCCAATATCTATATACTATATGTTGGACTTGTGTATGTTCTCTTTTTTACTCTGTCGAGAGAAAAAGGGGTGTTAGGATAAATGGAATACAAGTAGAAAACATTTTAAGAATAATGCCACAAAGTTCTATTTATGTTGATAACAGTTGAAAAGAATTCTTTACCATTAGCAAATACTCAAAAATGGAGCCAAAAAAGCCACTTTGTTCACACTTCCTTTTAAATGAAACTGATTGGAACTAGAAATTTATGGTACCCTTAATTCTATCTTCCAAAATATTTACTTGGTGTGAGAAATAAGTTCAAAAGAGGTAAGTTATTAATGATATCTGTATTCATTGTGTTGGGAGTGCAGCTATTCCATTATCAATAGACCACAAGCCTGATAGATCTGATGAGCGTCAAAGAATTGAAGATGCCGGAGGCTTTGTAATTTGGGCAGGTGATTCCATGTCTGATTTTCACAATGAATTAGTAGCTCTTTATAAGTTTATTTCATCAAAATAAATGTTTGTTAACACCTTCGTCTATAAAGCATTTATAAAGCTTCACCTACGTTCTTCTACTGGTGTTATTTATTTCAAAACCATATGATGCTTCATTATGGAATATACTTGTGATTTTAAGTGTAACATCAAATCGGAGTTTGCAAATTTGATCTATTTTCTTTTTGCGTTACTGTAAATCAGTCTTTTGTATGTTTGGCAAAGTTCTTGCAACTGTTGCAAGTAGTATTTCTGGCTTATTGTCAAGCAACACAATGTATTTATTATTAATGATTACTACTGCTTTAACTTTTACTTTTAAAACTTCACTAGGCACATGGAGAGTTGGAGGAGTTCTGGCAATTTCACGAGCATTTGGGGACAAATTACTCAAACAGTTTGTGATAGCTGAACCTGAAATTAAGGTAGTCATCTTACTTTAGAGTTGACATAAAATTTTCAGCTTCACCTTCTCGTTAATCCTGCTACTACCCTTGCCAAGATCATCTAACTTGCATTGTATAGTTGCAATCTCACTACTATCTTGCACATGACCTACCCCATACTTGCTTAGTTGGCTCAACTGCTTAAGAATAGGGTATATAAGGAAATTCTATTCTCTGTTGAACCTTATAAATGATCTTGACTCTTATGTTCTCGAACATACGATGGTAAAAATTGGTCTTTTTGTAACAATCATAGGTAAAGCTATTACTTTAAATTGGTTAATGAGGTTTTCTTACATCTGATAGAGCTACTGTCATGATTTTTTATTTAATTATATTTGCTTGTTTATTTAGTTCACCCTTGTTTCATGTGTTAAAATATCCAGGAACAAGAGATTGATGGTGTAGATTTCATCATTATTGCAAGTGATGGGTTGTGGAATGTCATCACAAATAAGGCAAGTTATGGCAAATTACATCTTTGGCATTACTTACTTTACAGAGAAAATGTGTTAGGGTTGTGATGTTTTGTCTTTTTGGTTTAGCATGGCATAGCCTAGCTTGGTTATGTAGTGATTTTGCCTAAAACCTCCATTATAGGTGCATGTAGGCTCAAACCTGGGAGTGTGTTGTAGGAAGGTTATTGAATACATAAATTTCAAGTAATTGTGGATTTTGCTATTCAGTCAAAGTCTTTTCTGTATGTGACTATTTGTTTGGATATTGTTTGATATGAAGTGTAGTAATTTATAGAAAAGGACTTATCAAAGCAGGGAGTTAACTGAAAGTTTATTTACAATGTTTAACTGGTAAATATTGTGTGGTCGTAATGATAAGAAAAAATTGTGTTGGAAATCAAAGGTGTTGATGCACTTAGTTTCTCTATTTTAAAGTAGGCAAAGAGATGTGTAAATGTTAGAGGTCTAGCTTGGACAATTCTGTTAGAAAATATGACGGAGAAAGATTAGTCATCCACCACTTGCAATTTTGCAAAGCGCTAACCTGCCCTAATCCCACAAAGAAACACTAATTTGACAGTTTGATTTTGATATGCTCTTCATTACAATTATTGATAAGGTTGGGAGTATAATGAGAATGTAAAAAGACTTTTTTTGCCTCTTAATGTGTGAATGGAGCTGAAGTTGCAGTTAGTGCCTAGAAAGTTAAATATTTGAAATGATAATATTGATATAAGGGGAAAGAGGTAATAGTTTCAAGATGGATACATTGCAGTTTTGTTTGGAGATGCGAAAGATGGCATGCGTTCATTTTTTTAATTTTATTTTTTGAAGGATAACGGCTAACAGCGCTGTATCAGGAACCCAATTTTTTTATTTTTTTTTATTTTTATTTTTAGAAGATATTCTATGTAAACTAACTAGTATAAATGAAATCTTATCAGAGTTTCAAATCTTTATCAGTGTTGTGTAAATACAGTTTACATGTGACACTACATAAAGTTGTACCCTGAATAAAATCTGTATTCCTTTGTATTGCTGATATTAAGTTGATTCAGAACCATTTCATCGTCTCATGCTGGTCTCTACAATTAGGAGTGCACAATCTGGGCATCATCTATGTTTCATTGCCCAACATTCGATAGGATTGATTTGCTTGTTTTGCTTAATTCTTTCTAGTCTTTTGTAATTGACTATGGATACACTCTGCGTCTTCAGGATGCAGTTTCACTTGTGCAAGACATAAAGGATGCTGAAGCTGCATCGAGAAAACTTACAGAGGAGGCTTTTACAAGAGGGAGCTCCGACAACATTACATGCCTCGTGATTAGATTTGAAAATGAAGATTCTCAGTAGCATTTAGCTCCCCTGTGCATTTTCTAGGATCTTTATACAAGTACTTGGTAAATTATGTTGCAGGATTCAAAGGGAAGCTGACAAACCTGATGTCTGGAAAAGTTTCTCGTTAGATGTAATTTACCATTCTTTTCAACATTAGAATTGTTTCTACTAGTCTGTAATTGAGTAGGCAGGTCGGGTTCCATCATGCTGGGTATTGTTTCTCTCTTTTTACATTGTAAATCTATTACACCCCTGTAATATTGTGTCATTTAGGGACTTTTTACCGGCCAGCATCTACTACTTGAGTTTCTGGACTTGGTAATGAAGGTCTGTAATAATAGTTATCCACCATAGTTTCTAGTCCAGAAGATAGGCAAGGAATTGTTTAAGAGTTGCATAAGAGCGACAAGACCTATAAATTTGTTCTCTCATTTTTCATGTTTGAACTCTTGATGAAAGAAAAAGCCACACCATGAGAGGAAAACTATGTAGTATAGTGTAATTATAATTATATGCTTCCATGTATAAGTTTTCCATCAAAAATAAGATGCTTTGATATAAAGTTCTAAAATATACTTCGAATCTTATTTTGCATTAATGAAGTTTACCTATTGATGGATTACAATGAGAATTCGACATTTTTCGTTTCTTTCTACAACACCCTGTTTTGATCCACTTATTCTGATTTTATTAAGATTGTTGATGTTTTGATCCACTTATTCTGATTTAATTAAGATTGTTGATGTGGCCCCGTTCACTGTTCAAGTTAATTATCAAATCACCATTTGATAAACATAAAACGTTAAACATGAAGATCAATGGGGGCCGGTCCCATGACCTATATATTGACACACTTTTTGTCGTGTAGGTTGGTTCTAATCAAATCACTTCTAGTTTGAGTTAAATCATGCTAAATCATTGTATTTAAATATATCTAAATCTAAATTAAGCTTAGGAACAAGCCCTAGTTTCGCAATCTCAAATGTTATTAACTTACCATTCTTCCTCCTTTCTACTTGTTTTCTCAATGTAAACAATCTAACAGCATTACATACACCAACCCTAACCAACCATTTACGACAACCATTTCCTACGGCAAAGCCAGTGGATTTTGAAAATTGAAAATTTGATAACACAGAAATTGCTTCAATGATGGAAAGAATATTCAAGGCTGCTTTAATGGATCACCGCTTCGCGACGATATACCAGTCAGCCGAACAAAAGAAACCCTTACTAACTCCTTAGGGAAAGGTATTTCCTAAGTAAAGGAGAGAGAAAGAGGTAAAGAGGAAAAATAATAAAATTACACTGTTATCCGTATTTTATTGGCTAAAAACATAGTTTTAACTTTTTTTTTTCTTTTTTTTTTTTTTTGTGAGGAAACAGCTTTAACCCTTTTGAGAAACACCTAAGGTGTTTCAATTGAAAAACTTTTACTACGACATTTAACCTTAAGTTATTTTTAAATCGGATCGAATTAGTTTTTGACACCTCCATTTCAATACAAATTTTTGCCTAGACTCTAGGGTAGCTAGCTTCTCCTACACCCCCATGCTACTACGTCGTTTTATATTCAAGCCATAAATAATCATTCTGCTATTTTGTTTTTTTTTTTCTTCATCTTTTTTCATTTTTGTTAACTTTCTATTCAAGCAACTATATAATGATTTTCTTAACCTAATTTCTATTTTATTTCTCTCTTTTTTACTTATTTCATTTTCTCTCTCCTGCATTTTTTATTTTTCCCCCAATTTTTCTCTCTCTTCTTCCATGGAAATTTCTAGCTCAATTGTGTTTGATCGTGACTGTGATTCTAGCTTAATTGCTTTTGATCGTGATTGTGATTCTATTTTTCCTGCTGGAGTTGGTTTAGTCGACTCGTTTTCGCAACAATGTGAGTAATTTTTCCCTCAATCATTCGATTTTGATTATGCTCTGTTTTCGCATGTAATAGTTCGATTTTGATTTCATAATTTGATAATTGTATGAACTATAGTTTATATAATGCTCAATTATAATTTTTGGTTTCGTAGTTTTGCTTATTGTATGAATTAAAATCAAAATTATGGTCGATTATAATATTTGATTTCATTTTTATTTATGATTATTTTAATTTATAGTTTGTGATGTATTGTTGTGATTTTATTGTTTTTCTTTGTAATGTTGTTATTCAATTGATGTTTTTCCCAGTTTTCTGCATTTTAATGATTGTCTATAGTTTTATAAAATTTGACATTCAATTAATGCTCATGTATGTTAGATTATATGTACATTTACGTTAACATAGGTGTAATTACTGTAATTTACATTTATCTATGTAATCATAAATGTTCATTTATATGTTTTATTATCATTTTGATATATGTTCATTTATGTAATGATAAATGATCATTAACAGTTTACATGTGGTTATTGTACATTATTGCTATTATTTGTGTTCATTTGTTACATTTTAATATTGCAGTGGAAAAAAAGAATGCTATTTTATTTGAGGAAGCAGCTAGTTCTGAATTTTATGGGAAACAATTTCCTTCTGAAGATGTGGCTTATGAAATGTTTAATGAATATGCATTTAGAAAAGGGCTTTGGAATTAGAATTGGAAAAAGTAAGAGGCGAAGAGATGATTCATTCTCTATGAAAAGATTTATTTGTACAAATGAGGGTTTTAAAGATGATAAGTGCAGGAATAATAGGCTGTATGAGAGACTAAACATAAGGACTGGTTGCTTAGCTTTTGTGCAGTTTAGTATTGACCGTTCAGGTGTATATACATGTACAAGACATGAGATGGTTCATAATCATGAAATGATTCCTGTTGACAAGAGACATTTAATAAGGTCTCAAAGGGATATTTCTAAGGAACATATTAATTTCATTTCTACACTTAGATTGAGTGGAGTTAAAGTTTCTGATTCTTTGAGAGCTTTGAAGAAGGAGGTTGGAGGGTCTCCTAACCTTTGTTTTACAGCTCCTAATGCTTATAATGCTATTTCTGTTGAAAAGAGAGCTAAACTTGGGGGAGGTGACAGCAATCAACTAATCAAATTTTTTGCTAAGAGACAAATTGATGAAGCAAATTTCTATTATGATTTTGAACAAGATGAAAATGGTGCATTGGTTAATTTCTTTTGGAGAGATGGAAGGATGATGAGAGATTATCATTACTTTGGTGATTTGTTAGTTTTTGATACTACTTATAGGACTAACAAATATGGTATGATTTGTGCTCCATTTGTGGGTATGAATCATCATGCAAATAATGGGATGTTTGGCATGGGATTTATACTTAATGAAAGAACAGAATCATTTGAGTGGTTATTTGATACTTTTCTAACTTCTATGGGAAGGAGAAGTCCTATTACTATTATGACTAATCAAGCTCAAGCAATTGCAGCTGGGATAAGAAATATTTTCCCCAAAGGTGTTCATCATAGATTATGTGTGTGGCATATTGAACAAAATTCTAAGAAACACATTGGGGCGTTGAGAGCTTTGGATGGTTTCACTGATTTATTTGGTTATTTACTGAAGTATTGTGAAACTCCACCAGAATTTGAGCATTATTGGAAAAGGTACTTCTGCTTTATACTTGTTTAGCTTCTTAAATAATTTTTACAGAAATGAACATTTAGTTTTTTATAAATGTTTATTTATAATGATCATAACTGTTATGCTTAATGATCATGTTTCATTTACAGAATGTTGTTGAAATATGACTGTGCAAATGTTGATTGGTTGAATGATTTGTATAAAATCAAAGAGATGTAGTGTCCAGCTTTTTCAAAGAAATTTTGGTCAGGAGGTGTGCTTTCATCTCAACGTAGTGAGACAACTAACAAATCAGTTTCTCAAAGGCTTAACAAGACACAAGGTCTATGTGATTTCTATCAAGTGTTTCTCGATGTGGTTCAAGAGTGGAGAAGCGAAGAAAAAGGGAGAGATTATAATACAATCAGAGGTAATCGTCATTTGGCCTTTGCATACATTGGGATTCTTGTTCATGCTAGATCATTGTATACTATTCAAGCTTATGTGCTTTTTGAGGAAGAGTTCATTAAGGGTACTGCTTGTGATCATAAGGATGCTGGTGTGAATTTTCCTGAATATTATTATCATTTGTGGAGATCTGGGAAAGATATGATCAAGCACGAGGTTGTTTTTAATAAAGAAACACATGCAATATGTTGTACATGCATGTTGTTTAGTGAAATGGGTTTGCTTTGTTGTCATGCTCTTCGAATTTATCATATGAATTGTGTACATAAGATTCCAGATGACTATATATGTAAGAGGTGGACTAAGGCTGCTATGTGTAGTCATGGCCTTGATGAACCTACAATGAAAACCAATGTAGTATCTACAAGTGTTTGGAGGACACAAACACTAAGGAAATTTGTTAAGTTGGTAACAAGTTGTCAACACTCTTTGAATGCTAGAGCAGAGGTTGAATGTTATTTCAATCTTTTAAAAGAAAAGATTGAGAGTGTTACTGGTACTATTGATTTTAATGAACCGGTTGAAGGTATTGAAATTGTTGATCATGAAGTTAAGAATCCGGCAAAATCAAGACCTATTGGAGAGAGGAATTATAGGCCTAAGAGTAATTTAGAGAAGGCTTATAACAAAGCCAGGGGTCAGTGGTTGAAGAAAAAGTCAGTATACACTCCTTATAAAAGATCTAAAGGTCAAGCAGTAGTTCAGGTAATAATGCACATTTATGTTTTTGTTATTGATCATTTATGTTCAAGAATTGAACATTTTTTTTTTGCCTTAGGAATTGGACGAGAATGGGTGTCCTATATCTTATGCTAATTCTTTGGCTGATCCTAATGAGTTAATTGTGATTGAAGATCCAAGTGCTCAGGTAAAAACTTATTTTCTTTTTTTTTTATCTGTTTTTATCAAATTCTTTAGAATATAAAACATTTTTACTTTTAATTTTTTTTCAAGGTTTGTAATAAAAAGACTGCCATTGTAGAAGATATCCCTTCAGATGATAGTGTTTCAAATGACTTTGAACAGGTATTATGTAAATGATTATGTATGTAATTGTAGTTGTTCATTTTAGTAGTTTAAGTTGTGATTATAATGTTTTTATAATTTTCATTTTATTATAGGAATATGGATATAGCTCTATGCAATCAAACGTTAATGTTGATCCAGACATATCTTCTATTGTTAAGGTGAAATATTAATCATCTACCTTTTAATTTTGTATAAGGTCATTATGACTTTTGAATTTGATCATTAATTATTTTAATTTTGATCATTAGGGTAAACAGTTGCAATTGCTCATGATGTTGATAATTTTCCAACAAGTTCTCAATTGCCACCAAAGAAACCAAGAAATGTACAATTTCCCACAGTTGTGCATGCTCAAATCAATGCTCAAGCTCCTTCTAAAGTTTCTAGCATTGTTCAAAATCCTCCAAAAGCTCCAAGAAATGTTCAAGTTCGTTCTAGTGTTCCGAAGAAAGTTCAAGCTCCTTCTAATGTTCCAAGAAGTACTCAAGGTTGTTCTCGGAATGTTCAAGTTGATTCTAGTATTTCAAGAAATGTGCATGATGTTCCTAATGTTCCAAGAAGTACTCAAGGAAATTCAAGGAATGTGCAAGTTTCTCCTAGTGTTTCAAGGAATGTTCTACTTTCTCCTAGTGTTTCAATGAATGTTCAAGGATCTCCTACTGTTTCAAGAAGTACTCAAGGCGGTTCTCCACATATTTCAACCAAATATGATAGGTTATTAGCGTTTTTTGATACTAGTGTGGCTAAGAGATTGGCTACAAATGGTAAATAAGAGAGTAAATCAATATGCAATTATGTTTTGGTGTTTAACTATCAACATTTTTAGTTGTCTCAACTTTATAGAGATTCAAGTGCTTTAAGTTTTTTATATTTTGATTTATTAAGTAATTTGAATCTTTTTTTTTCAAACTATTCTTAAATGTTCTATAAATGATTATTTTTGCTTTTGGAAGTGATCATATACTATTTTAAATAGTAAGAACCATTATTAAATTGGAATAATTATATTAGATGATTTAAAACTGGCAATTATAATGTAACACTTTACTATTTGTAAATATTAAAAAGATAATAAAATTTGTCTTTACTTGAACAACAACAAAAACTTATGTCCATACAAATACTGAAAGCAAGTATGATCATATATATGTCTATATATGAACATATTGTATTAAGCTTGTGCAAATCTTCTTGCTGCTCTTCTATTGTTCTGTGACTGCCTGTTTCCTTCATTCAGCATTAGTTCAGCAGTGTATTGTACTCTGAGCTTTCTAATTTGGTTCACCTGTTCCAAGAAAATAATTTATTATAAACATGAACATTAATGGGATATAAATGATCATTATGTATTATAAAGTGATCATGAAGTATATTTTTTTGTTTTGTTGAAATTTACTTACATTGTTTGGTTTTAGGTCACAAACCCATTCTTCATTGGGATCAACAGTGAAAGTTTCTATATGTTTCATAATGTAAACTACACAGTTGGTGTAATCTTCGTTGCTCCTCCACTTCATTTTTTGCAAAACCACCTTATATTTCTCAATAGAATCTGCATCTTCATACCCCAATCCTTTCAAATATTCTGCATATCCTTTTAACTGCAACATATACAGAAAAAAAAAATTCAAAGGATCATATTAATATTGATCATTTTAATTTTCAATATTGATCATTTTGTATAAACAAATTGATCATTTATATATCTATTAAACAATATACTTACCACCAATTGGGGTTGGTTTTTATACTTTGTTGCAATTGTTTAATGTTTTGGCAGTTTCCTGTTGTCAATTATATGCATTGTCTCATTGATATGATCAATGCATAGAAGATAGAAATGTGCATATATGGCCACTGGAAAAAAAATATGTACATAGTACACAATATTATTATATATACACATTAATGTAAATGAACATATTATAATTCCATATTGTTCATTAATACCTGTTGATATCCAACTGCACTCTTGATTTTGTATAACCTCAATTCATTTTTTATTCTTTCTTTGAAGTATGCAATTCTAAGCTCCATTGATGATCCTTCAGGACACACTGTATTTGCATACATAATTTGCTGCAAATAATGCACAAGGATCATTTTAATATTCATAATGATCATCTAGTATAAGTGAATTGATCATTTTAGTACACCAATGTATACATGTGTAATTTCAATAAAGACTTACATGTGGAAATGTTGAAAAGTATAACTTGTTCTTTGACCTTTTTTGATTCAGAAGTACTGCCCATGAATCGATCACATTGTTAACTACTAATGTATCCCCTTCAAGAGTTTTCATCTCTTCCCTATTGATCAAATTCACTCCATCATAGTATAGTAGCTCACTGCAAAATATCAATTTTTTAAATTTTATGAGTTTACAACAAACATAATGTTAAAGTTTTAATGAAGTAAGTGATGTATACCTTTGATCTTTTCCACTATAAGCATAGTCTGTTACAAGTTTGTTCATTGTGTCTTCATCTTTGAACAAATCCTTGTACTTGACCATGTATGGAGATCGGAAAGCAAGAAGAACATTTGGGATTTCCCTTTGTGGCCTAGTTAATGTGACCATATATTAATACAAATATGAATTTTTTTAATAATGAACAAATAATTTATATAAAGAACAAATAGTAATACCTTATCTCTTTTTCCTTTGCAATCTCAGTTTTTGCCTTCTCAGCTTCTCTTGATTTTTTTCTTTCCAAAGTCTTCTCTCTGTCACTGAATAAATATTGAATTATGAATGATCATTTAGTATTTTGATAATGAACATTATAAATCTATACACATGTAAAGACCATTTACCTTTGTCCTGTTGTGTTTTTGGAAATTTGAATCTTCTCTGTTTCAATTTCTTTTGAATCCTTTTATGTCTCACTGAATATAAATATAGTATAAATGATTATTAAGTTTAATGAAAAAAAACATGTATATGTGGAATAATCATTTACCTTTCCTTCACATTTGAAGCATATATCTGTTTCTTCTTGTCTTCTCTGAAATATTAATCATGGTTAGTAATGAAGAGTAATTAATATAAAAAAAACATTATTCTCCTTTTTTGAACAATAAACACTTAAAATATTACTAAGACATTTAAATTAAAATACATAATTTACATATCTCAAATTGTGCATTCCTACCCTAAAGCAAAATATTCCCTTCTGATTTTATAATACATATCCATTACTAACTTCACAAAAAAAAACTGTCCAAAATAATTACACTTTATAACCAAATTTATTCTACATGTCCATTCAAAATTATATATTTTCTAACAAGATAGGTCTTCCATGTTTACCCCATGCTTCCTCCTTTCTTGTTTGATTTATCAAGGATATCTTCCATACTTGAACATGCTGGAGATTTCAAGATTGTAGAAATATCTCCAGCAGCTTCCCTATTTTCAGTTGGTGTCTTAGGATCACCAACTTTTTGAATCAGATGCTGCAAACAAAATACATGAAAGAAAATTTATATAACTAGAAATGAACATTATACTTAATAATTTGATCATTTATTTGTAATATGTGAACATTGTACCACTCTTTGAATTTCCTTCAACATTTTCTTCTAATGCTTCAGATTTTGAACCTTCACCTTTGTTTAATGCTTTTTGTATTAATTTGCATTCACACATATATAGACTTAGTATCATTAAAGAAGAATATTTTACAATCACAAATGTTCATTTAATACTATATAAGTGAACTTTTTACCATTTTTTGAATTTCCTCCATCTTGTGGTTCTTCAGAATTTGAACCTCTAACTCTTTCTGTTGATTTAAAATATATGAAATTGTTAATGTAAATGAACATTTGTTATTCTGAATATATACTTTTTTGAATATTTAGACTAAACAAACTTATTATTTTATAAATGAACATTATACTTTTCATAATTGTACATAGATATTAAAGCTTTACCCTCTTCTGGCTTAGAAGAAACATTTGCATCAGTTGTTGTTGAAGTTGTGGCTGCAACATTAATCTGTGCTTCTGTGTTCAAATAAATTAAATTTTAATTCTTTAATTATATTATACTCTTTAAGTAAGGATATTCAAATTAATGACAGTTTTTAATTAAGCATATTTACCAGTTGTTGGAGTTGGGGGAGTTAAGTTGCAACCCAAACTGAATGCCTTCCTTATATCATATTCCTTCTCATTTCCTATTTTCTTTTTTTCTGCTTCACTTGCCTCCATCAGTTCCTTCTCAATTTGTGCTATGGCATTCAAAAAATCCTCTGATCCAAATATTTCTTCATCTTGGCTGAGAATTGATGGTTCTCTTGCCATCTTTCCCAACACTTCATCTACCTTCTTGACCAACTGATTCCCAGGGAAGAGCTCTTTTGCCTTAACCAATTTGGTAGAAAGTCTTGCCAAAGATGCACCAACTTCTTGTACCATTGATGCAAATTCATTCATAAAGACCTGTCATTTATAGAACATATAAAAAAATCATATAAGACATTATGTGTTTTGATATTGAACATTTCATAATTTATAAATGATCATTTTGTACCTTAGGATTGTCTTCAGGCTTTTCTTCTATTCTTGGAAGGACTTTTCCATATCCATAGTTCAAATCATTTTTTGTTTTTATCCTTTCAAGTGACATATCCCTTTTCCAACAAGAAATTATTGGAATTGTTCTTGGTTGTTTTTTGTTCAATCTTTGAACTCTGTCAAAGTAGAACAGCTGCACCAAAACCCATTACTATAAATGAACATATAATATAATACAAATGAACAATTAATATAAAAGATTAAAATTTTAGACGAAATCGATATTTAACATTTTGTTAATGAACATTCATTGTTACTAAAATGAACATTTTATAATTTACTATTGTGTGTTGTAAACTTACCATCAGAAATTGCAGTGGTCCATTGTAGAATCTTTTTCCTCCACTCTTTCTCCATGTCACATGGCAACTGATGAGAGAGTCAAACACGTACTGACACCAATTCAAGTTTTTTATTTTTTCTTTGTCCATCATAGAAAACAGAAACTTGAAATGGCATTGGTTGTTTGAAATACACTTCATCAAACAATTCACAGCAACTACCAAAAAGTTGGTGAGAAAATCTTCTTCTGCTGGCCTTTGGTTTTTGAATTTATCACTTGTATATTGAGCAATAATTTGGTTTACAGATGGTGTTTTACCTTGCCATTTTGACCTCCAATTTTTTATAAATACACCAAAATCTTCACTTGCTCTGTCTGATTTGGCTTCAACAATGGGAATGTCTCCCATTGGCAAACCATATACAATTCTCACATCCTCCACCTCAATTTCAATTTTCTCACCTTTAGGCAGCTCAAAACTACAACTACTGACTTCAAAGCTATCTAAAACCCAATGGCTGAATTGTTTGTCAAGCTGAGGAAGTTCTATATCCAACAACGGCCCCAGTCCTATTTCATGCACTAATTTCTTCTGTGTATCACTCATTTTCTTAACCCAATGCATGAATTTGACATTGCCTCCTCTTGTCGAACTTCCAACTTCCTCTTCATTCTTTTCTTCCTCCTCTTCTTTTTTTTAGCCACTGAAAATTCAGTTTTCCTCTTCACAATCTTTTTTATTGGTTCCCTCTCATACATAACCATTCTTTTTTCTTCAGCTTTTGGTTTTTTCAATGTTGTTTTCTTTTCTTGAACTACTTCCACCTCCTCACTTTCTTCATCTTCTTCTTTTTCAGCATCAAAAGCTGGATCCTCACTGTCTGATCCACTATCAGTATTACTTTTATCATCTTCTTCATTTTCCTCCTTTGATTGTTCTTCAATGATTTTTGTTTTCTTCAAAGGGCCTTTAGCTGATGCAGAAGGCCTCTTCTGGCCACCTAAACATTTGATCAATTATAATATGTAAAATGAACATATATATATGAAAGTGTAAATTGCTAGTTTGTATTTAAACATTTAACTTTATTAATATGTACATTACCTTTTTGTTCTACTTTTTTAAGAATTTTCTTTTCTGCAGGAGCAGAACTTGTTGTAGGGACTTCTTCTTGTTCTTCATCCTCTGATGGTTCATCATAAGACACTTGATCTATGACTTTTCTTTTTTTTGCAGGACCTTTGGCTGATGCAACAGGTCTTTTCTGACCACCTAATTATTTGATCAATTACATTAAGTAAAATAAACATTTTAAAAGTGTAAGATTGTAATTGAACATTTATTGTTTTAGATATGTTCTTTTACCTTTTTGGCCTGCTTTCCCAATAACTGCAGCCCTTGTACGCCCTGTTTTCTCAGCAGGTTTCTCTACAACTGCAGTTGCAGCCCTTGGACGCCCAGGTTTTTTGGGTGTTGTTGCTGCTGGTAGGTTTTCAGCAATTGGTGCAGCAGCTGTTGCTATAGCTGATATGCTAGGCAACTTAACATCTGCAAATAAACATTGTTATATAAATATTAATATAGTTGTAATATTTTATTTAATATGATCATTGTTATATTAGAAATTGTACATTTTATTTACCTCGTGATTTACTTCTTGTTCTTCTTGCTGGTGATTGTTCATCTTCCTGTTTTTTCTGATTTTCTTCCAATTCTTTTTTCTTTTGATTTTTCCTTGCAACCATTTTCTTCTTTCTTGGTTGCTTTGAATTTTGTGAAGATTCTTCACTCTTTTGAGACAAATTTAACTCTTCAACAGGTTTTATACCTCTCAATATTCTTGTCAACTCCTCATCCCTTTGCAATTCTTCTTGTCTTTGTCTTTCTAATTCTTCATCTGTTTCATCCTCAATCTCAATTTCTTCACCACCTATACATTTAGATCATTTACAAATTGGTAAATGAACATTTTCAGTATAAGTGTTATTGATTAAAAAAATTTAATATTTAATTTAACAATTATGTACATTACCTAATAGGATTTTTTTAATTTCAGCAGGGGCTTTCTGTTGTGCATTGGCAGAACTTGTTGCATGGGATTTTTCTGCAGCAGAGGACTTTTCAGTAGTTGTAGCTGGGGCCATTTCAGCAGCAGTGGCTTTTCCAGCAGTATCAACAGTTGTAGCAGGGGCCTTTTTAGCAGCAATGACCTTGCTAACAGGAGCAGTTTTCCAGTTTTTTGTCAGTTTTTTTTAGTATTCCTTGAGTTGACACTTTTATTTTTTTCCTGGCAACAGATAATTTATGATCAATAATATTGTAAATGTGGAATAGAAACATTTAATAAGTTATATATGTTCATACTTTTGCATTATGTATGAATGTGTTTCTTCAACTGCTGCTGGAGGCTCATCCTCTTTTGGAGGCTCTTCCTCTGCTGGAGGCTCATCCTCTGCTATAGCCTTCACTTGTTGTGTAGGCTGATCCTTTGTTGTAGCCTCTTTTGGAGGCTCATTTTCAGTTGATTCATTTCTGAAAATTAAAAATTGAAAATGATTAAAAATGTTTATCAACTAATATGAAAATGAACATTAGTTGATTTCTGAAAATACCCTGCTGCATCCTTTTTTGGTTGTAGTTGTTCAACCTCTCTTGTGTCTTTCTTAGGTGATTGATTTCTGAAAATCAATTAATTTCAAATAATTAAAAATGTTTATTAAGTAATATGAAAATGAACATTATGGGAATCAAATACCCTGTATTCACTAATTCTGATCCAGCCTTTTCTTGTTGTAGGTGATCAGTTTTTGCTTCCTCTTCAGTTGTTTTTTTTTTTTCTGAGAATGCAAATCATTAGATTATGTATGACAAACTAAGAAATAAATGAACATTAAACACATTGAGGTAGAATATACCCTTGATTTGTTGATGCATCATCTATTTTTGAAGTTTCCTTCTCTTGTTCACTGAAATTTTTCGAATGTTAATACATAAAAGTATGATTATGTAACTGTATAAAAATTAATTATTGAATTTTTATTAAGTATTTATACCTTATTGATTGATTTTTCTCTGGCCTTGATCTTGACATTATAAATTTCACTTTCAACTTTTTTGGTTCACTAAAATTTTACAAATTATTTCAATTATGAGATTAAGTATTGAAGTAAATGATTGTACATTAAATATTACATATATGAATATTTGTAAGTATATCAACTTACTTGGGATGTAGGTTGTCTCCTAATAAATAGGGTTCCCACTTTTTTATAACTTCATTTCTGTCCAATTTGTTGTCTATTTCAGAACATTCTTTTCTCTCATGAATTATAGGATAAGGATTGAACATTCCATTGTCAAATTGCATCAAGTGTATCACTTTCAATGGTACATCACTACAATGTAAATTAATATTGTAAATCATAAAAATTGACATGATGTTTCTATGTTAGACAAATGTACAGAATAGTTCATATAAATGATCAATATAGTTGTAGCAATGAACATTTGTATACACATATATGGATATATATAACATAATATGAATTTTGACAATATAGTGTTTTGTAAATGTTCATTTTACTACACAGATGAATAAAGTATATGTTTTCTATTTGTACAAAATGGAATTTAGAAATGAACAATTAATATGTCAGTAAATGTATACACATAAATTTAGAAATGAACAATTTAGAAACAAACATAAATTGCTTGTTGTACACATAATATACAAATTTGAACATATGTATACATATATATGCACACATATATGCACACAATCCAATTTGAACATATACTGTTTTGTATTTGTTCATTATATTTCACAATACTATACTTTATATTTTTTTTTGGTTGATCATTTAATCAAAATTATGCATACATTCCAATATTAACAGTAACTTGTTTAAATTTTTATTATCGTCTTAGAAATAGAGGAAAATTATGTTTATTTTGAAATTAAACAGTAACTTGTTTAAATATGAGCAAATTTAAATAAATTTATGCTTATAATTCCAAAAAAATAGTAATACTTACTTTGATTGTTCTGGAACTCCAGTATTTTCAATTTTTTTCCTGAAGCATCATCAAAAAGAAAAAATACCAAAAAATTAGGGTTTTGTTTCGCAATTTTCAATTAATTTTACACTAAACATGTAAAACATACTTACTCATTAGATTTTTGGTTTGTTGTTGTTGAAATTTGTCGAGATTGTGCAATTTCGTCTCTTATGTCGGACATTTTAGACAATTTTACTTGCTAATTGCATGTACGAAAATGGAGTAGAGAGAGAAAATGGAGGTTGAGTGAGAAATTGGAGAAAGAGGATGAGAAAGAAAATGCAGAGTAAATGTGATTATTTGAAAAGTTTTTTTTTTTTTTTTTAATTATATATATATATATGGGTGGGGTAGTGGGAAGTTACTAGCAGTTTTAGAGGGAAGTTACTGGGATGTGTGGGGGTAGTGGTACGGCGTCGTTTAGGGGGGGTGTAGGGATAAATAGCTAAACTAGAGTCTAGCCATAAATAATTACCATTTCAACGTGGCATACCAAACTTTTATTGGGCTCCAATTGACCTATATTCATTATTGGCTACTCTGCGAGCCTTCCTCTTCACCTGTAAAACGCTAAAACCCTTTCCTAAAACCTCTCCTCATTCTCTCTCCTCCTTCTTCGCCATCTCCAATGGCGAAAGACAAGCACAATGGAGGTTTCCTCGTGAGCTCACAATCAGAGCTAGCTCACAAAGAGAAAGCAAGCAAGAAAGCAAAAGGAGGTGGGTTTGAATCCCTAAGACTTAGCCCTAATGTCTTCAATGGAATCAAAAGGAAGGGTTACAAAGTACCAACCCCAATTCAACGCAAAACTATGCCGATTATTCTTGCTGGGTCTGATGTTGTTGCTATGGCGCGAACTGGGTCTGGTAAAACGGCGGCGTTTCTTATCCCTATGTTGGAGAAATTGAAGCAGCATGTTCCTCAACATGGGATTAGGGCTTTGATTTTGTCTCCTACTAGGGATTTGGCTCTTCAAACTATGAAGTTTTGTAAAGAATTGGGGCGTTTTACAGGTTATTTTTCTGTCATTTTTGTTGATTATGGTTTTGATTGAAATTTGGGTATTTTTGTTGAGTAGAAGTAGCTTGATGTTGTGTGTTTTTATGATTATAATATGTGAAAGTAGTGTGCTTGGAATTTTGAATTAACGGTGTAATTCTTTGTTTATAATATGTGAAATAATGGTGTTTTGTTGTTTATATATAAGCGAATTAGAATGTCCTGCTCCTATCGGGCATTAACGAGGTCGGACTTTGACAAGAACAATGTATCTTATATAATGGGGGAGTAGTTTATATTTTGGTGAGAGGGAGACCTTTTATAAGAAACAAATTTTTGTTAACTGTGATATCGTAACTAAATGGATCAAGTATGTATTGCCATTACCATTTTATCTGAAAATCAAGGCGTTAATAAAGCGTTTTTGATATAGTTAGAAGAATCAATATGAGTTGTGTGGTTGTTGGGTATTGATTTTTGCGTTTGAGTGTATTTCTAAGACTGTTGTTGTGCTTTATTTTTCGTGGTCATTTTATATGCAGATCTCCGTATGAGTCTTTTAGTTGGTGGGGATTCAATGGAAAATCAATTTGAAGAATTGGCTCAGAATCCTGACGTTGTTATTGCTACACCGGGCAGGCTGATGCATCATTTGGCTGAGGTGGATGACATGACACTTCGAACTGTGGAATTTATGGTCTTTGATGAAGCTGATTCTTTATTTGGTATGGGTTTTGCTGAGCAACTGCATAGCATTCTGAATCAGTTGAGTGAGAGTAGGCAAACTTTGCTTTTTAGTGCAACTATGCCAGCTGCTTTGGCGGAGTTTGCTAAGGCTGGTCTGCGAGATCCTCAGGTTGTACGCCTAGATGTGGAGAAGAAAATAAGTGCAGACTGTAAGCTCACCTTTTTTACCTTGAGGCCAGAAGAGAAAAATGCGGCCTTAGTATATTTGATTAGGGACGTGGTTAGATCTGAGGAGCAAATATTAATCTTTGTTTCCACTAAACACCATACAGAGTTCCTGAGATCGTTGCTTTTGATAGAGGGTATTGAGTCCAATATATGCTATGGTGATATGGATCAAGAAGCTCGCAAAATAAGCATATCAAAATTCCGATCAGGAAAAACTAAGCTGCTAATTGTTACAGATGTTGCCTCTAGAGGCATGGATATTCCTTTGCTTGATAATGTACTCAATTGGGACTTCCCTTCAAATCCTAAAATGTTTGTGCATCGTGTTGGAAGAGTTGCCAGGAATGGTCGGACCGGTACAGCTTACTCTTTTGTTACACCTGAAGATATCCCTTACGTTTTGGATCTTCATCTCTTTATGTCAAAACCCATCAGACCTGCTCCAACAGAGGAGGAATATCTAAAGGATATTAATCAGGTTACGGATAAAATTGAACAAGCTATGGCCAATGGTGTTACTGTGTATGGGCGTTTTCCTCAGACTGCTTTAGATCTTGTGCAAGATAAAGTACGAGACGATATTGACTCATCTTCCGATATACAAGCTTTGCTGAAGGCTAGCAAAAATGCATCCCATCAGTATATAAAGACAAAACCTGCACCCTCAAAAGCATCAATCCGGAGAGCAAAAGATTTACCCCGCGAAGGCTTGCATCCTATGTTCAAAGGTGAGTTAGAAGGCAATGAGCTGAGTGCTTTAGCTTTCACTGAACGCTTGAAATCCTTCAGGTAGGCATTGATTTTTTTTTTCTCCATCTCCTCTCTTGCATGCATCCGTACCTTGTGTTTTGGTATTCATCTAACTCTTTAATATTGGTAATGTGAGCTAGACCCAAGCAGACAATTTTGGAGGCTGAAGGCCGTGCTGCAATGTCAAAGCGTCGAAAGGTTATACTTAAGTTTATGATTGTACTTCTTATACTTGTTACTGCATTGTTTCATTTGCTATTTTAAGTTTTTTCATTATGTAAAAGTCTAGCAAAATGTTGTTGAAAATAGATATGGTGATTTTATTTATGAATTTCTCATTGTATGCATACTGTACCCCGTCTCTTCTGATCATATCTCTTGTAGGATCTGGCTTGCTGAATTTTTTAGGTGTTCTGTTTGTAAGTCAGTAAGTGGGTTTAAAGATGAATGAATTATAAATACTCTTCCCTCGTTCTCAGTACGTGCAACAATTTGACTTGTAATGAGTGTATAATGATGTTAACTTGTTGCATGTACTAAGAAATGGAGGGATTATTATGCTTGAAGCCGAAAGAAAGTTATACAAAATCACATCATTCCAAGTAGTGTCAGCTTAATTATTTGACATCTATTGGATAAATTACAAGTCAAATTCAAAATTTACCCCCACACCTTGATGCTGGTCTCTCAGCTAGTTCATACTCTGATTCATTGCTAAAACTATATAATGAAGTATTGTACTCCCTCCTTTTTATGTTATTTGCATCACTTGGGATTGCACGGAGCTTTAGGAGAGTAATATAATATTGTGAGTGGGTGAATAAATTATTGTTGTAAAAATAAGATGGGGACCATGAAAGAGAAAGTATGTGAGAGATGATGGATATTTTTAATTTTTTATTATTTAAGTGAGGACCATGGAAGAAAGAGAAATGATAAAATAATTTGAGTGGGGTTTAAAGTAAGAGAGAGAAATGATAAAATATAGTATGAAGTTACCAAATATAGACATGATGCATCTAAAAAAAACACCCCTAAATGGGAAGTGATGCAAATAAAAAAAACCGGAGGGAGTAACAAATTAGGCAAAGCAGTGTATCTTACTACTTACTAGAATTGGGTTAATGGTTTGTCTTGAAATTTACATGCATATAGGTGGTGCTTGTGAAAATTTTGATCCCGGTATTGGCTATTTGAAAACTATTTACTGGATTATTTCCAGTAGTATCATCAACAAGTATGTGATTTGTTATGCTGAAGTGGGAATACGTTGATATACATTCTCTTGAAAATCATAACAAGTGCTTATATCAATCTTTTTATCTGTGTACCATGTTTGTGTTGAACTCTGTGCAAGTGGCGGCGTAAAATTTATGATCATCGCATTCATCATTTGGAAATCAATCAGTGATGTGTTACACCTTTAATATTATCTATAATATTTGTCATGCTTGTAGATTGGGAAATTGTAATGATGACAACCCTTCAATATATATGCTTTTGACAAGTTTATATTTATTTATCTTTATCATTCCTTGCTCCCGTGGATTTTTCTTATCTTAGGGCCTCACGGCATCATGAAATTTGAACTAGGAAAAAATGATAGGGTTAACAAGGTTGTCTCTTCTGCATGTGATTTTTATTTTTTATTTATTTATTTATTTTTATATAATTCCTAATAGATTATTTTACTGACAGCAGGGTCCTTCTAGTCAATGGGTTGATGTGATGAAGGAGAAAAAGGCCATCCATGATCACATTATTAAACAAGTGCAGCAGCAATGTTCTACCGTTACGGAAGCCGAGGTAATACTTTGAGTTTTAGATGCAATACTTCATACCCTATGCTGAACTACAATATGAACTGCCATTGATGCATTTAGTACTCCATTATTGGTAGTTTCATCGTTTTATTTTTATTTTATTATTTTTTTATTTATTTTTTATTTTTAATATGGTCTTTAGGAGGACTCTTCAGTGATTCCCCTACATTCTACAAAATAAGATATCTATTTAATACTCCCATTGTTTTTTTAAATGCATGGTTTTGACCGCCACATTTGTCGAGACGTAACTTTGACCATTAATATCTTTAATTGTCTATTAGCAAAAACTATAACAAAATTATATTATGAAATTAGACATAATGATATATTATATAATAACATTTATATATTTTATAATTGTAAAAAAATTAAGTCAAACACGGTATGTGAATAGTGCAAAAGTCAAAGCGATGCATTAAAAAAACAGAGGGAGTATAGATCTTACCCTCCACTTGTTGCACGGAGGGAACCTCTTTAGGCTATGTTCTCTTCACATTATTTTCACTTATTTAAGGTTTATAAGTTCAGATAAAATAAAATAAGGGTAAGCTCAATAAGATAGTATAAGGGCTAATAAGTTAAGATAAAATTAATAGGCTCATATAAAATTAAATAATGGTTAATAAGTTCCAACAAGGTCTATTGAGAGCATGCAATAAGGTCTATTACGAGCTTATAGTAAGGTGAAATAGGGTCTAACAAGTTCCAATATGATGACGTAATATAAAATAAGTGCTCTTAAATTTAGATAAGATTCGGGCTAGTAAGTTTAGGACTAATAAGTGAGATTTAGGTGAAGAGATCACTACCTTTAAGGTATTGAGATTTTTAATGTTAATTGCTGTTGTGTTGGTATTTTGTTTTGATGGGGAGTCTTGCTTATGCAGGAAGAGGAACCCATGTCCAATTTTGTCAATGAAATGGAGGATAAAGGTTTATCTTCTTCACTTATTTTATTTTTATGACACTGCTGATTTTTTCCCTTTTAATTTTGAAACCCTTATTGTAGAGATGCTACTAAATGTATATTTTATGAGATATTTATAAATTGAAGTCCTCTTAAGTACATATATAATCTGATGTTTGAGATATTGTGGCTGATTGGAACTCAGGCAGCAGTCTTTCAGTAGCATAGAAAGACTAAAACATATTCTCTTCGTTTTAAACGATGTTCCTGTTTTGCTTTTTCACTGTTTTTAATGCACAATTTTAATCATCAACATCTTTAATTATGTAGAAGTTTTGTCATCATGGAATTAAGTCAGTATGGTCCTTTGCTAATTGTTTAATTTTGGTATTCATCAATAACCCTTTCCTTTCTTTTTACAAGGGATGCTAAACTGAGTCTATCTTTGTGATTTCCTGCATCTTCGTAGTATTTTAGAATTCAAGCTTATTGCTGTTTTGGTAATAAACGTGGTGCTGCTATGCCTGCTTGTGAGAAAAGGGTGAATCATGTTCTCCTTAGGGTACTTGTGTATATGTGTGGCAGACTGGAAGTGTGGGTAAAGCTTTGTAAATTTCACCCTAAAATGTAGGAGGAAAGTGTATATTGAATCGATGCTCTACTCGCACTCAATGGCAGATAAATGCATGAAGTGTTGTAATTTCAATGTTTGTAATTTTCTTTTGCACACAATGCTTATAAGTAGTTAATACTTTTCAATGGCAACATGAGGGGAGGCAAAAGCTTTTAGTATCCTATGTATTGTGGGTAGAGATTGAAGAGGGACCACTATGATGAGAGAGAGAGAGAATCTTGCAATTAATAGAAATATTGAGAAATTTACATGCTTTTAGGCCTAGTGTTCATAGTACATAGTAGATACTCCCTCTTTTTTTCTACGTTCAATTCACTTTTCGTTTTCATGTGTTTTTCTAAGCTCTACTCACTTTTACTCTATTCTTTTTATGATAACTCTTTATTTATTTTTTGTTATCCACAACCTCACTTTGTGGGGCCTAATTTTATTTAATAAATCTCTTACGCACTATTTCTCTCCTCTCTAATACTTCCTCCATTTTTTTAATTGAATCATTTGGATATTTTCACTATTTATACATCCCAATATGACCATGTTTGTGTTTTATATGTATGAAAAAAATTTAGTCATGTGAGATCTAACTAGATTTGTATTGAATTGTACTTTTCAAATATCAATTTTTTACTAATATCAAATCATAGATATTAATGTCCAACGTTTTGTATTGGCAACTGTAAAGCACCATATGGTGATACTAAAAAAAAAAAGAAGGAACTATAAAAGAAGGAACTAAAAAAAAAATTACCTTGTACATTGTGGGAAAATTTGCATTTTCATTATATTACCTGCAAGGCTATAATGGTGAGTAAACTGACATACTCAGATATATAGTCCAAGCAAAGGTGTTTGAATGCATAGCTTATGCCCTAAAGATAGCTGTGTTGTCATCCCTTTTAGGCTATAGTATAGCTATGTAGTTGTTAGAAATGTAGGTTAGAAGAGTTTTGAAGAAAAGAAAATACTGAAATGAAAGAAATTGCTATACTATCTTGTTCAATAGTTCAGTTTTCCCATGTCCTAGCATCTTGAGGCCTTGGAGCTGGTATTTTTATAATTTAATTTTCTCACGCTCGAATTTACATTTCTTACTATGATATCTTAGAGTCTTACAGTCTCACAACTCTCTCTCTCTCTCTCTCTCTATTTATTTATTTATTTAATTGTATCAGAAACTGTTGGTTCTAAAAGGAAAGCAAAGAGCTTCAAGAATGAGGAGTATTTTATCAATCCAGTGCCTACAAACCAGGTATTTTTCTTTTTGGTTTTTTCCTCTGATCTTTTATAGTAAAACTTATCATACTAGGAGTACTGATATTGTCCATCATGATATTGATGTGACATTCCTGGGATACATTGCTACTCCCTTCCTTTCATAATAATCGTGACACTAAGGTATGCACATAGTTTTGGAAATATATAGGATGGGGACCAATATAAGATTTTGTGTAGTATAAAGTATGGTTAGTAGGAAAAAGAAATTATATAAAATAAAGTATTAAGTGGAATTGGTAGTAGAGAGATAATAAAATATATGTGAAAGTGTGGTTAGTGGGAGAGAGAAATAATAAAATAATTGTGTGTCCTTTCCAAATATGGAGGTGTTGCAATACTATGAAACATTTGTAAAAGGAAAGTGTTGCGATTATTATGAAACGGAGGGAGTACTTGTCTTCTGTGGCTTTCTTTATTGAAGTGATATCTTCTTGTGCCTTAATGCTATTTGTAACTTCATTTTCTTGGCTTTATCTCAGCATACAGAAGCTGGACTATCAATGCGAGCTGAACTAGGTTTTGGTTCAAATAGGTGAGGCTGCTAAAGAATTATTTAGCATCAGCAGTCTTCCCACTGGGGGGAGTACCCCCCCTCGTTGTTCTTCTTAACTGGTGCTGCTCTTTTTTGTTTTTTTTTGTTAGATACATGTGTGATCTTGTCAGATTTGTCTCTGTTATGCTTTCATAATATTAAAAATATATAATTTTTACTTATTGGTTATAAATGTGATTGAAATAGAAGTGTTGCAAGTTAAAAGAATTAAAGAAATTATCTGTTTTTATCCCAATTAGGTGGTGGATGGACCATCGATAAAAATTTCATGTCTAATGTGTTTGTAGACAAAGATCCTTTGAGAAATTCACAATAATGCTTGGTCGAGGGTTTAATAACTTAGTGATCCAAATATACTGCTTTTGCAATAGGCTAATTAGCTTAAATTTTTTTCGGTTATGTTAATTATTTTGTAGGCTGGATTCAGCTGTTATGGATCTAGTTGCAGATGATAAAGTGGGAATGCAGAAACAAAAAGTCCACTGGGATAAGGTACTTCTGTGTGTGAAAGATCTTCTTTGGTCAACTCTGATCAATTTTGTATTAGTGGCAGATATTTTTTAACACATTTGTACATTTATCCATCAGAAAAGCAAAAAGTTTATCAAGCTTAACAATGGTGATCGTGTGACTGCCACCGGAAAGGTACTTCATTTCACTCCTTTGTATGGATTTGCAGATTCTTTAACTAGTGAAAACAGTTATTATATTTGCACCTTTTTTTTTTAATGTGGATTAACTGCTATGTAGTAACGTCATGGTTGTTACATATGGGCTTAACGTCATGGTGGAGAACTGGTGATATATCCCCCCCCCCCTTCTGACTGTCCCTTGAATGTTTATGCAGTTATGCTGTTAATCCTCTCTCAGACCTTTTGTTGTTTAATTGATTATCAAATGTTCTTTGTAGTTATGCTGTCTTCGTGGAACAATGACCATTTAAATTTCTGGTCTCTCATTAGACTTTTTTTGCCTTCAAGCAAATTTATTTGCTAATATATTTTCTTTTTTTTTTTTCCTGTTTTGGGGCTTATAAGTATGAAAGCTTATGTGCAGTCGCCACTCGCCAGTCAACCACTCAAGCTGGAATAGTGTGATGTCTATTAGCAGTTGTGCTCTCTCTTGTTACTTTTTTTTTAACCCTTACCCTCTCGAACTCTAAAATTATGAAAGAAAGTTAGCGAAAAATTTTGATAAGAAAAAGACTACCAACTTGACTTTTGGCTAAACAATTTTAAAAGAGGTCACTGTGTTCATCCTCTCTTGTGTAGGCAATAATGAATGTATGTCAGCAAAAATAGCCAGTCTCAAAGACTCAAACATATTGATTTTGTGTTGATTAGATCTGCTACCAACTTGACTTTCTGCTAAACAATTTTAAAAGAGGTCACTGTGTTCATCCTCTCTTGTGTAGGCAATAATGAATGTATGTCAGCAAAAATAGCCAGTCTCAATCATATTGATTTTGTGTTGATTAGATCTGCTCTTTCTTCAGCATCAAACTAGAAAGTTCATATATGGGTCATTTCTCTTTCGGGTTGATTAGTTGGGTTGCGGTGTGACAAAAATAAAGATATGCGTTTTATCAGTCATTTAAGAAGTATTGCAGGTATTGAGGAGATTGCTTGCATTGTATATTTGCGTCAGCTTCTGGGTCTAGCCGAATATCCATTTTTATAGGATTTTCTCTTGAATGAACTCTGTTTAGAGTAATTTATATGCTGTCGTCAACCTTGGCAATCTAGTAAACATATTGAGATCCCATGGAAGCAGAATCATTAATCTTGTATTGCTCTACAAAAACATTGCTCTTATTTGTTTATTGAAGTAGAATCTGTAAACCTATAATCTTTGACTGAAAATGTTGAATTTATCAGAGATCGATCATATTCTATACAATTTTTGATTAAAAAGTCTGTCCAGGTGTTTTTTTTTTTTTTTCCTTCTATTATGGTCCAGATGCCTGATGAAAGAGCTAATTATTGCTGCCTTGGTTGTCCCTTTCCCCCCACTTGAATTATTTAATTATGCATGTATGATTGTTATTGGACAGATTAAGACTGAAGGAGGGAAAAAAGTGAAGGCTCAGAGAACTGGGATTTATAAAAAGTGGAAAGCTAGTACACATAATAAAATTGCTCTAAAAGGACACGATAGTGGAGGCAATGTGGGATCATCCTCTGGATTTTCAGGTATTGTTCAAAAGCTTGGCTTTTGGTTTCTGTAACTTATAATGTTGGTCACCCTCTAAGCATGCATGTATAACTAGCAAATAGGTCGAAATTTTTGTAATGAAGACTTGCATAGTCCACTCACTTACCTCTACAACAACATGCTCAAGTCCCAAAATAATTTGGGGCTGACTAACATGAAGATATAAGATATTATCCAGAAAAAAAATGTAATTAACAAAGAAAAGTGATACTATGAAATTGGAAGAAAAACGAGAAAAAGTGAGCAGGGGGAAAAAAAAAAGAAGCAACTAAGGTTTTTTTTTTTTTTTTTTTTTTTTTTTTTTTTTTTTTTTTTTTTGTGTGTGTGTGTGTGTGGGTTGGGGGGGGGGGGGTGCATGTAAGGTTAAAACATAAAAAGTGGATATAAAAATCATACTTGTATTTGAGAAAGTTTATTAATAAGGTGCCAAGGGAAGATTAAACGATAGGACAAGCATTTGAGAGATGTTTTAGTCACACTTATCTTGCAAAATTGTTGCAACATGCTCTATTGCTCTTTTAGTCGGTCATGCCCCTTTGCTCTTGTTTTGCTGCCCATGCAGCTCCAGCTTATGTGCCTGCCCCTCATCTGTTATGCCTTTCTCATCATTTTACTAAACTCAATTGTTGTTTAGAACCTTGAAGTTTTTGCCCAAAATGTCAGACAGGTTATGTTGACACAATGACACTAATTTACATTTGAAACTGATTCTTGGTGATTTGAGAGCATGCCTAGCAGCCTAGGAGGATATTATCCCTGTTGTTGGTCATCTCATTGGACATCAAAAGGATATTTTTACTTTTTGGCGTTCTTACATTTAGTACCTGTTTTTGTTTATTGCAGGTGGTGGTCGGTTTAATAAGAGGTTCAACGGACGCAACCAACAGCGTTCAATACCAAATGCACATGTTCCTTCAGAAATCAAAAATCTTGAACAGGTTCGAAAAGAGAGACAGAAGAAAGCAACCAAGCAATCTTTGATGAAGCAAAATTCAAAGAAGGGGAAAAACTCTGGTAAAAACGGTAAGAAACGAAAGTCCAGGTAGAAGATACTATAGTGCATGGTCCTCCGTTCAGAGAGGATCGACTGAATTTTTGACCCATAGTAACAATTGTTATTGTAATGTTATGCTATTTCATTATAATATGCAATTCTTTTTGAACTCTACTTTGTGAACCAAAAATCCTTAAAATATATGAGAAATTAGTTTTGTTTATAATATAGTGGTTCGCTTTAAATTTTAAATCCTGCTTTCCAAACCTGCACAGAAGCACACTGACTTCATGTTCAATTTCGCTGTGTACAGCAACAATAAAGCTCTTTCTATAGGACAACAAAATGCTCCAAAATTTAATTTTACGACGAGTTTTTCGATTGTTAAATCTGTATGTAACTTCTTGAATTAAAGAATACTTCTCAAAAGAAAAAAACTTCTTGAATTAAAGAATACTTGCTGAAAGTTACCGTGCGTGGCACGGAACCTAACCTAGTTAATTGATATTTCAAAGTTCAACTTCTAACTTAATCCGTACAAAAATGGATTTGAAACTAATATAACTGATCCAACCTATATTAAACCTCAAAAGCTGAACTACCAGTAAGAATACTCTTAAACTTGGGAAATTATTAGTACGGAGTATCTAAAAATTCCTCGTTCTTTGGGGTGATGGAAACTTGTAAGTTCTTCAGATTCACATAATCAACAAGTTCCTCGTATTACATTAGCCTTGATCGCTTCCTAATCACAGGACCACAGGCAAATTTTATCTTCTTGGAGTTTGTTTGTCTTCACTAATTACTGATTTAAATAACCACAGTCTACAGATTACTATATTACCTTAATCAGCAGAGATCCCAACAGAAACATCTTTTTTTATGAAATTTTCGCCTTTGTTTCAGGCTTGATCGAGTTGTTAACAAAAAACAGCTAAAGAATATACAAGAATTTACTTTTTAACTACACGACTTTTAACTGAATAACAGAAGTTTTTACGAGAATGATCACCGACATTTTCACAGAAAATCGATGATTGCTGCATCCCCTGCATGAACAGAAGTTGCAAATAGTTACAGCCTCCCTTGTAAGTCTCTCAGCAAGCTTAAAAAATCACACTTTGGAGAATATATTTCTAAGGTAGTAACAAACTTTCGTTTAGAGCAACCCAATGAAAGAACACTACTGTATATTTCTCAGATGGTAATATACCGCGTCTTGAGGCAGGAGATCATCATTAATCTAGTGCCTCGAGGCAGGAGATCACTGCAAAGTGCAAGCACACAATATGTTGTGTACTCCTCCAAGGGAGACAGGTTAAAATCTCAATAATAAGCTACCATACATAAATATATACACAAAAAATGTTATAAAGTTAGCAGGATCTTTAGAATTTTAAATACAGATTGCTAATGAGATTGTCAGGAAAGGGTATATTGTGACCCTGAAAACGAACCATTCGTTTATATAATAATAACTTATCTAGTTGTTGCCGAAACAGGAAAGTTATATTATACATTACAGGGGAAAATCCTGCTCAGAAACTGTGAGTCGGAGTCTCATTGGAGAACTTTTGATCGCGACACGCATATTTTGTGGAACAACTATACAAACAATGAATCATCTAAACATTTTTACAAATCCAACAATCAAATATACAGCTAGTCGTCTGTTCTAAAAACCGTGTAATGTCGGATTTCAGAAGAATAATGTTATATGCATTATTACAGTAGGATTAAAATTGAATAGTAAGCTTGTTTCTTAATTGTAATTGCTATTAGGATCAATAGCAAAATGAATGTCATGTATCAAACGTTCAATCATGAGTAAAGGGTGTAGAATTTTGACACAAGGAGTCCATAATTTGGATTAAAACCGAAATCTAATCCAAACCGAATTATCAATTCAGTTCGGATCCAAACTATAAATCGAACCAGATCGGATTGAGAATTTTTGAAAACTATTGACAAATTTTGATTAAAATAAAAGATTACGAAACATATGTTAGATATAAAATGATGTAGGAAATTATCAAAATTATGTTTAAAAATGTTTTATTCTAAGTAATTATATTATATACGATTAGGGAATTATTTTAATCAATTTATTGGTGTAGTGGCGATTGAGACTACAATTGGTAAGGAGGACCCGTGTTTGATCCCCCGCAACAACAATTGGGAGGAGACTGGAACTTAACCCACCCAAAACTGATCCTCGAATCCGGATTAGCCCAAAGGGTGAACCGGGTGGAACACCAAAAAAATGTTAGGTATTCCTCGTTTTTAAATACTTGTTAATAATAAAATATACCAAAAGTACGGGAGAGAATTAAAGGAGAGAAAATATGGAATTAATATTGTTGGGTCCACTCGGTGAGAGAAATTAATTAAATACTCTGTATTGTAAAAGCTTTCTAAATAAGGAAATGGAGCAAATATTTAAAAACGGCCGAAAAAGAAAAGTGCAGCAAGCATTTAAAAACGGAGGGAGTATTTTTGTAGAAGATATGTTTCTTTTTTGTCAAAAAAAATAATAATAGAATTTTATTTTATAAAAAATAATTCAGCACACACCGGAAAATGACACGTATCATTGCTTACGTGTCTTTTAGTATATAGTTATTGATTTGGATTTTCAGATTGGATCGGATTTATCCCAATCAGATCCAAACAAAACCGAAAAACCGAATTTTAAAATTAAGCATGTATAATATGGAGGTTGTTTTAAGTCTTAAACTGCTGAAAGTTGTTGCTTGTACTGTTGTTGATTTTTTTTTTCTTTTCTTTTTTTGGTACTACTACGAGGAGTTCCCACCGCATTTGGTAAGTGGACTAATCTCCCACGGGAGTTTGCATGTGTACCTCGATGGACAGCATCCTCTCAACTGGGATAGTTTCCATACCCAAAGCTCGAACCCGAGACCTTGGTTAAGGAGCAAGAGGCCCTTAACCACTCATGCCAATACCAGTTGGTACTATTATTGAATTTTAGTGCATGGAGTAATTGTTGTAATGGATTAATGGTGTTGCCTTTTAGTTGTACTAGTTATTTTGAACAATTTAGTTGACTCATGTTAAACAATTTATGTTAATCAATGACTATTTTCAAGATTTTTACTCCATATTAATCCTAAGGATTGGACAAAATGTTATTTTTATAATTGCATTCTTATTTTTATATTATCATATTAGTCTATTAGACGCTATAAAATAATGTATTTTAATTCGGATTTTTGAATCGGATCAAAATGACCGAACTTTAATTTGGATTGAGTTGGGGAGTAATTCGGATTGGATCGGAGTGAAAAATTGAAAACCGAATTATATTTCGGATCGGATTGAATATAGCCTAAATCCAAACCGAAAACCAAACGGACACCCCTTTGAATTGTACTAGGTTAGGTCCCGTGCCATACACGGTAACTTTCAATAACTATTCTTTAATTAACATTATATTCAATTAATTAATGTGTACAATGAATTTATTAATTATATATGAAAGTCTATTATTGACAAAATAGATATCTTAAAATGAGTATGTATGTATATTTAAATATATTTCACCAACAAATTTATATCGTTTCATCTTATTAGCCAATGAGAATTTTAACAATATGTATGGAGTATTTAACTCGTAATTAGATTTTTTTTTTTGGCACACTATTATTCATTTTCTCTTATGTATGTTGCTTTTTTTTTCAATAATCAAATCACTTAAAATATTTTTTCAAATTTTTTTTAGCAAGCTTTTCATACATGATTAAATACAAAAAAACCCTTGTTTTATTAATGGTAAAGCCGTAAAGTACTACGTAATTCTACATATGTCATAAATTATGTTAAAGTTTATGGTATCAAACTATCAATATATATTTGGAAGGATACATTAAATCTTTTCTAATCCTTTTATTTTAAGGAAAAACTTTTGTTATGTATAAGATTTATTTCCTATACAGATTTTTTTTTTTAAAGGGGATATACCAGATTATAGCACATGTTATTACTGGTGTGTCTTTAAGTATATAGTTATTGATTGATGATTGTTATAATGCACGCGGAAAATACAAGTTGATATACTCTGTATTTGTTATCTTGTTTTGGTCCAATTGTTGTTTATAAATACTTTATCATGCAACACATTGAACAAATGACACTATACATTATACCACTACATGGGTACGTCCTTGTTGTAGTTGATGATCACCATGTAAAAAGACGTATTTAACCAAAAAAATAAAATTGATGGTTGAATTCCATAAATATGTTTTATACTCTATCAATTTTGATATTTATACTAGAAACACTTCAACTTTTTTTCTTTTTTTTTTTTCTTTTTCTTTAGGTTAGAAGATAAAAAAATAAATTATAATGCCCTTCTGGCGATGGGTACAAGAATACTTCAACTAGATAGATTCTTTAAGGTCTATAGTTTTTTTAGGTTTTTTTTTTTTTTTTTTTTTTTTTTTTTTTTTTTTTTTTTTTTAAGGAAATATAGGTCAATGTATTAAATAGATTAGACTTATAAGGATAAAACCAAAAACAAGAATTTAGTTGCAATAAAAGATCAAACATAAGTACATAACCCAAACCACACGATCCTCTTTCGATCAAACTGCAAGAATAATGATGATTGACTGCTCAATATTTCTTTTGCTTTCCTACTTTAATTCCCTCGTAGTTGTGGGTGAGAATATTAACGATTAAATTGTCATGGTATAAAAAGGTGTTCAATAATAATGTAAGAACGAAAAAAATATATATATTTAATTGTTTTTAGTTTACCGTTTAATTTAAATTTCAATGTCATATTGTCCATACAATAAAAGTAAGGGACATTTTAAGTGGTTAGAGTTTTGGAGCTTTTCTTTCGATTTGAGGAGATTTTGGGATCGATTTTCACCTCCGTCCTTACAACTCTCTAACACCAAATCTTGACTTGGTGACTATTACTCACTCTAATACTCTATTATCCTTTTACTTTTTTGTAATATGATCTATCAAATCGTTACATGAAGTGTGTTAGACTATTGTGGTAATTTCTTAGATCCATAGTAATCTTAGTTTCAATCACAAGTATGATGTATTGATGTGTTATTAATATTAGATCATGTCAACTTCAAAGATGTCATGAGTGCAATTGCACCTATAAATCCATTTTGGCCTTGTACAACTAATTTAAAAAGATTTAGATGGGTCAAGACGAATTAGGTCATAGGTTGACATGGTCTAACACTGCCAACAAGCCCATAGATCGTGTGGTGCATAGGCCAACTTCCTATAGTTACAAACATGGCACACTTAGATACAATATCCCCATATTATAGCCTAATTGGTCGTGTTTAATGAACCTATCAGCACAACAACCTAACACAAGACACGACCTGACCCAACCCGACCCTTCAAATCAACCAACTAGTTCGATCAACCCACCTAAAGAGAGAAACAAATCCAACCCAAATCTTACAACCCATCACACATCCACATTCTACACCAACACACCCTAAACAAAAAGTTTAATTAATTGAAAAGTAGGGGACCTCTCTCATGATAAACGCCACCACCTTGATCAAAGAAAGCCTTTTTATGACATTTAAAATACTGTTTATTACCCGGGAAAAAGCGTTAACACCCCATTTCTTTATTCTTGTTTCTCTTCTGGAAAGTTGATTGTTGCTCGTGAAAAATTAGCTAAGCACTTTCAATCTTTCTTCTTTTCTCTACTTTCATTTACACCAACTTTTTCTTCATTTTCTTTCTCCTTTTTCCTCTGTTTTTTCCTGTTTTAGGCCTTGAAAATTGACTCCAAGAACATTAAAAATGGTGAAGGAAACTGAGTACTATGATATCCTTGGTATCAGCCCTTCTGCGACCGATGAAGAGATTCGTAAAGCTTATTATCTTAAGGTTCTATACATTCTTGATTAACCCTTTTAATGTTTTTGCATTATATGGTTCAAGTCATTGTTGTATGTGATATTGATCATGTTTTGTTATGTGGGTGATGGTTTTTTTGTCTTTTCGTGTTTTGGTTTTGAAGATCTTGGATTAGAAATTCTTACTTGATTGTTTATTTTGTTCGAGTTTTTATTCAATTATAGGCAAGGAAAGTTCACCCGGATAAAAATCCTAATGATCCTCAAGCTGCTGAAAGGTTTCAGGTTATGTGACTCAATGAGTAGCTATTTATTATCTGTAATTAGAACAGAATTTAACTGTATATTTATGAAATCGCGGTATTATTTTACAGATTTTAGGAGAAGCATATCAAGCTCTAAGTGATCCGGTGCAACGAGATGTATATGATCGAAATGGGAAGCATAGTGTATCTAAGTAAGCTAAACAATATTAGTAAATTATATCACTTTATTTATATGTTTAGATTACTAGCTAATTGAATGATCCGATAAGTTGCTGCTATAAATTATGTACTGGCTAAGTTTGTTATGATTTCGAGTCACTAATTTCTATCATTTAGTACAATTCTTGGATGTTGAACCTAGTCTAGTATATGTGCAAGTAATCACGAGAGTTTAATATAAAAGCAATATATAAAGTAATTATAAATGTATACTTATCAGAAGTACTTTGCAGGAAAAAAAATAAGTATAATACTATAATGAAGATGTTAAGATATCATCATTTGTGTTATGTGATCCTGCAATATTGAGCATTAGTTGATTATTAGCCCATACTTCTATTTTTCAGAGATTCGATGCTTGATCCAACAGCGGTATTTGCCCTGTTATTTGGAAGTGAACTTTTCGAGGACTACATAGGACACCTAGCTGTTGCGTCGATGGCTTCATCTGAATTTATCAGTGAACATGACAGTCCCGAAAGGATTAATGAAAAGTTGAAGGCAAGTATGTTGCAGTAAACACTCGTTTCTCCAAACTTGTAGAGATCGAGCTATGTTTGAGCTATGCATTGCTGCCTATATGAGAAGGATTAACAATAACAGGACAGTATAACGTGCATTCTTATGAATCAATGAATTACTGTAATGCAGGCAGTACAGAAAGAAAGGGAAGAAAAGCTGGCAGTGAAACTGAAGGATTTTATTAGCCTATATGCTCGAGGTGATAAGAAAGGATTCATACAGCGAGCTGAAAGTGAGGTCAAGCGCCTTTCAAATGCAGGTAAAGACAGCCATGTTATTCTGACTGTCTTCAATGTTCATCGAAATTGATAGTTGTAAAAGATGGGAATACAGAAAGTGTTGTTGCTTTCGAGTATGTTTATTACCAACAGATTAAAAACACTCTTGCTGTCAACTAGGCCTTATTTATGCCTTATTAGTACCGAGTTTTTGAAGTATTTCATTGCACTTACCAAAGCCTTTTATATATAAGATCTATTACATTTGAATATATTTAATCAATTATAGAAATCATACAAGTATAACTTATATTTCAGACAAAAACTATTCTAACATCTTCATTTGTTGCACTGCATTGGTACAGCTTTTGGCTCCGAAATCTTAAACACCATAGGCTATGTTTACACAAGACAAGCTGCATTGGAACTTGGGAAGAAGACCATGTACCTTGGAGTGCCCTTTATGGCGGAGTGGGTACGAAATAAAGGGCACATTTGGAAATCTCAGATAACTGCAGCTAAAGGTATAACAATACACATTAACTCAAGCATCACACATAATAAAGTAAAATCCATGAGTCCCCTAAATTTTGGGAGAATTTCATACTCATTTACAGGTGCATTTCAGTTGCTTCAACTGCAAGAAGATGTACGCCGCCAATATAAGATGGATGGTAGTGGCCCAGCTAATGACTTTGAATCTCACATACGATTAAACAAGGATGTTCTCATGAGCTCCTTGTGGAAAATGAATGTTGTTGACATCGAAATGACTCTCTTACATGTTTGCCAAATGGTTAGTGTGTTTCCTTGGAAACGCTACATTCTTACAATCATACAGGGTTTGTCAGACTGTTCGGATATCTGAACTTCTTATACAAAGTACAAAAGCTACAGTTTCAAGGATTTTGATTGATCTTGCAGGTACTACAGGAAAAGAACATCAGGAAAGAAGAGTTGAAAGTTCGTGCTTTAGCTCTGAAGATCCTTGGGAAGATATTCCAGGTTCACCTTTCATCAGAAAGTTTTCATGAGAAAAGTTCAATATCATAAAGTACTAGAGAAAAAGCATACTTAGACTGTATATATAACACTTCTACTTCAAATCAACCCCGACCCTTGTTCTAATCTTTAAATCGAAATAGGAGTTTGAGCTGATATGAGAGAAAAGTAGTGAATAAGTACATACAATTTTTTAAGATTTTTTTCATGTTCCTGATAAATGGTCTGCTGACACCAATTTCTTTCTTCTAGAGGGAAAAGCTTACACAGGAATCTGAAACATCAAAGAAGAAAACAGTAGCTGAGATAAATGAAGATGACAGTGATTCTGATTGCAGTTCTGAAGAGGATTCACACCGGATGCTAAGTTATCGTACTCCTATGCTCAGTCAGGCAAGCTTCTGAATCTTCGATGCTGACATAAATTTGGATATTTAAAACTCAGTTATGTAGGCTCACGTACATACACACACAAGCATATGCACTCAAACTACATACATACACAGTAATTATTGTATATAACAAGGATGACAATCTGATTTGAATTACAATGCATGGAAGAAATAATCAGTAACATCTAGCAGTTTTAGCTTACCGAAACCTTTCTTTTCTTTCATTACAGGGAATTGGAAGGCTGTTCAGATGTCTCTGTAATCCTGCTTTTGATGTGGATGATGATGAGATTGTCTACAAGGGAAAATGAGCCTACATACACCAGCACAAAGTATTGCATTATTCAAAATGATCGCCAATGTACCAAAAGAAGTTGCTTGCACATAGTTGTTCGTTAACTCATCGTGTTCTGACTTGTGAGAAGAACATTCAACCTGTTTTTATTAGCCTAATGGCATGTTCAAAAGAGAATCTGGTTGACTGAAGGCTATATAGACATGGAGATAAGTTAACATTTTGAAAGTTTTCACTCAAATTTTTTTTTTCCAAGAAGTCTTAATCTTCATATGCTGCCACCAAATTTGTTAATTAACTGTCAAAAATACTTTGATCAATATGAAGTTAAAAATTCAGTTTCTACAGAAGTTGTGAATCAGTCTAGCAGCATATACGCTTTTCCTTCCATCAGTAGAGGTCTCCCATTCCATACGCGTCTCATTTTGTGTCTCATTATCTACGACTATGCCTATAATTCATTAGCTTACCATCAAAGTCGGCACCATTGCATGCATAACAGAAAGAAAACAGCCCACAAAACTAAGGCGGCCCATCTCCCACCACCAAGAAGATACAGATTCATAACGCATGTTTTGATGTTGAAAGCTAATCAGTAAACACCTCACAAAGTGATTAGAAAGATAATTGCTCCCTTTTGAGTCAGCCTCAATTTAGGTATCATTGTCAAAAGCTAAGATTGGATTGATGCAATCAGTACTCAGTAGATATCAACTAGCCAATTTGATGGCTCAAATTCTTTATTTATCTTTTGTTGATTATTAAGATTAGAATATGTCACAAAACAACAGAAAGGAATACCCCCACTTCAAGATCTTTGACGAATATACACCTTCCACTCGAAATCATATCACTCCATTACTGTCACTATTTATCGCCTACCAAATGAGCCAAACCTTAATATTAGAAGTACATATAGAATCGAGCAACTCCAACCTCCGCCCCCACTTCTACCCAGGCCACCCCGAAATAATAACTTCCCAGTATGTAAGCCCCTCTGCCACCGCCATCTCTCTAGACACCTAAAATGAATGGTTTGAGGGACCATGCAGCCGCTTTTGCAATGATGTGATCATGCAACTTGTTAAGACAGCCGAACAAAATAGATGAATGTGATATAACATAACAAAGAAGATTACATAAATGGACCTATATAAAACAAACTTCCCAGCAGTGCTTCAGAAAATAACTACTTGTATATACAAATTTTGGACCACATTCACGAGTCAAAGTCACTGTTATCAAGTTCTTCAAAGCCTAACAAAAGTACAGCAACATATTAAAGTCAGCTTCTTCCACAACTCTAGCTTTTTCATTGTTTTTGAGCTTAAAAAAGCAGTACAAAACACTTCCTACAAGGATTAAATAAAACAGAAGACCACCTTTGTTTACAACAGGAAGATATTGATCATTGAGATTTGAACAATCTCTCTCAATGCGCAGTTGTGCTTGCAGCGCGGTGAGCTTGGACAGCGCAGGCACAATGCACGGTCGTCAAATTAAGACAACCACTTTTGATAAGAGAATGCCGTCCAGGACATGTGTGAAGGGCAGGGGAGGAATCACATAGAGCCTGAACAGCATGAGGTGTAAGAGCAGTACACTGACTGATGTTGAGGTTCACAAGGCCGTTGTCTTCGTATCTGCTTTTAATAGACTGCCATACACCGTGCTTGTTTCTGACACAGCTCTGAGCCAGAGAATACATTGCTCGGTCCGTGATGTTCTGGCAATAGTATAGACCCAGAGATTTAAGGTGAGGGCATCCGTTTGCCAGAGCAATCACACTCTCATCTGCAAACATGTACGAAGTATGTAGGATTAAGTGACCAACATATAACAAAAGTAAAAGGCACAAATACAAAATCAACACCGAATTTAAATTTAGGAAACTGAAAACATTATTGTTGTTTGTAGTGGCTCTGCTGTGTTACAAACTCACAAAGGTGAATAAGATTTTAACTTTAGCAATTAGCACTGTGATTAAGCTTTATTCGCTCAACCCACTCTTAGGCTTGGCCCTTGGGTAGGTTGAAGATCAGCTCACCTCTTTTCTCACCTTTTTTTTTTATTTTAAATAACCATTTTGATTCCAAATTCAAAGCACAAAAAAAAATGGGTAGTGCTGGAGGACAGGGAGCCAACCAAGCATACAAGGTTGGAGCTTGAACTCTCAAGGTTCGGTAAAATCAAGCCCGACTGAGCTTAGTAGTAAACAGCTATTCCAAGCTCTTAAAAAACAAGTATATAAGATTCCTGGAAGAGTATATACAGTTTAAAATGTAGCTAAGCTGCTAGGGGCAAGATGCAGGGTAAAACAGGACGTGAAATCTAAATGTTGCTAATCTGATTCCAGCCATCTATTATGTAGTTGGAGGAAGTTCAGAAAAGGATTCATGAGTTATATTATGAAGAATCCCTTTTGATCCTCTATAATCTTCACTCAGGGTTAACAAGGCAATTAGGGATTGTTCTAACCAATGTAAGAGAAAGTGAGCCAACTGAGAACTAAGAATAAGCATGAAGTTTATTTTAAGACTTTCCAAAAAGTAAAATGTAAACTTTTTTACCTGTTATAAGTACACAGCCACACAAGTCGAGGGCTCTCAAATTGGGGCAACCATATGCGAGACTTGTCACTCCCACATCCCCAACATTTTCACACCATCCCAGATTGAGAATCTGGAGATCCTTGCAGTTATATGCAATGGACTACATGCAAAAATTGTCACTGTTAAACAAGGGATACAATATTCAGATAAGGACACAGGTGAACTTTTGAAGGACAACATACCTGCAATGCCTTGTCAGTTGCAGTCCTCACACATCCACATAGATTTATTGACTTCAACTTTTTACAAAAGCTAGCCAAATATGCAAGTGCAGTATCACTGAAAGCTGAACATCCGCTGATATTCAGCTTTGTGAGATTTGGGCAACCATGAGACAATGCATAAAGAGAGCAATCAGTTAGTTTGAAGCTTTTACTCAAGTCGAGCTCCTGTAGGTCATGGCAGAAGTTTGCTATTGCCTCAACAGCATTATCCTCAAGCTGCGCCTTATCTTGACGAAGTATCAAGGTCCGCAAATTTGTACATTTTGGCACAAGCGAAAGGACTAAGTTGTTCATGTCGTTATTGCACCTACACAAAGTTTTCATGCAACAATTACCAACAAGCAAAATATTCCACAACTTAAGGTTCTCCAACTCCAAAATTGCAATAAGTTAGCAATGTATGCTTAACATCTCATTCTTCCTGTTTCAAAGATAAGGGCATACACTTCTCCAGGTTGAACTTGGATGTTTCATTTCCCCTGATAAAGCTTATGAACATTATAAAATTACATGAAACTTCCAGTAGATTTTGTTTATTTGTTTTTGTTTTTTATAAAGAAGTGGGATCCTTAAATGATAAATCAAAGGGAGTATATGTAAACCAATAAACCAATCCTAATTCCATAAAAACAAAACATTTCTTATTTCAATACCCGTTAATGGTGAGAAAACGATTAAACAGTCATTTCAACCTCAAAAGATAAACAGAGTTGGCCTGCCTATCAGTAAAACACAGGGACTACAATCAGCAGGCATGTTTGGCATAAACTGCTAAACACATCAAAAATACCGAGAAAAAGGATTCGGATATGGGAAAGAGGTCAGGGATACATGCAGTAAAATTTGCAACAATTGACATTACATGCCAAAGAATAAGCTGCTTCCAACCAATGGTAGCCTTAATCAAGATAATAGCATATTACATCAATAAGGCTATAGATGTAACATTCAAATTCATAATAACAGAAGAACAAATTAAAACAAAATTGCAACAAAAAACTTCAAATTCCTTGTACTCCACATAAAACCATTATGCATAATCAAGACCCTTCTAGACATACCATGAAATCAATGTGAAAGATAAGATAAATTTAACCCAAAAAACCAAGCAAGAAAGGGTAAAAACTTGACACGCTAAAAGGACAGAAGTAATATACCATGATAGACAAAGACGCGTTAGCCCAAGGCAAATCGCATCCCTCCATCCACTGCACACCCCAGAAGCCCTGATAACTGTCTGATCATCAACAAGTGTCACGATTCGCAGGAGCAACTCCATAGGGATATCTTTCCACTGTGCTGACATCTCACCACTCATTTCAACACCACCACTAACACCACCATCAAGACCAGCACTAAACACCATCAGCTTCTTGAAGGAGTCCAAATCTTCAATCCTTAATCCACCTTGCATTGCCATCTATTTTTTCAAAACCAATGAAAGCATTAGGAGTTATCCTGATTTTAACTAAAGTAAAAATATTGTCAGATGACTAGATTTTATTAATCAAGCTGCATTAAAAGGACAAACAGAAAGTTACACAAGGCATCAAAGACACCCCATTTGTCAGCAGTAGAGTAACTACTCAGATATCTAAGACTGACTCATCACAGCCAAAATAAAAAAAGGAAAAAAAAAAAACAAAAAAACACTCTTTCCTAGATCCCCATTTCTGAAATTCTATCCATGATTAATCACTAGACATAACAGCCAACCCATTCTCCATTCCCTACATAATTCAATAGGAAAAAAAGAGAGGGATGTTTAAAAACTCGTATCTACAACAATAGGTCATGTATACAACAAATGTACAGTATGAAACTTAGTCAAACTAAATTATAAGTAATATGATTATTAAGTATAAGTCACCCCTTTACAAAGTTGACTTTTATGCAAATTTGTACACCATAATTAGTTAATTACTAAACTAATTGTATACGATATATCCATTGTTGGTACATAGCATACAAGTTCTTGCCTTTACACTAAGGAACTTCCTGGTCCCTACCCCGTACACGTTACGCCCCCTTCATTCCTCCAACAAAAAAAATAATATTGAACATCATTTATTTTACTTATCATAATCTATCTATCAATACCTAGCTTAATAAATTGGCAATGGAAAGTTCTAGAGCTTCCATACTAACAAAAAATAATATATGAGTCGATTTCAACTAGCTTAGTTGGTAAAGTCTAACGAACAGTATTCATGACCTAAAATCAAATCTCGATTACATCATCAAAGTTCATATGGCTAACCAGACATACACCCAAAAATAAGCAAGAGACCAAGAGCAGAGAACAAAATAGGGAAAAGGAATAAAAAAGACATAACCAAGTAAGGAATAATAAACAAAATTACTCAAAATAAAATAAAATACTACGTAATTCGATCAGTGTGCACAATTGATCACTATATTCACTAAATTCAGACATAAAGAACCAATTAAGCAATTCAAGCAAACAAGTTTCCACAAATAAAACCAAAATTTGAGCCCATAGTTTCACCATTAACCAAATTTCCAGAAAAAAAAACAACCAATATAAACCCAATTCCACAAAGTTAATCACAATTTCATAGCTTATATTATACACCCAGAAATTGAAACAAAATATATGATCATAACAGTTAAAAAGGTCAACCCATGAGAAAAAAACAGAATTGAAAGTCATAAAAAGATAAAAAGATTTCACCTTTGCAAGAAAAAGAGGGTTTTGAGCTGAATATCTCTTCTGGGTACTTGAATTTTTTTCAGAAGGCACAAATTGATTTGTGCCTGCTTTTTTTTGCAAGAAAATTGTGAAATATAAAGAGGAAAAAGATAGCTAGGAAGAAATTTAATAGGGAATCAAACGGTTATAATTTTTAACACGTGGATGGTTTAGATTAGATGTGTATATGTGTTGGGTGGGTCCCAATATAAAGGATTGTTTGATCAAATTAAGGAGAATGGATTGCTACGAAAAAATAAAAAATTATTTAAAAATAAATAAAGTTTAGATTATACAAGAAATAATGAGAGAGAATAAGGAGGTGATGGAAGATTCCAGAGCTCAATGAGTAAAATATGTGTATAATCGAAACCGCTTTGCTGTATAAAAAGCCAAAATAAATAAATAAATTGAAGGAATAGAATAAAATTGGATCAAAGGGGTTTTTAGTGATTTACATAAAGTATAAAATTAAATTACATAATTTGAGGATCTTCAGCAAGGTATACCTGCTACTTTAGTGTAATTGTGTGTTTTTTTAAGAGATCGTTGGATTTATGGGACTATATTGCACGGTAAAGTTTACACTTTATGTTTGATGTCTGCTCAAAACAAGGTTTGTGCCGCATAAAAGGGCAAGGCCGCAAGGGTCATCATGTGACTCGTGTCTTGTTAAATTAGTGTTATAGATTGGGTTTATGGTGGGTTAGAGCGTGGGATTGATTCATTAAGGTTATGGGTCAAGTTTAATAAGGCCAAGGCCGCAAGGGTCATCATGTGACTCGTGCTAAATTAGGGTTATAGATTGGGTTTATGGTGTTATAGTGTTAAATTAACCATGCGACATGGGTTACTTGAGTTTTTCGGTTATGGGTTACTTGAATTTTCGGGATTACTTGTGTTACTTACTAGAGTTTCTCGGTGAGGGGTTACTCGAGTTTTCGGGGTTACTCGACTTGCCGGAGTTACTCAAGTTTCTCGGTCAGGGGTTACTCGAGTCACATTTTTTAAATGCGGTCTGACCGAGAAACTCGAGTAACCCCTGGCTGAGTAACCCTTAACCAAGTGAACCCCTCGGGTAACCCTTATTCGAACCCCTCAAATAACCCCCTGACTAAGTAACTCAAATAACCTCTGACTGAATAACTCGAGTAACCCTTGACTGAGAAACTCGAGTAACCCCTGACTGAGTAACCCTTAACCTAGTGAACCCCTCGAGTAACCCTTACACTACTAGAAAACAGTCGTTTTTTGATGGAAAAATTCCGTCGAAAAACATGTTTCCGTCGAAAAAGCATTTGTAGGAAAAATGACTGATAGAGAATATCCATAGAACATTCTCATCCTAGGTTTAGGATATATTTTGTATAAGATTATCTTTGATATCTGTACATATCTTATAGTTACCTAATATGATTAGATTACTCATTGTAACCCTATAAATATTGATCAATGGAAATCATCTAATCAAGGAGTTTATATTATCTGACATGGTATCTGACGGATTTCATGCATCGGAAAAGATATTTCGGCCCAGAAAAGTCTATCGGAAATTGGTTTAGTAAGACCAAATTTGACCATAAAAATAAAAAGTCTAGATCTAGAGTTAGACTTTTCATGGTCGAATTTAACGTTAAAAACCCTTAAAAACAAAATTAAAAGGGCATTAAACCCGTGCGCAATGGAATTAGAGGTGTTTGCAGAGAATTTGGGGTTAAAACCATAAAAAATTAGAGAAGGAGAAGAAGAAGAGTAAAGAACGAGAAGAGGAGATGTAGATTCCGACGAGAAAATAACGAGAAGAGGAGATGGAGTAGAGAACAGAAGAAGAGATCATGAGGAGAGGAGGGAGGAACGAAAGAGAGAGAATGAAAGCTGAGAAGAGAGAAAGAGAAGGAGAAAGAGAAAAAGGAGCCGGAGTGAAACAGGGATGAGGGTAGGTTAAAATAGAGTTTAGGGTTTGGTTTTTATTCTTTTTTCCTTTTTTTTATTAATATCGACGGAAATTCCGTCGGAAATTTGACTTTACGACGGAATATTCTTTCGGAAAGTACATAAATTCCGACGGATTATTAAATTCATCGGAAATACCCGACGGAATATAAATCCGTCAAAAAATTTTGTTTTCCGATGAAATTATTTGTCCGTCGGAAGCTATCCAACGGAATTCGACTTAATTCTAGTAGTGCTTGATTCTAGTAGTGTTATTCGAACCCCTCAAATAACCCCTGACCGAATAACTCAAGTAACCCCTGACCGAGTATCTCAAGTAACCCCTAATTGAAAAACTCAGATAACCCCTAACAAAAAAAACTCGGATAACCCCTGCCGCATAGTGTAGCCCACTGCACCCGCTGCACCTTTTCTTTCTTTTTTTTTGTATGATAACATGCCATAAACATTTATTAGAAGAAGTGTCTTTCTTAGCAATCTTTCTTGTGCAACTTGACCAATATGCTCGATACCTAATTAAGGGATGTAGGTTTTTTGTTTTGAGAAGGGAAAGATCAGATGATGATAGCTATTTTATCACAAATATTAATTTAAAAAATACAGAAGACAGTACTTGCGGATTTTATTTAAGTATTTTAAACGTAATTTTTGTTTTAAACGTAATTTAATTACACCTACATTTGCTAATATGAACGAGATCACATTAAAAAAAAATAATAATAAAATGTCTTACAAATGGCCGAATGGGAAATATACATATATTGATATACCAATTCCAGCACTCTGGCTTGGAAAAGGTTAAATACACAAAATATACAATTATGAGGTCAAACTTTAATCTTGTTTTTGTTAGCAAAATAAGTTATATTTTTAAATCGTAGCCATTTAAAAAAAAATTATAAATTACAGCCCAAAAGTTCTTATAAATTGTAAATTATAACCCGATTTAATTTTTTCATCGGTTTACGCGTTGAAAAATATTCGGTTAAGGTTTTAGGGCTCATTTTTTCCTTTAAGGATCCGAATTGAGATCGGAATTAATTAGTAAAAAAAATTATGTAAGTGTTTCGTTTTGCGTAAAAAAATACGTTGCATGTATGAAAAATATGAAAGGTATATGACATGTATCAATGTATGCCAAGGTATAAAGCGAATAGAATTTGTAATAAACCTTAAGTTTCCACTTTAAACAAGTTGATTAAGGACTAATGAGCAACATAACTTACATAAGTACGTAACTACATTGATTGTCTAATTAAGCACCCCCGATCGAAATAAAAGCTCTTCTGAGGAAGGATATCATAGGACTGACCTTGCCACGGTTTATTATGTAATTTTTTTTATTTATTGAATAAATGGGCTTGACCCTCGTTTGCATAAAGAAAAAACGCGTTTTTTCCCTTCTGTTCTAGGAGTGATTTTTTTTGGTTGCTTTCATTCAAATTTCATACAAGTTGCACTATATTGTTATCAAATGTGCAATGATAATAGATAAACCATAGACGTGATAGTGAAGATGGTGGCCATGCTGCATCAGCTGATTGCTACGTTTACATGTAACGTTGAAAAGATTTTTGTAAGTTAATAATCCCAATTTATAGGTCATCTTCTATGCCTTGACTTTGTACTTTTGTATACATTGTAGCTAACTGAAAACATCAATGGTAGGACCTTTGCTAGCTTTATAAATCTTGCATTTCTCGTGGGATCTCTTGTTCAAATTCATGCACAATTAAGCCATTTTCATCACTAAGTATTGCTGCACACAACAAAAAAAACAATTTCTTTCAATGGTCACAGAAAACTATTGTTAGCTTAAACCGGGCATTTACTTTTTAAATAGATCGAAATGAACCTCATATACATGTATTTATTTAGGGCTTGTTTTCATTGACTGAACTCAGCTGAACTGAACTGAACTAAACTGAACTGAATTGAACTGAACTGAGCTGAACAGAACTGAACTGAATATTTTATAAGAGAAGGAAATTAGGGCCTGTTCATATTTACTTAATTTCAGTTCAGTTTAGTTTAGCTCCAATCAGTTCAGTTTAGTTCAGCTCCAATCAGTTCAGTTCAGTTCAGCTCTTAATTTTCCTCTCTCATAAAATATTCATTTCAGCTCAATTCAGTTCAGTTCAATTCAATTCAGTTCAGCTCCAATCAGTTCAGTTCAGTTCAGTTCCAATCAGTTCAGTTCAGCTCAGTTCAGTAAATGTGAACAGACCCTTAGTGTGCAAAATGCAAATGAGCTCCATATATAAATCTAGTACAATACTGCTATAAGCAAAAATGATTTTATCAAACTAAAAATGTGTTTTGGTACACGGTCCTATTTCGAGATCATAGTTTACAATGCTCTTTTCACAGAGAGATTTTTCAAAATCATCATTTTTTGGGGGGGGTGTTTACATATGGGTATTTTTAGTTGTTTACTACCCCACTAGTATTGGTTTCAATTCTCTAAATGCATGCACTAATTAACCCAATCAATTATGAGTTTATGACTCATATATCTTCAAGCACCAAACCAAAATAATCAAAAAAAAAACATAGTTGCTTAATTTACTTACAAAGGTTTCCAATTATTATGAAACACTATACTATATCTATGAAAGATCAACCATCAAATAGCTACCTATATTACAAAGAAGATAATAAATCCCCACAAAGAAAAATTAGTCACGCAATTATCTATTCCTTTTATAGAAAGGTTTTTATTTAAATTAACATTCTAAATTTGGAAATTTGGCAAATTTACACCTTGCCTTATCTTTACGTCAATTTTTGTACGAGTAGTTTTTTCACATTAAAAAAGATAAATCACAAAGCATTAAAAATAAAAGAATATGACCAAAGATTTTATGTACATTATGTTCAGCAATGAACCCGTCATTGATTATCGTCTTCATACATGCAATTGTACGTAATCATATATGTTATGATATGATTTTATTTTTTTATTTAATCTCGAATAATTTCATCCACTATTTTTTTTAGAGGGACACTAAATTAAATTATTATTGGACACCTAGTCAATGTTCGTGGAATTAATAATTGATGACATGATGAAATAATGAATTTAGTTATCGCATCTATCCATGCTATCAAAAAATTGATCTCACGGTTTTGGTTTTTTTTTTTTGGTTTTTGTTTTTTTGTTTTTTTTTTTCTATAATTTATTTCTCAATATTTTAGACTTGTTTTGATTGGAATTTGGAAGTTTTATTCCTTTTGTTAGGTTAATTAAATGATTAAATCATAAAGTATGAGCAAGTTATTACGAACTCTGGCTTTCAAAAAAAGTTATTACGAACCCTTCCTTATGCGAGCTAATTAAGCATTTTCAATTGTTATAACTAGGAACTTGCTTGCAATTTAGAAAATTTCCTAAATGCTAGCTTGATCATTAGAGCTAAAAATTAAATTAGCTTGGTCAAGCGTATTAACTTGGCCAAGCTAATTTACTTGAGAAAAAAATTACTATATAAACCGGGGTTGATATATTAATAAAATTAATCTTAGAAAACTAATTAAGATATTAAGGCTCATTTGAATTGCAAGTTAGTAGCTAATCATTGGAACACAAACTAGTTACAAAAGAGATTCGCTTAAAATCTTATGTGACATATCAAGTAAGCTAATTTGCTAATTTCGAGTACCATTAGAGTTGCTCTTTTAGCTTTTAAAAAAGAATTACCATGTACTCTGTATGTTTTAAGGTTTTTATTATTTTTTTTTTAATTTTTTTTTTATAAAGTAACTATCTTTGTTAAATATGGAGAAGCAAGTAATGTGGTCTAATAGATTCAATTCACAACTAAAGGCATGCATGCTTGAGACTAACTGGTACAAAGTATAAGGTTTGAAACAAAAGTAGTATTACTCTAAGGGTCTGTTCTCTTCAGCTTAATTTGAATCCAATTCAGTTCAATTCAGTCCATAACTTCCTTCTCTCATAAACGGTTAAGTTCAGTTCAGTTCATCATCTCACTTCAGTAAATCAGAACATGCCCTAAGTTGAGTTTGAAAAACATAAATAATAATAATAATAATAATAATAATAATAATAATAAATCTTAAAAATTAATATATTAGTGATTAAAATTATGCATTGACAAAGCGTAGAAGTGAAATGTTAATGTTAATGTGTTAGGAGGTGGAAGAGTTGCATTTACTCATCTTCTAAAAATTTATATTATATACAAGATCCGTTAAAATAATTATGATTATTATGAACAAGTATTTTAGCTAACAAGCTTTAATTGACAACGAGATGTTTGCTTGCTTGTTCGAAAACTCTTGATTCTCAAAGTCAAAGACAGGCATGTTGAAGCAATATATGTAGGAACATCAACACCTGAAATTGTCATATTCCAGATCACACTGATTTGGCGATACCGCATCTTTATAATTACACATAATAACGTATAATGTTCATTTTATGATTTTCTCTTCGTTCAACATGCTTAATATATACTCTGACCTCAAAATATTTATAAAATAAACATTTTTGTGTCAAGGTACTAGTGTGTGTAATACGTCTTAATTAAAAGCCAAACCAAGACGCAAACTCCATTCTCTATATGGTTATTATTACAGAGTAGATGCTAACTTCATCACAGTTCAACCTTTTAACATTTTTTATTTAAAGTTAGGAAACAATAATTTTCATGTATACAACCTCTATTGAACCCTCAATTGACCTTCTAGAACTTTGTAAATTCCATTTGTACATAGTTACAACTCTCATGAGAAGTCATAATTAATATATGACGGAGTAGCCTTTTATTTTACTAAATTAAAAAACTTTTTGTTTGAACTTATTTTCGCTAAACTCAATTTTCCACCGTAGCAAAGCCTAAGAAAAAATCAAGATCTCACACTGCACAAAACTAGACTTGATTTGAGTCGTTAATTCATTATACATTTAATTTCCTTGTGGCTTTATATAATTTTCGGTGTAGTTTGGAAACAGCTTACATCAACATGAAACCAAATTTATGACCTAACTGCGCAAGTCACCAGCTCTATGAAGAGCAAGAAATTTTGGGCCTATTTCATATTGAACTTTATACTGTCCTAATAATGTTTCTCATCCTACATATCTACCACCTAAAATTAATCATAAGATTCACAGTTCTGATGACAATTAGAGGCTTTCTTTGGTGAAACTTTTATTAGTCTATACACCAAAATGTTACATACATATGCCACAGTATATGTTCGGCATGCATCATATTCACGGCATGAACTTCTCCAGCAGACCGCCAAAGAAGAAGCTGGTTTTGGCCCATCCTTTAGCTTCCGCGGGTTCCCTGGAGCTAGCTGGGGCTTTCTTCACATTGAGCATCATGGTAAGCCCAATCTCTTTTCGGAGTGCTTCGATTGTTTTCACATCTACTGGATTCCCTGAAGAATCCCTCACATAGAACACATTCTTTGCCTTCTCTCCTACAGTGGACACACCTGCTCTCATTACTGTCAGACCATGTTCTCGGAGAATCCTTGTCACTTCCGATAGTAAGCCAACTCGATCCTTTGCACAGAGTTCTAGGCTTAGACCCTGTTTCATAAGCATCAGATAAATTCCAAATTCCACAAAATAGCACTGTTTGTTACAAAGTCATATAATATGACAAGTATTGCTTCAAGATATGCTTATAAAGCCTAAACCCAAACTCATTTGATTATATACTCACTTAGTTCTTCCATTCCATTGTAAGGTTTTACGTCTCCTAAAATTTCATACAGCCGATAATTTGAAAAATAATATCCCACCCCCAAATTTTTGTTTCGTCTTAACACAAAAAGCTCAAGGGTCAGTAAGCAATCAAAGCATTACAAGTCAGTAGAAAACCAACTTGTTCACTGTTCAGTTCAGTAAGTGGTACCAATGACTGAAGAAACCATATTTTCAACTAGAGCATCCTACCATAAAACATTGAAGGCAAAAGAAAGAAAGTTTTGAGACAGTACTTACCTCACTTATTCTCCGTTGAATGGCAGCTTCAAGGCATTTGATAACCCTTTCCTTCTCCATTTCCATGTCAAGTGTACAGCCATCCATATGTCGAATGTAGTACTCCTGTAACTCTTGTTCATCAGCAAATTTAATGTTGCAGTACAAATAAATTTTGGTACTGAGGAATTTTTTTCCTTAGCAAAGGGATAAAAAGCAAACCATCATGAGGATCTTTGAACTTTTTTATGCATATGGTAAACACATGAAAGGTAATGCCATATTGCCATGCATGCATTTTGAAATTAAATTGGGGGGTAAAAATATTTTCAACCTAAATGAAGACCGAGGTGGAAGTATTAAACATCCAACACTTATTATAACTAAGAAACAGAAAGGCCTTAGTTGAACAATGTGCATCTCGAACTTCCTGGAAAATATAACAGAATATCTGTTAATATTTTGGACAATACACTTGTCTGTCAAAAAATGTAATTTAAACTCTAAAATATGATAAGAAAATTTAAAATGTAGTAAAATTCTTTTGTAACTTGAGATATCCACTGTGATGACACTTAATTTCTCCACTCTTCAATCTACCAGATGACGTAATTTTAGCATGGTGTCTACGTACATAACGGAAGCTCAGGCAAAGCTAAGTCAATTCAAGAAAACAGTACAAATTCCACAAATTTGGCAAGGAGAATGATCTTGATACCTGTGATGCATATGGGCCATCAGAGGAGATGGTTGCATGGAAAACAACATACTGCATATCTGTAAGTGTGCAGACAATATCAAACATAAGCTTTGGTCGATCCTTGCACTTCAGTGTAACCACTGAGTACCCTTTCTCCTCACAATGTTCAACAAAAATTTTAGGCTTCAGAGGAGGAGGATATTCCACAATATTCAGTGTGTCAGCACTTTCATAATCCCTGTCAGCGAACATCATCTGATGAAGACGACGGTCAACATGGGTAAAACCCATGGAGAAACTGGTGTGAGCCACATGTTCATCATCTTGGGTGCCACCGAGAATGTTCTTGAGCTGTTCTTCCATCAGAGATAATCTGCTGGGGTCATCTACAGCCAGATAGGTAGTATCATCATTGACATAAAGGACACAAGCTATTCTAGTGTTGTGGGTCCAAACTTCAGCAGCAGCTATGTTGAAGTGGAGGTCAGCAAGCACTGCAAAGATCTCTGACAAGAGCCCTGGACGATCCTTGCCTATCAGCTCGACAGCAGTGTGATTACCAACAGAGTGTAGTCCAACTCTTTTTCCTGGCCTACTCTTTATCCAATCAGCTGCTTGGCCCTTGGGTCCCAAAGCCTATTGCAAGATGGGGTGCAAAAAATAATTAGTTACCTGATGATGCATCAGAAACTTCTTACATGGTACTGTATTTTGTTAAAAAAAAAAAAAAAAAAACAAAACAAAACTATGGTATTGCTGTCCGTAATCTTCTTACATCAGATAGGCATACCTTTTCAATATAATCTATGGTCTTGCTGTCTGTAATCTTCTTCCCGTTTTGATCAGTAACATGGAAGACTGATTTTCACAGGGGAAAAAATAATCCAAAATTGTGAGTCAGTAAAAGCAAGAATATACATTTAAGATGAGTAAAACCCCAAAAATAAGCATGACTAAGAGAAAAGCTCTTGTCAACTTTAATCCATATACAATATACTTTGTAGTTGAAAGTATCAAAAATAGGTTCAGATGTTATTAGATCAATAATACCAGAAATACTTTACTAAAGAAATGCGCACCATCCATAAACCATCCACCATCAGAGGAAATGTAAGCTTTGGTAATGAGGAGATCAAGATCAGTTAAGATTTGCACAACTTCCAAAAGTATCCCTGGTTTATTCATGCTATCAACCTGTAACAAAACAATTTTTTTTAAACATATTAGCTCTTCATATATTGTCAGAAAGCAGTATATGACATGATCATCCATACATGAGGGAGGGGGTGTGAGAAAGGGCAACTTTTGTTCTGAAATTCAGAAGATGAGATTCTGACCTTAACTAGGGTGCAATCACGGCAACTTGTGTAATCGACAGATACCCTGAAAAACAGGCATATTAGAGGCAGATGTGAATAACATGTACAATACAGAGCTTCATTAGAAAGTACAGACTAGATAGGAACCTGGGAGGATTTATTCTGATGCTTAAGTTCTCATATTCAGGATCAAAATATGGCCCAGCCATGTTATTGTCTTCGACAAAAATTCAAGAGACTTTCCACGGGTGGCAGCTACCTGGTTCAACAATTCATCCATTATTATATCACATGATGTATAGATAGCACTACAAATTGCACACGGTTAATATGGCTAGGAACATGACCATACCTAATTGCACAAGATGAGGGCGGAGTCCTGAATTCACCGTTGAACTCTCCCTAATCCTGCACCAACTTACATCGTACACCTTCACAGTACAACTACAATCCTTGACCCTGCAAAACAAGAAAATCCATGTCAGCCAAATTTGACCTTGTAACGTTTAATCTCTCAATATATAAATGATTACCATGGCTACCTCTATTGTGACTCCTGAGTCCTGAGATACCAGTTGAAAAAGAAAATTTTGTCCAACAATGGCTCTCTAGTTACCACACCTTCCAAAACAGCCACTTTACTCACTGCAATAATTGAAATAGCATCACTAAACAAAAGATATTTAAATTCAAAGTCGCCATAAAATCCTAAAATCATAATCCAAACATAGGGATGATGCATATCAGTTCAAAAGTGAGAACAAAAACTCATGAAAAATCAAACTTATGCAACTTATGGATATTATATAGCTTAGATAAACTGTCAATATTCTTAGTCAACATTGAAGTCATCGTATCGAACACAGAAAACAGGCCCAACCATAAGAAATCACCAAATTCAATGTCATCATAATATCTTAGAGACCTAATCCAAGCAAAGGTATAATGCATCGGCTAATGTCAGTTCTAGAATGCAGATGAAAACTCATAAGGATTAAACACATGGATATCATATAGCTTAGAAGAGCTGTCATTGTTGTTACTGAACACTGAAGTCATCATATCAAACACAGAAAAACAGCCAAACACCTACACATCTCAGATTGATTCACCTCCACAGCTTCTCATATCATCTCAGCTCTACCTCTTATCCTACTTAAGTGTTTACTCAAGGGAAGTAGTAACCCATCATGGGGAGTCCTCATGTTGGTTCTGTAGCCGACCCCACTTATGGGATTCAGGCATTCAAGCAAAAGAAGAACTATTCTTGATATCACTGTAGCTCCAAGTGGCCAATGTATGCGGGTCACTCCAATATATGCTATACAGCCTATACTTATATAGAGGTATCAAAAACTAACCCGAACTAAGATTACCCAATATGACAAGCCATCTAATTGACCCGTCATAACTCGACCCAAACACAACCTGAACAACTGATTTGACAGCACTAATCTACTGCCCAAACAGAATCACACAAAGTTATCTAGCCAATATTAACCTATCCAACTTTTGCACCCCTTTCCAATCCCCAAAGGCCAAAACTCCTCATCTACCATAAATTAAAAAACTATGATTATACATACTAAAATCCCAATTAATCAAATACAGTTGATATTTCTTCTTATCACAAATATCATGAATTATAATTTCTAGGATTTCAAACACCTTCAATTTTTAAATAATAATGAAAACCCAATTAAACCAAGCAGAAAACTACTCAGAACAGAACAAGAAAAACAAGAACATCAAAAGAATAAATGCTGAATTAATAAACAATTAACCAATCAATCGCTATAAACCCATCATCAAAACTAACAATTAAAAATCACTTTCAATAAAAAGAAAAGAAAAGGATGGAAAAGAGAAAAACTTACAAAATGGGTGTTTGAGAAACAGAGAAAATCAGCAAAAACTAATGAAAAAAGACTGGATTTTTAAGCAGAAATTGAGAATTTCAATAAGATGTTGTCATTGGGGTTGAGTGATGCATCAGCAGATGGCGCACTATATTGATGCTGAATGCTGAATGTTGGTTGGGTTTTGAGTGGAGAGAGAAAGAGGAAGACACGTTCGAATTGCGTGGCTAGAATCACTTTTTTGTCAAATCTCACTCTTCTTTCTTGTTTTTATTTTGTTTATTTATTTTAATCAAAGTGTTTTATTGTATTTCTTCCAAAAAAAAAAAAAAAAAAAAAAGTGTTTAATTGTATTTCTGCTCATCTAATGGTTGTATTAAAATATTATGGTTGTAATAATCTAAGTCAATTTTGCAAGATCAACTTGTGTTTCTGTGCAACTTGTCCTTTGTCCAATCATTTGATCTTCTTCTGTTAATTATTGCACCGCCGTCTTCTTCGCTGTGGGGATACGTAATGGTCTCTGTTTTTTTAGAGGTGACAAGTAGATTGTTCGGATTGAGTTTACATAAATTATATAGGTTTTTTGTGTCGACTCTATATTTGACTATTTGGGTTAGTCTAATTAGATTTCGGTTTTGTTTGGTTGACAAAATAAAACATAGGAAGTTGGAATTTCTAGAATTTGAAATTCTTACACGTGTTTGTTTGACAAATTTATGGGAAATAGAAATTCCTAGGAATTTTCATTTCCCACAAAATGGAGGAACTATATTACTTAGGGTGGAACTTCCCATGGGAATTTCCACTCCCTTGGTTAATCAAACACTTTTTAAAATTTTCTAGGAAGTTTAATTTCATGAAAAATCAAATTGGGTATATTTTGGGTAATCTTAGACTATATGTTGACTATATTTTCTGTATACTTTTTGAATATATTTTGGAACTTTGGTAGGTGATGCTCTGGTTGAATACGATCAATTCAGTTTAATTTTGAGTCGAGTCAACATTAGATGGGTTAAGGGTGTGTTCTACTCACCTTATTTTCACTTATATGAACATAGGTAACCCTTATCAAAAAATTTTTTTTTTGAACTGAAGTTATCTGAACTTACTTAAACTTATTAGACTTGAAATAAGTGAAAATAAAGTGAATAGAACAGACCCTAAGTTAAAAATAGCTATAGTTTTGGATCCCACAATAATTGGTATACTTGACTTTTTTTTTTAAATCAATTTTGACTTTTTTTTCCTTTTTTTATTTTTTATTTTTTTATTTTTTCCATTAAAAAATGTTGATATATAAGTTGTTGGATTTATCTTAATGTATATTATTAGAATGTCAAGTTTTATTAATACTTTATTTTATATAATAACGATAAAAGATGATCACAGCTGATATAAAAAACTAAGTGTCTCAATTATTCTAGGACGAAGGAAGTAATTATTAAGCAAAAAACAATTAAAAACACGAAAAACGATAACATTTCTCTCTGTTTTTTTAAAAGTTGTTTGCCCTTTATAGATTCCAATAATTTAATAGTATATAAAACATAGTACTTTGTCATGAAGTAAATAATTCAAATTAAAATCAATTTGTTTGATTCGCTTCACTTTTTGTGCTTAGGTTATGCAAAAAAATTTGATTTTTTTGACCTGTTCGATTGGGCAGAAATTTCAAATATTTGGTTTGATATTACAATTTTGGATATTTGAAATTAGATATTAAAAAAAAAAATTTAGTTTTCAAGTCGCTTTTGGTCTTATGGATTGATTTGATTACAAATCCAAATATATATCCGACATTCAACTGATTACAAATCGCATATTTTTAGATTAAAAAATTCAAAAATCTCAATTTGATGTCCGAATTTCATACCCCTATTTTGCATTGTATTTGAATTCCCTTTTCATAAATATATATGATCCATATGTATCCCGTCAAAAAAAAAAAAAAAAAAAAATTGATCCATATGTAATGATGTTAAATGAATCAAAAATACATTGAAAATTATGCAGATTACCAAGTGCAAACAAACTAAGTAAATTTGTCTAACCAAGAGAGTACCATAATTGTGGAAATGGTATTAATATTCCAAGTCTAACTAAAATTTGTCTTATTGTCATTATCAATTGCATAAAATTTCAATCAATAAATATCAGTTTAATTAATGTAAATAATGACGTACAACTTGCATATTTGTGCATGAGCATTCTAGTAATCATATTTGAAGTATTTAGTTAGACATGTAAATGTGACTACAGCATTTTTCACAAATTGACTTTAACAATTTTAGAGGACAAGTGGACAACATAAGTCATTAGTACTTTATAAAGGGTGTCTATTAGAAAATATTGTAATTCTAAAATAGCAATCATGTATTTATATCCAATATACAAATACAAATGAAAGTGGTGGAATAACGAAAGATCTTTAAATTAGATGTTTTCGTATTTATTCGTTAAGAACTAGGAATTACAACCAAAGAAGTGGAATTCTCTTTCAAGCAATTATAAAGTGGATAACCAATATACTTATAATAGCTCCATCATACTTTATGTTATTTATTTATGGTTTGTTCTCATTGACTGAACTCAGCTGAGTTGAATTGAACTGAACTGAACTGAACTGAACTGAGATGAACTGAAATGAATATTTTATAAGAGAAGGAAATTAGGAGCTGAGCTAAACTGAACTGAACTGAGCTGAACTGAACTTAACTGAATTGAATTGAACTGAACTGAACTGAATTTCAACGTAAGAGAATATATAGACCCTTAATTTGTACTTGTACCTATTTCTATTTTAGTTTATTTTTTGCTAGTCACACACTTATCTTGTTTTAGGCTTTATTTGTTTCAATGGAAATTATAACATAATAATTTTTCATTAATTAAAGATGATTGTCAAGAGCTAGTAAAACAAAATTGTAAAGTGTTAGAGTTGGTGAAAAAATCCATTAACGCCGAAAATAGGGGAACACAATAATCTTTGAAAGTGAGTAGTACAAGAAATCTCTCATTGTAGTACAAAAAGGAATAGTGGATTAATGAATAGATTGTGTGTATGTAGATACTTCGTTAGATCATGATATCTACGTTATTATTAGGTAAATTTTTCACATAAATATTGTATGAAGGGACACTCATAAAGTATTTAGTATCGGAGTATTAGAGGATATATAGGTGCATACATGCCCTCAAATGATGCCCAAGCCAACACCACTATTTATAGGTGGTGTATAGAGGTGGAAAAAATGCGTAGAAAATTTTACACACATGCTCTTTAAATTGCCACTTAAATCAAGAATCTTTGTGAGTTATGAAATTCACCAGTTTTAGATTCTTCCACAAATCTGTATCGATTTCTAAACGCAATAGGGTTTTCTAGAAACCTTGAGATGAAATAAGTTGTGCTATGAAATTTGGGCCACGCTAACTCAACAAGATATTTTTCTTTATTCATTTAAATTATTTACAAGCAAAATTTAAGAGAAAAAGGTAAATTAGGCGTGGAAGTGGAGTGAAGAGAAGATTTTGGTTGTAAAAAGGAATTTGGACGACATTCCTTCATCTCAAAAGGGATATGTTTTCTACTCTACAAAAAATTAGGCGTGCACCAATGTTTTCGCCTTAAATAAATTGAATAAATCAATTTTTTTAGATAATGTTTTACTTCAACACATAACTTTTTTTTTTTTTTAAATGTTTTCTTTTTCATCTTCAACATTATTTTTTAAAAAAACATTTTGTTTTTTTTTTTTTTAAAAAGAAAAACAATCCGATATATTTAAACCCCTTTTCTCCACTCAATTTTTTTATTTCAAAACAGCACACTCTCTGATCACCTTTACGGAAACCAAATTTAGGGTCTGTTCTGATTGACTGAACTGAGCTGAAATGAACCAAACTTATTAAAGCTGAGCTGAACTGAACTGAACTGAACTTATTAGAGTTGAACTGAACTATACTGGATATTTTATAAGAGGAGAAAATAAGGAGTTGAGCTGAACTGAATTGAACTGAGCTTATTAGAGTTCAACTGAACTGAACTTATTAGAGCTCAACTAAATTGAACTGAACTGTCGTATCAGAACAAGGCCTTAGGGCCTGTTATCATTGACTGAACTCAGCTGAACTGAACTAAACTTATTAGAGCTGAACTGAACCGAAAAAATATTTTATAATAGAAGGAAATTAGTATCTGAAGTGAACTGAGCTGAACTAAACTGAATTGAATTGAGCTAAACTGAACTGAACTAAACTGAATTAAAAATAAACGTATGAGAACAGACCCTTACTATAATAAATTAATCATTGATTAAGGGTCTGTTCACATTTACTGAACTGGGCTAAACTAAACTGATTGGAGCTGAAAAACTGATCAGAGCTGAGCTAAACTGAATATTTTATGAGAGAGGGAAATTAGGAGCTGAACTGAACTGATTGAAATTGAACTAAATTGATTGAAGCTGAACTGAATTGAATTGAATTGAAATTAAGTAAGTGAATAGACCCCATATGAGAGGACTCAAAGTATCACAATTTTCATAGAAAACTACAACCAAAGATGTAGAATCCTATTCGTGAATAAAATGAAATTGTTTCGAAAATCCCTTTTTTTTTTTTTATTTATAATAATATTTGGTTAACGTTAGCTTAGTGGGCTTGTGTCATCACATGATCAATAATTAAAAATTATTACTAATAATTTATTATGATTGGCATAATGGCATTTGTCTCTTGATGAGTTGATGTTACGTTATGTATAGAATCGATGGAGTAACTCAGTAACCCTTACTCCATAATAGCTATGGACAATATTGCTAGGAATTGAAGAACCAAGTGTCAGATGTGCTAACAATTTTATCTCCAAGTCGAAGCTACCTTCTATGCATGCATGTGTTATGGTGCAACTTAGGACCTAGCTGAATTAAATTGAACTTATTAGAGCTGAACTGAACTAAACTTAATTTATTACTATTGCATGCTACAGTTTTGAGGTTTTCTCCTACGATTGTATTTACTTGTTTTAAGTTTTAAACGCTATGGAGGTTAATATTCCTTTACATGGGTAAGAGTAGAAGTAGTGCAATTTTTGATTTTTAATTAGATACTAAACCATTTAGTAACTTTATAATTTATTTAAAAACAACATATATAAACCGGAAGCCAATGTATGACATGTCATAATACATGACCTGAATTTGAATATGTTGGTTGACATCTAATACCTCCAAAATAGAATTTAAGCTCAAGTTATAATACATGACTCTATTATGTAGGTTGACATCCAGGACCTCCAAAATAGAATCTAAGCTCAGCATTCTGGACAAATTTACTATCATAACATTCGGGCACAGATGTAAGGACTTCAAAATCTTCTTGTTTAGGATGAACTTCTTTGAAATTATTATCAGCATAATCAACATAGAATAAATCACGAATATAACATGATTTACCAAAACCTTCATTTGAGAAATGTCCACTGCCCATTTGTGTAATAGTGTTGTTGTCTTGTGCCATTTCATCTGCCACTTCTCCACCCCATGCTACTATATCACCACCTTTGTCTGTCATGCTTGTGAATAAGGAAGCTGGCCAATATCCCATTGCTTTGCCACCATACGTTAACCACCAATCTTTTGTTGATTGATCCTATTACAAAGATACCGCGAGAATTTGAATTCTTTTTAAATGACATATATCTTACAAGAATTCACATACATGTTAAATTGTTTCTAATACTACTAATTGGTTGTTGGTGTATTGGTGATTGGGACTACACTTGGTATGGAGGATCCATGTTCGATCCCCCACAATAACAATCGGGAGGGGACTGAAACCTAACCACCCAGAACTGCTCTCCAAATCCAGATTAGCTCAAAAGGTGATGCGGATGGAACACTAAAAAAAGAAATTGTTTCTAATATTTTATAGAAAGAGTTTATCATGGTTTTATGACCAAAGTGTACAATCTCATTGGAAAGAAAATAAAGGGACAAAGCACCTAACAATTGTACTCAATAAATTGTGAATTAGGAAATTTCGAATCAAATCAGATAAGGTGATCGAATTAAACATACTCTAAATATTAGTCATCCACAATAAATTGTGATTGAAACTTTTCTCGATCTACTACCCTTAACATTAGTACTCGATAAAAGAAAATTACGAGAATTGTGTAAAACTATTACCTGGTATATGTATAGATTAATTGATTTTTGTAATCCGCCATAAACAGAGGAGGAATCTATGTATGCACCCACAGCAAAATCCTTGTTCGTTTGCACAAAACCCGGACAGCTTAGGTCATAGCATCCCGTAGACATGTAGTTATCCCTCTAATAATTCAAACATTTTAAAATTTTAATTATATAATTAGCTGTACATATAATACTAAGCTTACTAGCTACTTACCGTCCAATATATGAACCACCTTGGTCTACTTTGACTATCGGATGGGTATACCTACACAATAATGTTCATATTTTTAGTGGGTAGTGAAATATAAACTTTAGTCATTGAGAGCATCGTTGATAAACTTGATACTTTAATAAAAAAAAAAATAAAGATTGATCGCATATTAATTGGCATAGGAACTACTTCGTGCATTTTGTACAAGTATATTATCCTACCTCTGTTACATACTTACATGCATATTATGTGTAAGTTTTGAGTATTATTTATGAAATATAAAATTCAAAAGTTGCACATAATATGTAACAGAGGTAGTAGCTAAAATATAAATGTTGTGACACATACCCGCCAACCAGCCTCTATTGTATTGAGATTTTTAGCATCGCCAGCAACGATCCATATTTGTGAAAGGCTTAGACCTATAGGGTTTACAACAGGGTTCCATACATTCAAAACTCCATGCACTCCTCTGAACTTTCCAGGTTCGTCACCTGCTTTTATTTGGATCATAGCATACTAGTACCAGACCCAAATTGAAATTATGATTCATAAAAACACGCAAAAATTAATTAAATTATTAGTTTTAAAATTGATGTGATGTGATAAAATAAATCATTAGGAAGCCCTCTTCATGAGGTCATAATATGATGTGATAAAATATATTCCCTCCGTTTTTAAATACATGCTCCATTTCTCCAGCGCGGAATTTTGGGAGAAATTGAAGAAAATAATAAAATATAGAGATAGTAGGGTAGGTGGAAGAATAAAAAAATTATAAAAAGCAAAAGTAATAGAGAGAATTGGAGGAGAAAGAATATGAAAATAATAAAATATGATCATAGTGGGTCAACTAGATGAGAGAAATTAATTTAATATCATAAAAAAATTTCAAATAAGCAAATGGAGCAAGTATTTAAAAGCAGCCGAAAAAGAAAAGTGAAACAAATATTTAAAAACAGAGAGAGTATATTATTCAATTCTACAACATACAAGTATAAATGTTGTGTAGTATAGGGTATAAATTCTAGCTATACGTACAACATGGAATATTAGTAAATTTTGATAGAGTATAAAACATATTTTGGGGTTTCAACTATCAGCAGTTTTTGGTTGAATTAGTCTTTCAAAATGATATTAGACTCCGTGGAACACAGAGCGAGATCACGAGTTTAAATCTCATCCACCCCTTACTTTAAAGTGGAATATTTTACGCTAGGCATGAGGAGAGCCCATACAACATCCACACAAGAGTCCGTAACTTCAGGCTCAACAAACGTGAGGGGGTGTGACCATGTGATAGAGTATAAATCTATTTATGGAATTCAACCGTCAATTTAAATTTTTAATTGAATTAACACATTTAAATGTTGTACAGTGAAGTGTGAATGTGTGACATATAATAAGATTAGTAACGAACAATAGTATAAAAAATCGAGTGGTGGGAGTTACACCACCTTTTACTTATGATTACCGTCGAGGGTGAAGGGGAATTAATTTAAGTTGCTTGGGTAAGGTAATTTAAGAGCGGATTGTCTCAAATTATTCAGTAAATTTTGTAAAGAATGAAAGAAAATAAAGAATCACCTTATGCATCTTAAGATTTGATAATGCTTCTGCAAAAGGTGATGATGATTTTCTTTGTACATTGCTAGAGTTATAACCACTGTATTTACGACTAATTGGGATGGAACCGTATGGACACCGTCCATACTTGTGCCAAGACTGTTTAAGCTCAAATGTTCCGTTCATTGATTTCAACGTACTTGGATACGTTCTCGGTTCCATCTGCCAAATTACAACCGTCACATGTTAACACTTATCAGATTAGAATTTCTCATGGGTCAATAAAATATTAATAGACAACCAATAAAGATAAATAAGTATTAAATTATCAAAGTTTGACAAAAACTTAACCGAACTAATGAGTTTAAGGAAGAAAAAAAAAAAAAAAAAAACCTGTATAGTGTGGTTTTTAAGGAGTGGATGAGTCAAAGCTAGTTGTTTGTGCACGTCAATACAATCAATTATATCTTCATCTCCAACCTACAACAAATTTACAGAGTTAAATAGAGCCATATAAAACATTGTTGCATGCATGCATAATTTTATAATCTACAACAAATCTTAATACATGTATTGAGTATAATCTACTTGTATATTATATGTATTTTTTTTAACATAAAAAGGAGATATATTAGATTAAAAGGCTAAAGCCTTAGTATTTACATAATACATCATATAATTTTTACACTGAAAATTGATGTAATTACAAAAGATTATATGATTAGCATGCCTTACATCCGAAACTAAATTCCCTTGGAATTGATTATATACATCATCTAAAGTCCCAAAAGTGAACCACATACATAACTAGAACCCCAAAAAGATTATATTCAAAAAAATATTAAATCTTAATACTCAATACATATAATATACAAGTAGCGAATTAGTACTTGGCGCGGTTAGAGTTTATAGATGCGTTAATAGTATAATTTGAGCTAATATTGACGTACTGTGACATTTAGGGTCTGTGCCATACATGGTAATTTTACTACTTTTAATTAGAAAAGTAATTAATAATTTTTAAATATAAATATCATGAAAAAAATATTATTATAATATATTTATTAACATGACTCAGCCTGATTAAGAAAAAAAACCTAATAAATTGTGGAAATTTATTGAATAAGGCTAATATTTTTTCATATAACATGATAACATGACATGAAACAGACACAAATTCTCTCAAAAAAAAAAAAAAAAAACAGACACAAAAAAAGCGGGTTTGTGTCAGGGGTTACTGACTTGTTAATTAAACAGGTCAACATGACACAACATGTAAATTATATGGGTTGGGTTAGTGTTGAAGCTTCCCAACCCGTTTAACTTTAAATCGGAACACAACACGACACAATTGTATATATGGTGAATATTTTGTGCAAATTTTATAATAAGTAGTTGATGGTATATATTGAAAATAATATTAAAATAAAATAAAGGGGATAGGGGATTTTGGAAGGAAAATAAGAATAATTAAGTCAAGCAATCTCAAACTGTAAAGGAAAATAAGAATAATTAACCTTCTTATTAATTAAGAAATATTTTGCTCCATTTATTATTGTCCTTTGATGTAAAGGAAGTTTTTTTTTGACACAGATGTAAAGGAAGTTAAAGAGAAAATGTTGTACAAATATATATGGAACTTAATCTCAAGTTTATTTATTTATGATATTATTCTCTAACCAACTGAATTACGGAGTATTTGACATTCAAATCACTTGTTCTATATGTTATATCCGTGCCATATTCATTTTATTTAGCTAACAAATGAGTGAAATAATTTGAAAATAGCATATTGATGAATTCATATATAGTTTTAAATGCAATAATTTATTTACCTCTCCAATTTGGTTGTCTATTGATTCATGAAATGTTTTTAAAGGTTTGAGGGAAAAGTTTGTTGATAGATAGGCTAATAGCTCTTTTTTTTTTTTTTTTTTTTTTTTTTTTTTTTTATAATTAATTTATGACACTCTTTTCATTCTTTTTTGTTCTAGCCATTACTACGAAATTGGGCAGAAAACAATGAAGCATTATAGATCTTTGTATACTGATCGGTCAGTACGTATGTATATAGTAATAATTATACCCAAGGCCTTATACAATATATTAACATATCATTAATAAATTAAATTTAACCAAAAATATTAACCATAAATTGCGGGAATGAAATATTATGTGTATACCTTAATTGTTTTGACAATGCTATTTGAGCCCCCAATTTGTCTTCCTCTTCCAAAGGGAAAATACAATAACAATACAACAACAATTTGTAGAAGAAACACATAATCACCACCTCTCATATCGATATATCGTTGAGTTTAAGGATGATTATTATTTTTGCTAATCCTTGTTAGTAAAAAGATGATTTAATTTTGTAACATAAGTTTCATAGGATAGTATTTGCTTAGTGTTATATTATACGGAGTGTATATATATATACGGCATAATTAGGGAGAATGCAGAAATATGTAATGTATTTAATTATGTAATGTCTTGATGATATTGGTAATATTAGCCATATAAGATAAATTATTTGGAGTATTTAATTTATTGCCTTGTGTTGTTCCTCAATATTATAACACTAACTTATTTGTTGATATTATATGATACTTTTTTGATATCATATGAAACATTATGCTCTATATCTTGTTTTTATTGGCTGTTAATATCTTATATATTGTGGACTTTGTGATATGTGATTCTGTTTTCTATATTTAGGTCATGCATAGATGCACCATATAATCAATTGAACCTAGCTAAATACAATCAATTGAACCTAGCTAAATACAATCGGTCCCAATACGGTGAATAATATGATGAATTGGTATGGTTAAACTTTACTCCCTCCGTTTTATAATGTTAGTTTCATATACTATTTTGAGCATTTTAAAAAAATTTACCTATATTGAATATATTTCATTTATAACTTGATTTTTTTTGGAATTAATTGATTGTGGATGGATGACATGACTCTAAGTAAGGAAATTTTTACCTTAAATCATGCAATTATGACTTGTGCTTTCCTAATAAAAATTAAAAAAGTTAAATAAGGTAAACTAATTATAAATTATGTTATACTTTAATGTTAAATTCCAAATATATTTATTTTCTTATTTTGTGTGATTGATTCCATATGAGACTAACATTATGAGACGAAGGGAGTCAAAAAAAAAAAAACATTAACAAACGGCAATAAGTATTTTCCAAACATGTATTTTTCATATATATTGGGTAAATATATTAATACACAATTAAAATATGTAGCAATTATTAAGACATGACCATCATTATTATTATAGCCATGATGCAATTCAGATTAGTAGAATCATAATTAACCGGCATTTGACAATTACTATACACTATACAAAGTAATTAAGTCTCATCAAAAGCCTTTTCAAGCTAAGATAAGTACATCATTACATAAATATACACATCTAAATGCACTCTGCAACATCAGATGGATAATCTTTAGGGTGCTTCTTAATGGATTCTCTAAGCAAGATTTCTTGCTCAACCAGATCCTTTGTTGGTTCATCATACACATCTGTAAACATTTCCGAAACCGGTGGTTTTTCCAATTTTTCTGCCACTTGAATTGCTTGAAGAATCTGCATTGACAAGAATCAGATGAAACATTGAAATTGGCATATATAGTAGTATGGTTATCATACCAACTTAAGGAAGATAGTATGAAATACTCAAACTTTTAGCACTAGTAGTGGTTTTCACCTCTTTCTTGACCTTCTTTCGAATTTCTGATTCATCATCTTCATTCCACCAGCCATTTCTCTCAATCCACCTCCTAAATTTTGTGACAGGACTTTTTTCTATTTTCCAGTGTTCGATTTCATCAGTTGACCTGTACTTGGTAGAATCATCAGAAGTAGAGTGGTGTCCTACTCGATATGTTAGCGCCTGAATATATACAATTGATCAAATTTTAGTCTCCAATTTGGTTAAAATGTAAACAATATCTAACTATTGCATTGTATCTCAATGATAGGTCACATTTTTTAATAGAGGTCATTCTTAAGAACTTTAAGTTGAAAGAACACAACTATTCTTAATTCTACACCACATATAATTTTATATCTTCAGGTTCAAATATTTTACTAAATTAAGAAACATTGTAGTATTAAAATAGCCTTATGCAATAGATTATTCAGGGTCGGATGTACAGTTCAATCGATTATTCAGAGATGGAAGTAAGGTTCAAATATGTTACTCTCACTTGCATAAGATAATCATCTATTTTTAAGAAAGAGCTTATTACCTCAACCAGAATAGGTCTTTGTTCAGAGATTGCCATTTCACGAGCAGTTTGAACGACTTCATAGACAGCAAGAGCATCATTTCCATCAACTCGAATGCTACGTATTCCATAAGCTTGTCCCTTGACCACAACACCATCACCTTCAAGCATAAAGATACAGAGGATCAATTTTTTTTCAAAGAATTACTAGATGCAATTGTGAACAAAATACGAATACATAATTATATATTAAAAGACAGCATAATATTAGGGTAATTACTTCGAAATTGGTCTGAAATAGGAGTACTAATTGCATATCCATTGTTACGACAAATGAAAACTATTGGAACTTCCATGACTGCCGCAAAATTCAAACCAGCATGGAAATCTCCCTGAGGAAAATATTTTAAAATTAGCACTAATAACATTGTTAAGGCCCTCAATAATATAATCCAAGTACTAAACTTATAATTAGTATGATATGTACCTCACTGGTGCAACCATCTCCCATGTAGGCTACAACACAAGCATCCTTCTTATCCATTTTAAGAGAATAAGCAGCTCCTGCAGCTTGAGGAAGCTGTGTACTGAAACAACGCCAATTTTTGTTTAATTTATCATTCACCAAACGTCTAATACATCAACCTTACAATCAAAAGACACAAAAGGAATTCTTACGCGATTGGGGATGATATTGTAAAGTAGTTATGCTTACTAGACCCATAATGATTTGGCATTTGTCGACCTTTCCCACAATCAGCCTTATTTCCGAAACACTGATTTGTAAAATCTTGCAAGGTAAAACCACGCCATAGTAACGCCCCAGGCTCCCTATACTGTACTTAACATAGATATCAGAGGTAACTGCATTAGTCCATTTTCATTTCTAAGCAGATTAAACATCTCATTTTCCCATATAGTACTACTTTTGACATAATTACGTATTTGATTACATAATACCTGAGCAAAAATAATGTCCTCTGAAGAGAGGGCTGCTGCAGATGCAACATTAATAGCTTCTTCCCCGAATGAAGTCATATAAAATGAAATTCTTCCCTGTCTTTGTGCTTCGTAAAGAAAAGTGTCCATAACTTGAAGAGTGATCATGCTATTATACATCCTTGTTGCCAAGTCTTGGTTCACCTATATAAACAAAGAATTATACAGTTATGATTCCTATAGTTAAATTATATTGTGATGTCCGCAGTTTAAGCACTACTACTTACAAGATCATGATCTTTGCCTGAAATAAGCTCCCCACTGTCATTTAGAACACGATAGCAAGGCACTCGTGTCTTCCCAGGCTCGGCAATGAAACTCATTTGTGATGTAAACATAACCTTCCCTCCTGGAAAATCCATTCCCTGCAATATCAGTATATTACAAATGTAGTTTCGGGTTAGATGATCATCCTATATGTGTACTATTGTACTAATATTGTTTACCAAGACATGGCTTATTTTTCAGCATAAGACATAATCTATGGTCATTGCATATCTATACAAGCTAAGGAATTCAAATACTAATATCAGAGTATCAATTGTGAAAATATAAGTTAAAAGTGGTATAAACTATCAAGTTATCAACGTGAAATTAGGAATTTGACACCGAAACTCAATGAATATTTACTTGTTTCTTTCAATAACATTTTTCCAAGACATTTTTTAGAAACGTGAGCTAATGTTGGATCCATTTAACACAGTATTAAGGAATTCATCTATAATTAGGATTCCAAACCAGACCCAAAGTACCAAATTCTAAATAGAATTGAATTTAGCAGAATTTTAAAATGGATTGAACTCAATATATAAAAATCAAAGTTTATATTGAATTCCTTGAGATATAGGCACAAAAAGGAACACAAATTCTTGATTAAGGTGGACTTTCATTAAATGATTGTTAACCGGATTAAAGTTATCCTTAAAATAATTAAAATTACCCTTATACTACTACACACGTTACTATTTTCCTAACATAAATTTTACCCTTAAACACGTATGATGTACAAAGTACTAGATTAATCGTGTTAGCCTTTTATAACATGTATCCATTAAATCACGCATTAAATTACAATCAAATTCATTACAATATAAAATTAACCCTTAAAAAAATTAAAATTACTATAAAAATTGTTAAAGTTACCCTCAAATTGATCGTGTTAATAATAAAATTAACGTAAGTTTCCTTATACAAGACTTATTAAGCACAGAATACCAAACAAACAACCTCACTCACGACCCCTCGCCACTCCTTACATAAACTAAAACATAAAAACTTATATTCCGTACATTTTAAGATTAATTGTTCACTTTTGTCCCAAATGATTAAAAAATAACAGTTAAACTATTTTTATTTTATTTATTTTTTTTTTTTATTTTTATTTTTTGGTGAAAATAACAGTTAAAACTATGAAGTATGTAAATAGTACAAAAATTTGACAGACCACAAAATTTTGTCCGCATATAACCATTGTCGGAACTAATATGGAACGTGGTAATAAAACAATGAGGATGAGTTGGGCCACAAGGCCCACTATCCCAATGTGTCATCTTGCCAGGTAGCCCACATCAAACAATGAGCTTGCATACAAGTCAAAGGTTAGACGTCTTATTCGTACAAATTACGGTGACGTGGTATTGGAATTTTGCGTACTATTATTATAAATAATTAAAGAAAAATGTACTCCGTAGCCATTTATATGAAATAAATGAATCATGAGGTAATTTCATCTATATATCATAATGAATGGCCAATTGCATTTTATTTTAATAAAAATAGGTGTATGCAATCAATATGTATCTTCATTCCGTATAATGATGCAAACTATAAAAAATATAAAAATTTCAAATTAATTCATTTGCCCAACTTGTATACAGTATACTGCAAGATTTTTTTTTATTAATTCAGATTGGAATAAGCATATGCAAAATGCAATTGTTTTGATAAAATATAAACTAAATTATATTATTCAAAAAAAAAAAAAAAACCAGATTATATGTAAACTACATTATAAGCAGGGATCATTATATATCTTATTTCGCCTTAATTATATTTTCTACTTACGTATTGCAAGACTCTTTTTAAAGAGGGGATGATAAGCATTATATTTAGTTCCCATTGTTTACACATATACTCAATAGTTGACTTTCTATTACTAAATCTATATGCACATAATGCGTGCTTTAGACCTTTTTAATCTTTTATACACGGTTGGACTATTTTCAAGGAGTAGGTACGGATTATTTTCTAAAATAAACGATGGTTGGATTATTCTAGAATTAATGAAAATTGGGATCTTAGAATCATATGGTAATCCGAACTTTGGTAAAATCATATGGCAAAGTTGAGATTATTTGTATTACGAAATATATATTTTCTTTTATGATATTAAAAGAATAATAATTTGCTATAATTTGTATTGATATCAATTATTGAATATATCTTATTGGTGCATAATGTCACCTAGACCCGTATATATTTAACATGGTATCAGAACATATACAATAATATGAGATATAATTATTATCAAAAAACATATTTGTGTTGTACATTTTTCATATCTATATAAGTAGAATACTATCACTAGGATTATCTAATATCCATGTTAGGATATGGTTTCATTAAATACTCGTACTACATATTGATATAAATTAGTGAATCATATCTTAAGCATTAATACTCGTTTAAGTATAAATACTCTACCTATCCGTGAATAAAAATTAAGCAATCCTATTAAACTTTTACCTGATAGAGTTTGGTAGAAAAATCAATCTTAGGCTTCAACCATACAAAATTAGTTTATACTCGTAAATATTCTATCAAGACCACACTTGTCTAAGATCACTTCTATAGGTCGTAGCTTTGTAAATATTCTATCAATGTTTTTTAATTTCGCTTTAAAATGTGCAGATGTTGTAATTTAAAAAAAAAAAAAAAAAAAAAAAAAATTAATTTCAAAATTTATTTCTAAACATGTAAAGTAATTCTAGTACAGTAGTACTTGTGTAAATCTCATACAACAACCAGTGAACCAACCAATTTTCGGCAAAGATCCACGTAACTACTTTATAGCTAAGAGCTTCAAAAAGACAAAACATATAAACTGTCTCACCATTAACCCGTGTAAAATGAATAGGGCAATTGCGTAATTCACTTCTTTTTTTTTTTTTTTTTTTTTTTTTTTTGGGAAGGAAATGAGACTATGAGAGTATGATACGTTGTGTCTTATGGTAAACAGACTCTTAATCTTTGCTGCCAGAACAAGACTTCATTAATGTACACTAAAATACAGGGAAATAAAAATAAGAAAAAAAATAATTCAATCTATTGATCTAATGATCTGTATGTTGTCTGAGTATTGGACAACTAAGCAATGTTCATATTTGCTTCTATAAGATACTTCCTTCAATCCTTTATACTCCCTCCGCCTAGAATTACGTGAAACAAAGGGGTATTATTTGTGAGATATAAAATATTTCTTTGTTGTACATAATTTTGGGCGGAGGGAGTATTATTCTTGATTATCATTGACTATTATTCCAAATAACAAAAAGGATGGGAAGGAGTAAAACAATTTTAACATGCAAACCCAAATAATAGCATACCTTGCCAAAAATTGCAGATCTAAATAATCTCGAAATAAAAATATTGAAGAAAAAAAATATATTTGGGCCAAATCCTACATTGTGGGGAGATTTCTTTTTTCAATGGAATTGCCATTTCACCCCCTTTGTTATCAGCTAACTAAACAAAAATTAAAGAAGCAAAACAACAATCAACTCCATTTGGTGTTATTAGTTTAAATTATACGACGTACTATATGTATCAACGTGACAACTAATTTCGGACAGTCATGATAAGGTTAAATAAAAGTGTACCTCGGGTTCGGAAGGATAAGCATTATCATGATCATTATCATCATCATCCTCGGAAGAAGAGTATAACTGAGGATCAATCTTCAACTCAGCTGCTTTAGTAGATTCTAAACGCCCAAAAACAAAGGAAGTAGGAGAAAAAACAGAGGAGTTACTACAAACATTATGAGAAATTCCTAAGAAACTAGGAATAAAACTACTTTGATTAGTAGTTAGAGTAGATTTTGTTAAATATAATTGTTTCATAATGTTTGTTGTTCTTCTTAGCAACAATTGTGCCATTTTTCTCACTCTCTCCTTTTTTCCAACAATGTTTTGGAAGGCTAAGAAGATGAGTATGCCACTTCAAGAAATATACTTATATTGGAAAATAAGTTAGAGAAAGATAGGAAAATGGATGAGAATGACACTGGTTTTTTTTGTGTAACGTGTGAAGTGAGTAGAGCCAATGCTTTATCAACTTCAATTTGTTAAATCAATGCCATATTAGTCCATATACTACTGTAGTTTACAAGTTTTCCTGTAACACGTTTCGATTTAACCCTCCTTGGCCTAATTTGTCATAAATATGGTACTCTGGAAACTTCAAATCACCATTGAAAGTGATTTGGTGGAGTATAATTTTTTTCTTTTGATCGTATCAATGACGTTGGAATAAACACTTATCTTACTCGAACTCAGATACTCATGTTCGATACGAGTATAAATAACATTTATCTTATACGAGTATAAGTGTCCGACTTAACTATTTAGTAGAAAAAAATCTATGATTTTGGACTAAAAAGTAGAGACCAAATACAATATCTATGTTTAAATACCCCAAACATTCCCAAAGATCATGAACTGTTAATGCCCTCTCTCTTTCTCTCTCTCAAAGTAGAAACTCTTGATTAAGGGGCATGGCTAGCTTTCTCTAATAGTCTAATACTCCAATATACTTCGTATATAAACTAAATTCACCAACTCTATGTTACATTAAATGCAATTTTATGCGAAAAAAAAACCTCTCTCCTCTCTCTCCACCTTTCTCTCTCAAAAACCCTAGCCTCCATTGTTGAATTTTGAAGGGGCTTCCATCGATTTTAATCGGTGGAAAGCCCCAATCCTGGTTTCTTTATTGTTTTTTTTAGGTTTATAATAATACTTCCTCCTTTTGGGAGGAATTTTTCTCCCTCGAAAGAAAGGGTTTCCGATCTCCTTCGAAAGACAAGGGTTTTTCGACCTCCTTCGAAAGACAAGGTTTATCTCCTCGATCTTTTCGAGCGAGAAATTTCTTAGTTTTGAATCCATGGTAGCAGATCTAATGGATTGTCGTGAAATTATTTCGTTGGTGAAAAAGTTATCAAGTTTTCGAATACGAACAGATGAATCAGAAGGAAAACATCCTCACGGCTATAAAAGATCGTTAGATTGTCTCACCAACAAGGCTGTAATTTTCAGCGATATAAGCGGGAGATGCTCCGCAGTGCAAGATCTACTCGACGGTCGTAGTTTTTATGAAGGAATATTCTATTTGATTCAATATCTTATGTATTTGTTAACGTTGAATCTTTATTGTAGATGTCGTATGACTTTTAATTAATGAAATATTTTTGCTTTTCAAAAAAAAAAATGCAATTTTATGCTCCATTAAATTTTTTTCTTAAACTACATGTCCAAAGAAGTGTCTTAAAATTTCAAAACGGAGAGAGTATATGACTACGAAAAGAAAATCTAGTGGAGCTTACTCGACAAGCTGTTTAAACCTTAAATCAATCTTTTGATGAAAACATATAAACCTACTATTGCCCGTGTTATACAAATTGGGGCATCACTAAACACCAACCCTATTCTCAATTTTTCATGATTTTTTTTTTAACAGACACGACTTGTGTTTTTATACCTAATGTTGTCGGCGCTTTTTTTTTAAGACACATGGTGTTTCTATACTTATCAGGCTATAATATGGACATATAGTCTTAAAAAGAACAAAATACAGAAATTACCATTAAACGTTAATGGCTATGAATTGGAGTAATTGATGAGAAAACAGAATGCGATGAAATAGTAGGGCTAAAGAACTTCAAGGAAATAGAGTAAGCACAGTATTGTTTCAGACATTAAAGCTAAGAGCCTAAGACAGTACTATTGCTAATCGTTGCATCAATGCTGTGGGACTTATCAAGTGAAAAATGTACATCACCTGCTGCCTGCTCTAATTTATGGTTGAATTGAAGTTACCTTGTAGTCTAGTTACTATGCTGTGGCAAATGGATCCATCAGGTTTGGTTTTAGTCTAATTGGTTCGGGTCATATTCAGTTGATAAGCTTTTTGGGACATTAGTTCAATTATGGGCTTGTAAGCTTGTTCGGCAATTGCTGCTAACTGTTTTCTTTGTGACCAGTTGTTTGTATTACCTCCATTTCATATTATTTGCAACGATTTGAGATAAAGTAGAGAGGAAAATTGTCTAATCGTTGCATATAATATGAAACGGATGTAGTATTAGTTTTATGATAGTTATTTGACGGTTGGCTCTTAAATGTTTATATTTGGTAAATTTGGTTGTTAGGATAGAATTGTAATTGTAAGAAGTTAACAGTGAACACACACACACACACACAAAAAAAAAAAAAAAAATAATAATAATAAAAAAAAAAATCTTACTAGTTTTTGGTTTTGGCAGAAAAACTAGCTTTTTAGCCAACAAAAAACATATACTACGTATTTTGGTTGTTTGACCACATCTAAAAACCAAAAGTCATAGAAAAAATAAATTGCCAAACAAACTCTATTTAGAATTAATTTTCAGAGCACTACAAGTTACTCTAATATGAAAGTAGTTGAGTCATTAATATTTCAAGTCATAGCGTGTCAGCTTTTTTAAGTTCGACGTGTGAGCAATATGCGCCGCATGTTTGCATCTAAAAAATGCCGCTTATAACAAGACTTGAACTCAAGACCAACAAGTCTTAATTTAAGAGTTTTACCATCTTAGCTATTTATTAATTGTGTTTTTATCCAACAAAATTATAGTTAACTTAGATAAGTTAATTTGTATCTTATTATACAATTTATTTCCATTACAATTTGATTGAGTTTGACAACTAAAAAATGTTTATAGCAAGACTTAAACTCGAAACCAACAAGTCTTACTATCTAAACATTCAAATTTGATTAGCAAATCAAACAAGTACAAACTAGCAACCCGGGGTACCGCCCGGGCCACACACTAGTTGTATACTTGTGTCATTAATATTCATATACTTTACTCTGTACTATGACTACTATCTATGCCATGTTTCACCCATATTCCTCTTTGAGGTGTCTCTATAACATTGCCGCATTACCTTTAGTAGGTGTAATTTTTTTACTTGCAACCCCACTAGCTCTCTATTTTCTCTCCTCATCCAACCCACTTGAGGCCCATGTGCATAGTTTCTGTCTTTGTTTCTTAAATGAATTGTGCTCTATGTAACAAACTAGCAATCAACAAATGACAGAGGAAGTAGTTATATGAATTGATTAATGTCAAGTTCATAATCCTAGCTGACTAATCAAGATAATGAAGTATGTGTAATTACCATCTGAAAATTGATAAGATTTATAATAATACTAACAGCCGAAAGGCCATGCAATTACAACTATTTACGCGTATTACTTCAAATTACTTGCAAATATATAGCTAACACCACAGGAGCTATGATGAGCGTCCTTAAGACCAACATCACTCATGGTAAAAATTTATATCATGTTTCTCTCTCTCTCTCAATTTTCTCATTCTTCCACATCATTTATACCACAATTCAATATACTTTCTCCAAAAATCTTCTAATCCATGGTATAAGAATAGTTTACCACTTTCTTTCTCCTATATACTACGTACATTAATTATACACTTAATTTAATTATAACTATATTTCATTTTATTATTAGAAATAACTGATTAATATTCGTAAAGTTAATCAAATAAAATAAGAAATTTAGGTAGTAAAAAGCAAATTCAAAAAATATATAAAACTATATCAATATTGGTGTCTATGTGTAGGTCTTGAAAAACTATCATTAATGGTAATTATTTCATAAATTTTTATAATATAATTTTTTTTTAAAAATGCAATTGAAAAAAAATAAATAATAAAAGATATATTAATCAAGCCACATAACGTGACCTAGTTAATTCATGTTTTAAGTGGACTGAAGCAAAATGTTTACCATGTGATGATATGTACCATAAAATAATATAGTTTTATAAAGCTATTTCGCTAATGTATATAGTGGTAAAAATTTGCATAATTTTAATGATTTTTTACACTATGATATAAAATAATACTACGAGTGTTGATGTTCTAATTAGTTGGACCATGATTAGGGGGACAAGTATTGTGAAGTCTTGACGTGTTACAAAGTTGGAAAAAAAAAAAGGGATCTTTTTGGTGAAGGCATTTATTAGTTTGTTTCAGTTTTTCTGGCTGGTGTGCGACCCGTGTTGGCCATGTACAAAGTAAAACATTGTACCATTTTAAACTGAAAAAAGAATACAACTGAGGTACTACTTGTTAACTTAGACAGAGCAGATTTTAAATATTTGTAGTGTAATAGTTCAAATATATATATTGGCTACTTAATAATAAACTTATGATATCCGATCATTCAACAGTAAACGTGTACCTCAGGTCGTAGCGTTTTGATTTGAGAAGCGATAAGTCGTCTGACTATGCTGTGAAGCATCATGCTTAGGGAGAACGGAAGGCGTTTGCATTGCGTAAGTCTCAGCATGGCCTCGAAATTACACATGTGGATTATGATAGTATTAACCTAGTGAGTCAACCGTAAGAGCCATTCCTGCCATTTAAAGCATTGATAATTAACGAGAAGCAAAGAAATACGTAGTATTAAGCATGATCAAAGTCAGTTTAATGAAAATGTTTGCGTAATACACATCCAAGAGGGGGTACACATTGAAAAAAGTGAGCAAGGCCTTTTCTAGTGCTCCCAGCCAATCAAAAAGTATGCACCATAAACCAGCAACCATCCACAAAGAAGATTGGTTCTTGTTGGCTACCTCACGCCTCAAACCTTATAAGAGTTATAACACAATACGAAAAATGGTTCTTGTTGGCTGCCTCGCCTGGGAATTATCAAGGGTTTAACCTTTTCCAAAACTGTTGTCCATACAAGAATAGGGGTGGGAAACAAATGGGTACCCTGTGCCGGAACCAGAATTAATTGGTGCTAATTTACCAGATTTGAACCTAAAACTGTTTCTACCAGATTTGATCCAAGATTGAAGAATCGAAACTAGAGCTAATTCCCACCCTCATCCTACTAAAAGTGGCTCCTTATTCTGTGGATTCTTCCTAACATGACGGTTACATGAGTTTAAATTGTGCACATACCAAAAATTTAATCTTCTTAAAACCTACATTTACCTCATTTCCTACCTTAAACTTAGCCAAATAAAGTTACAAAGAAAAAACCATTGAGAAAAACTTCCACAGGCTAGATAGGGAGCCCCAATTCCAGTCAACACATGAGTACGTAACACATCCTAACAATTTACCAAAGTTATATTGATGACCCCATGACCACAGCCACTTTCCCATTAAATAGATGTTTATTTTATTTTTTGAGGACACTTCTATACAAAAGACATAATTGTTCTTACTCCCTTAGCCCTTAGCCAACAAACCAAATCTCAAACAACAAGAGAAGATGACCCATCTTATTCCCATTAAATTCCTACTTTCCTAGCAAACCTGTCCAAAATACCTTAAAGAAGGGAAGATAATAAAGAAGAATTTTGAAAAAAACAAAACAAGCCTAATTAGAGTCACCCTCAAGACACTTGAAGATTATATGAGTTAAAAGCAAGGCCGCCCAATAAGCCTACAGGGCAGAACAGAACTGGCAAATTGACTTCCAACATATGATACAATTCTTGAACCACATTACTAATCTATGTTGTGATGTTGGTAACTAGTACAAGTACTTTATAATCACTCAAATTCAAATTGGAACCCAAAGATAGTTGAAAGTAAGAGAACTAAAGAGAGAGCAAGCACAGCACATACTTTACACAAAGTTCAAGAGGGATCATTAATTTAGTAAAGTGATGATTTACTGCTGTGGTACTAAGCACAATTAAAACTCTTATAAAGGTGGCAATGTTCTTAAGAAACAGACACAAGGATATTCTCCCTTTATAATTGCTAATACACTGCATGGACATCATGGTATTTAAGATATTCCTTAGGAAAGGGAAATTATGCATGGAAACACCTTTTAAAACTACATCATTGCATCCTTGCTAGGAACTTTATATGAAGCATAAATTCTTCCTCCTTCATCTCTTTTCTCATTTCACTAATAAGAGTTGTAATTGCTTCTTTACAAATTCACCCAAACCCCAACCAAAGTCAATCGTGCATTCATTCAACAATCTTTAAAATTGTATGCACTCCACCCTCAATTTATAAAACTATAAAAGTATATCATAATAGTCCAGATTACACTCCACGGTCAACCAACAAGAAATTCTACACAGCTACACTCCATCTCTATCATGCAAAGCTAATATCAACATATATAACTGAAATCTACTTACAAGTAGTGTAAAGTTCATCCTGCAGCTTGTACCATATTCCTTTTCACACCCCATGCCAAAAATTTCACATCTTCCCTCTCACAATAAACAAATAAATTTCTAACACTACCTATTATAAGTTTCAATACAAACAGTATGACAAAATTCAAATCATAGTTTCAGATTTTAAACTCAAGAGATTTAAAATTTACCTTGATGCTAGCTGATTGAATCGATGATGAGTTATCTTCAACCTTAAATAAAGAATTTCGTAATCATGCAAATGAACACTTAAATCTCAGCATGATCTCAAAAGTTAAGATGAGGAAGCTGAAAAGAGACCTTCAAGACTGCAAATAAAAGTCATTCCTGCCAGTTCTGCATATGTAGAAACAGCATCGATCATTAATCAATAAAGCTTACAGTTAAGAAAGATTGATGACAATAAATAGCTTGTATTTACAAAGTATAATTTCTAAGACATTTTAATCAATAATGGTATTCTCAAATGCATAGATCTACACATCAATGCTACTAATTCTGCTAGCAGAACAAATTATGTTTCCTATACCATTATTGGTACATGAAGTAAAGATGAAAAATCACCAACCTTCACCTTCAAAGGGAGGGGTGGAGAAACTGAACAAAAGGAATAATAATAAATAAATAAACCAGGAAGAAATGAAGGCATTCTTTTGACATCTATGATTAACAAAATAAATAGGAAATTACCACATTTTTGCCTTCTTTCCTTCATAAAATGCGTCCAATTACCGATTAGCGGATTCTGCAAGAGCTTGAGTTTCCCTTATGAGCATTGTATTGTGCTTGATCAAAGATACGTCAAAACACAGGCAAAGAAATTGTCCATGCCACACAGCAAAGGGCAGCTAAAGTGCTGATCCATGAAAGGGTCAATCACTCCTGCTACAATGGCCTGCTTCTTTTAATTTGGAGAAACGACGGCTATCAAGTGGGCAGACTAGATTTGTCAATTATTTCAATAGGGTACAGAACTGGGTGGCTTAGTTTTGGTTCAGCTTATTCAACTTTTTAGCTACCCACATTGCCAATCTTGGACTGGGATATACTTTACAAGCATCAAAAATCCTTGTCAACATGGACACGGTTGGTTTAAAAGGCATTTTTAAAATTTTCCCAAGCTCCTTCATCGCTCCATATCTGGTGTAAAGATTAATCATACACTCATAATGCTCTAATTTGACCGTGATGCCATAATCATTGATCATGGCATCAAAATATCTCTTGCCCTCATCAACAAATCCCTCACAAAGACATGCATTGAAAACTGCCTGGAAGGTAACATTATCAGGTTTAACCCCAATCTCTTTCATCAAATCAAACAAGGCAAGTGCCTCCCTCGCTTTACCATGGTGACAACACCTAATAATCATAGAATTCCAGAGGATCGTATCCCCCGGTTTTGCAGTTTTGATGACCTTAAGTGCATACTCAAGATATCCACATTTTGAGTACATCTCAAGTAAAGCATCTAAACTAACAACATCTATCTTATAGCCATTCCTGATCATAAAACCATGGATTTGTTTTCCTTGGCTGTATGCAAATATGTTAGCACATGCTGCAAGAAGGGTTGAAAATGTATATTCATTTGGAGTTGTTTCCTTCTGCATCTCACGGAACATAGTAATAACATCCACATTCATCTGATGTTGTGCCAAGGAGTTCAACAGGGAGTTCCACGATATAGTGTCCCTCTGACCACTCATGTTATGAAAACATATTCTAGCTCTTCTTAAGGCCCCACATTTTCCATACATGTCAAAGAGTGCATTTTTCACATATATAACCGACTCAAATCCATGTCGATAGATGTAAGCATGAATTTGTCTACCATACTCAATATCTGAGAGTGCAGCAGACACATTCAACAATAGATTCAGAGTTACACCATCAGCATCATATATATTCAGGCACATCTTGAAAATAAAACTTTGGGCCTCCTCCCATTGGCCAGAGCGTACATACCCTGCCAACATTGCATTCCAAGAGATGATGCTTCGCTCAGGCATCTTATCAAAAAGCTCTTGGGCTTCTTTAAGTCTTCCTGCCATAGCATATCCCGATACCATAGAAGTCCAAGAAAGTAAATCCTTAACACCAGGCTGATCAAATACCTTCCTGGCGCTCACAACATCATTGCATTTCATGTACATATCGATCAGAGAAGTAGCAACTTTCTCATCATCTTCGTGTCTATACTTAATCACAACACCATGTATCTGAACTCCCTCTAAAACCGCCTGCCTATTAGAACACGCAACAAGAGCACTTGAAAAGGTAAACGTCAATGGCCTTACCCCTGCTCGAATCGTCTGAAAAAACATAAAAACCGACTGTCTCTCATCACCCACTTCAAGATACCGCCTTACAATCACATTCCACGAAACAGCATTCGGTCTATCAATCTCATCAAACATCCTCCTAGCATCAACAATCTCATCACACTTCCCATAAACATCAACCAAAGCACTCGCTATAATCACATTCCCACCATACCCCAACTTCACAACAAACCCATGAACAACCCTAGCAAAACCCAATTCCAACAAAACCCCACAAGACCCAAGAACACTCGCAAACGTAACCTCACTCGGCGAAACCCCAGACCGATTCATATCCAAATACAACCCCAACGCCTCACTCGGAAACCCCCCTTTCGCATACGCAGTAATCAGAGCATTCCAACTCCCACCATCTCTGTGAGGCATTTCATCGAACAGTTCACGTGCATCCTGCAAACACCGGCATTTACCATATGCCTCAATCGCGCGGTTAAGCAAAAAGGTGGGAGGTGGATCATAGTACGAAATCAAATGAGACTCGACTTTACGGGCCTCAACAATGGCTCGGCTTGCAGAACAGAGCTGGAAGAGGCGGCCGTAAAGCGGAAGATCAAAGGGAAAAGGAGAAGAAAAGAGGAGAGAGACGGCTTTCTTGAGGCAGCCGGCTTCGAGGTGAGAGAGAATGGTGTTAATGGTGGAATTTGGCTTTGTGGATTTGAGATTTTGAGCAATGGGGTTGATTTGAAGGAAGTTTTTGATGGCTGAAGCACCAGAATTTACACCCATGTGATTTTTGAATGTTACAGATATAAAATTTCCCGGGAAATTTATATGTGAAATATGGTATATGGATGGATGGATAAGGTCTTAAAGGGGATATTGGGCTAATAAATTTGGGTTTGATAAATTTGGGCTTGTTCATGTAAATTATTTAAAATTTATTTTTAAAAAAATATACGGCTATTTCACCAAATGTCACTAAATACTTACAAAATTCACCAAATGCCACTGACAAACAATACAATGACACATCGTGCTACTAAAACCATTTGAACGTTAGTTTTCCATTAATGCAATTCTTATTTCACCAAATGTCATTACTTTTTTTTTTTTTGAATAGCAAAAATATTTCATTAATTAAAAGTCATACGACATCTATAATAGAGATTCGACGTTAACAAATACATAAGATATTGAATCAAATAGAATTTTCCTTTATAAAAACTACGATCGTTGAGTAGATCTTGCACTGCGGGGCATTTCCCGCTTATATCGCTGAAAATTACAGCCTTGTTGGAGAGACAATCTAACGATCCTTTGTAGCCGTGAGGATGTTTTCCTTCTGATTCATCTGTTCGTATTCGAAAACTTGATAACTTTTTCACCAACGAAATAATTGCACGACAATCCATTAGATCTGCTACCATGGATTCAAAACTAAGAAATTTCTCCCTCGAAAAGAGGAGATAAACCTTGTCTTTCGAAAGAGGTCGAAAAACCCTTGTCTTTCGAAGGAGATCGGAAATCCTTTCTTTCAAGGGAGAAAAGTTCCTCTCAAAAGGAGGAAGCATTATTATAAAACTAAAAAAACAATAAAGAAACAAGGATTGGGGCTTTCCACCGATTAAAATCGATGGAAGCCCCTTCAAAATTCAACAATGGAGGCTAGGGTTTTGGAGAGAGGAAAGAGGAGAGAGAAAGGATTTGAGATTTCATGTACATGTTACCAAATGTCATTAATTTGTGAAATTATTTCACCAAATGCCATTACTTTTTAAAATTAATACACAATAATTATTTATTTTAATGAATAAAAATAATATTTTTTTCGATTTTCGTGACGAATATTGTTCGGGTAAGATTTTGGGGGGTCATTTTGACCCTTTATGGGTACAAATTAAACTAGAAATTGACAAAAAAAAAACCCGTAAATACCCCGTTTCACATTTTTTTCGAAAAAAAAATTACGATGTCGACATACAAAACGGGACATATATGTTATTTTTTTAGTCAATTTTGAGCTTCATTTGTTTCTATAAAGAATCAAAATGACCCCCAAAACCTTACCCGATTTTGACGCTTAAAAATAACGACAAGCTAATCGAAATATTTTTCAACACACAAAACGGAGCATTTATGTTATTTTTTTGTCAATTCTGAGCTTAACTTGTACCCATATAAGGTCAAAATGACCCCTTAAACCTAACCCAATCAATTTTGATGGTTAAAAAATAACAACACGATAATCGAAATATTTTTCAACACACAAAACGGAGCATTATTTACGTTATTTTTTTTGTCAATTCCGATCTTAATTTGTATCCATAAAGAGACAAAATGACCCCCAAAACTATAGCCGAGCAATTTTTGCCACGAAAATGAAGAAAAAAATATATTATTTTTATTAATTGAAATAAATAATTAAAATGAATCAATCATATAATGTCACATGTCAAAATTTAATCTTAATAACTAACGGAGTTAACGGCCGTTAGTCATTAATGGCATTTGGTGAATATTTTCAAAGTTCGATGGCATTTGGTGAATTTTGAAAACCTTGATGGCATTTGGTGAATTTTTTAAGTTTTAGTGGCATTTGGTGAAATAGCCGAAAAATATATATAGAACAAATCAGATGGATTTGATGAAAAATTTAAATCGAATTGCATTTGAAAATTAAAAATCAAAAAAATTTTGGGATCAAATTAGATAAAACCAAATGAACACCCTAGGATTGTTAATGAGCCAAGCCTGCTTGTGAATTGTTAGAGCTCGGCTCGAGATCAGGTTTGGCTCGAAATTAAACTAGACATACATGAGTCATGTTAATCTCACCTCGAAAAGGCGAGCAGCTCAAATTATTATTTTAATATGAGTATTATATTTTTCTTTTTACATTTAAATAAAGTTAATAAGCGCTAACAAAAATCCACTATTATAGTTGGGTAGTTGGATAAGTTATGTGAAATAGATGATGTATTTATGGGCTTAAATGATCCTAATTTCAAAATCAAGCTAATAACAAGCCTAATTTCGAAATTGAGCCAATGACGAGCTTGGGTCATGAGGCAAGCTCCACTTTTGAGCACTCGAGCCGAGCTCAATTTTTAAGGCTCGACGAGCCACGCGCTCAAGTTAAGCCTCAAACCCAAGCTCACGAGCTAGAGCCAAGCCCACTAGTATTTAAACTTGGCTTGACTTATTAAGGGGGGCTTTGGTTTGCGGAATGTAGGTATAAGATATGGGTTTAGAATGACTAAAACCCATATCATATGTTTGGTTGTCAAAAATATGTATTTTAAACTCATACCTCAAACCCATGAGGTATGGCGTATGGGATTTTAAAACCTTGGGAGAGAGGTGGGTTTGGCTCATTCCATTCCATTTCATTAGATTTAAATACATGGTATTAAAGGGATGAGAATCCATTCCAGAATTGAACCAAATACATGGTATTAAGTATCAAGTTCCAACCCTTAATCTCATTCCTGATTCTAAACCAATACCACCCAGGTGACCCAGCGAACCAAACGCCCCCTAACAACTCTAGAACATCCCTAAAACTTGTACTATTGTTAATGTGCGGAAATACCTAGACCGCTAGACGACCAATATCAAAGAACTGAGTTCACCATAGAATTTAGAATTTGCACAATTCAAGTCACATACTCACATTATTATATCAAAGTCACAAACATACTACAATTGAAAAAGCATCATTTCAACCCCAAATGAAAACGAAACAACGCCCGTGGACACAAATTCAATGATAAAGTCGCCCATATTTTATTATAAAGTTGGTTCACTTCTTTCGTATACAGTTAATTTTTTAATTTTACTATCATTATCAATTAATTATCTTTATAATTTCATATTCTTATACTCCTAAGTTATGTTAATTTCCTTTTGACATGAACACGTCTTCCCCATTATGGCCGTCACCGTATATCATATTATATCCAAAATCATAGAATTTTGATAAAATCCACCTTAGTATATATAAAAAAAAAAAATCATGGCAAACATTATGATTAAAATTGCGGCTACTTCCTTTGCGCGTTATTTCTTCCCATGTTAGTGGTGTCCACATTCATTTACACCTGAATTACTTGATCTAATTAATCTAATTTTGTAGGCCTTTGGCCAATAATTCATTAAAAAAAAAATTGGAGTTTAGAAAAAGAGGAAGATTTTGCTTTTAGTTTATGGTAATTAAGGTTGATAATCAGAATCTACATTTGAAATTTGTTCATTAGAAATAATACTCCCTTTATTATTACTATAATCAACTCATCTACTAACCCATCATTGACTTGTTTATTCATGAATTTGTTAGTGATTGTTGCCTTCTAAAATTTAGGACAACGAAATATTACTCCAAATACTATGCATTGACATTAGTTAATAAAGTATATGTGATTACTTTATTTAAATAAATAGTTTGAGTCATGTAAATCGTACTAAAAATTTTATGATCCGATTTAACTTAATCGAATGTGATGTAAATAATTAACCAAATTCAAAGGTTAATACAACCGGTAGTATCGAAAGTGTTACTTGTATTCGAGAGATTACGTGCCTAATTGTGTTGCATACGACTCCACCAACCCTGTTAATAACTAACAACATGCGTCACTTGATATTGCGATTATGTTGTTGAGCATGGAGGCTTTAAATTGGTAAATAATGTAATGCAATTTATATTAACTAGCATTGTTACAGTTAGAAGAGAAATTATGATAATTTATATATATAAATTAAAAGAGACACGTACTCCTTGGAGTAGAGATTATAAATTCAATCCGTGTATATATTGATAATTGATACAACCAACTTGTTTATCATAATCTTTAATTTGAAATTGAGATAGCTAGTATGGCTATTACTTCAATTAAATTGATTTGTTGACATCTTCTTTTTGTAGTTGTTAGGGAGCAAACGAAGAACATGATATGACAATATTGCGAACCATATTATTTTGTTGCTAGTTTGTCAGTTTATAATTTAAGCTCATTTTATAGGTAATTCCGTTTGCTAGCTAGTTGAATGAACTTGAAAATGATGCAATTATCTAGGAATGTTGTTATCACCCTACCTAGGTTTACAAGTAAGCCAAGCAACTAGCAAGCACAAGTCAATGGCTTGTAACTTGTAAGTTATAACAACAATAAATACAGCTTAATTAGGAAAAATACCTAAATTTGGTGAGTGTAGATGCATGCATAATTGTATTCCCGCATGACAGAAACGAACTATAATGAGTAAGACGTTTATTCTAAGTGATGTTTCGTATACTTATTGTCATTAGATCATACGGTCTCAACCTAACGTCCCATCTGGCAATTTTAAGATGTTTCATAAAATTCTTATTACTCCGTAAAATTTTCCTATATAGCTATTGAAATCTTTGTAATACGAAGTAATTCAATTGATAGTTTAATACTCCGTACTATTGTTAATTTGTAACTTCAAGTAAATTTTTTTTTTTTTTTCAATTAGATTGGGAAATGGAAGGCAGAATTGAGCTAGAGTACAAGAAGGGCTTTTGGGAATTACATACTCTTTAAGTTTTTCTCTGAAATTGTCATTTTTTTAGTCAAATGCATCTTGCATCATTTTTAGATACTTGAATTTCTCGAGTATATCAGCCCAACTAGTTAATAATAAAAACAATTGACATTATTTTATGAACCACGCTTATAAACAACTTCATAGATCGTAATACAAAGTTATTATTTTTAAATGAAATGGAGAAAAATTTCTATATGACAGAATAGTTGTCTTAGATATGTACAAAGCCTACTATTTTTTCCTTTCACAAGATTGCGTACATTGCATATAATATAAAAAATTATAAACCTTATACTCGTTATATTTAGATATTATACATATTTATCGTGAAGCAAATCAAATGACGAAGATACTTTATACTAGAAGGTCACATTATAAATGACTAAATTGTTAAAAGCTAACATGATATGCCTCAAGAAAACGATGTTCTAATTTCTCCATTCTACCACAAAAAAAAATAGTTAAGAAAAATAAATAAATATTTCGCACCATATCAAGTTATCAACTAATCAATTACCAACCTATATACATCAATACGTATCACAAAGCAACACTTATATTTCGTAGTAAAATGACTAAAATCCGATATGAGATAAACTATACTGTTACCATATTTAACAAGTCATAGGATTATCCGAACGAGATTTGGTAGGTATATTTGCATTGGGGTCATAGAACTAAGATAAATTATAAGAAAGCTTTTGGCTTTTTGCGAAAGATTTTTATTATGTTATCACCTATAAAATTGATTTGCTTAATTTATCACTCCTGTCAATATATATAACTTTAACAAATAATATATCTGAGGGTGAGGGACAGCTCTAACCGTGGTTAAAGCTCTTCCCCCGATTTTAAGAGATCTAAAATAATACGGAATAACAAATACGATAATATATGAAGTATAATTTTTTAATCAAATGACACTAAAAAAATCCTATGTGACCACATCTTTTATTATGAATGAATCTATAAATAAATAAATGACGGTAAAAAGGTAGTGTGCGTCTAGGTCAAATAGAAATGAACAAAGGTGGTGTAATTAACGGTCCAAACTCCCAAAGCTTGTACAATCACAGTTCAGGATAAATTACTATCTCCGTTAAATATTAGTTAAAATTTTGGGGTATTATTTGAGAGACATAAAATATTCCAAATTTTGGAACTAATATTTAATAGAGGTATGAGTACTTATTTACGATTATAGCATAGCCCTTCTTGGTTCCATCCAATAATTATAGTCATGTAAACTATTTTAGGAGAAAAAAAAAAAAGAAAAAACTCTTTTTTTTTTTTTTTTTTTTTTTTTGAAACGAAAATTTGTGTAATAGAGAGATGGAGAATAAATAGAGGAGGGAAAAGAAAAAAGAACAACTACTCCTTATAAAGTAAATTTCGTAGTAAAAAACTTGTAATACATGTCTAATTTAATTTTAAAAGGTTGAGATGACAAGATTGACAACTAATTCAAAATGGAAATAATATAAGTATATCAAGAAACAAGTTTCAAGGACTTTTATCACAATGAGTACAAAATTTCTTTAATAGTACTCATTTATTCATGATTTATTGTAGTGCCTGAATTATTAAGATGAAAGAAAAGCTAGATCTATCCCAAAGCTAATCTTGAGGTTTTAAAATAGTTTCAAATCAATTTCTTGTGATTGTGATGTGTAGAAAATTATGAAGTACCAAATATTTAGTGGCATACCATTATTACATGATGATGACCAATTAATCAGCGACCTATTGCCACCTATAACATCCAATAGAATTGGCCTACTATACATATATTCATACTATACAAAGACATGGAAGCAAGACTTTTTGGCCAAAGGAGAAAAAAAAACCACAAAAATCTAAATTTAAAAGTTTAAACCGATGACTAGCTAAACCTTTTCACTTTTGAGCAATGAGTGAAGGCTCAACGGTCGCGATTAGTGTATAATTTTAATCTCAAACACGACTAAATTGTACACTCTCTTATATTCTTCCCCTTCCTATCACATTGTAATTACATCCAGACGTCCAATTAAAGCATTTTGTCTTTTATCTCGTGGGCTCAAATGAGAAATTTAAAAATTATAACCCCTTTTGTCAAAACATCTACCTACGGTTATATACCCCCGTATAATGACCTGATAAAGGATGTGTCATGTACTTACGAACATTTATTTTTCATTAGTGACTAAACAAAATTACTAACAATTTCGAAGAAAAAGATTAGCTAAGAGAGGACCCCACGTCCAACCCATCTAGAAGAGCAACCTTGACTTTGTGAACCAAACCGCACGCATTGCTGAAATCATTTAAGATTTTGTTTATATAAAGAAACTCACTTTTAACTCAATTTTTTTGGTAATGATCTTTACCTTCACAACATTATTATTCCCTCCTTTACAACACAACCACCTAACTCAAACACACCCTTCTTCTCCTCTGTTTTCTACCCTTTCCTCCTGAATTCCCACATAGTTCACCATCACCATGATCGATTCAGGCACCAAACACCCCGAAAATCGTATCCATTTATACGATCCGGTTGGCCTTCTACACGAAGGCTATGGCGCTTTTAGGCCGTCCAGCCACGCTGTCCGGCCTAGAAGGCAAACTGTTTCCTATGATAATTTTGTAGAAACTACTAATAGTAATTCTCCTTCAGGGATTGGATCTTATGATAGCTTCACCGATGCGAATAGTACCGGTGGTTTACGATCATATGACAGCTTTGAAGTTGATAGTTTGGGGTTAAGATCTTATAATGAGAGCTTCAACTTGGAAGCTACTGATGGCAGAATAAACTCTTTTGACAGTAGTACTAATACTACTACTGCAGCTGATCAACAGGACAGAAATGACGGAGGTCTGAGGTTTATTACAGTCAAGAACGTTGTTGAGGATGATCAGTCTGATGATTCCACACCGCGATTGTGGAGGCCGAGTTCTCCCAAGAGTCCTAAGTCGCTGCGTTCCCCTCTGCATCAGACTACAACTGCTACATCGGCGAATTCTTCTTCTTTATATCCCAGTAGTCCTCCTAAGTCATCATCTGCTGTGAATTCTCCTCCTCTGAATCCATCTAGTCCTAAGTCTGTTAAATTTGCTCCTATGAATCCCACAAGTGTTAAGTCTGCTGTTAATTCTCCTCCTCCGAATCCAACAAGTTTGAACCAGCAACAGTATCAGATGATGTCGCCTTCTTCGAGGACTCAGGCAATAGCCAAAGGTCGGAAAGAGCTAATGGACATGGTTCGGGACTTGCCTGAGAGTTTCTACGAGCTGTCTTTGAGAGACATAGTTGATCAGAAACCCGAGTTGCAGACGCAGAAGGAGAAGGAGAAGGAAATTGAAATTCCTGAAGAAAAGAAACCAAACAAGGAGACTACCAAGGCTAAAGAGACAAAGAAGCAGAAGAAGAGCAGTAGCAAGAAAGTTAAAAAGAGCGAGAGCAAAAAGAAGATGGTGAGGAGTAGGAGTGTTGATAATGGGAAGTTTCTTCTGAAGACATCCGTGTTTCCGATTTTGGGAACAAGGAAAAGCAAGAAAAATTTGAGTGCTGCTAGTAGCTTCAAGGTAGCACCGATGCCAAAAGGAGATTCATCATCTGCTGGACCAGGGAAGGTTGGTGAGAAAGACTGGTGGAAGAGAAAATCGTGCATCTCAAGTGAGAGCGAAAACAGCAATGGTCTGAGTAGCCATAGCATCAGCAGTCGCAGCAGCAGTAGCAGCAGTCGGAGCAATAGCAGCAATGGAAGGTATACTTTGAAAGCTTTTATATTTGCTAATGATTTATTATGCACATCCTTTTAATCCATTTAGTGTTTATATTTACATTCTTTTCATTCCTTTGCATTTGGTGTGCAATTTTATTTGATATGAACATGGACTTTATTCATTTGATTCAAATGAAGAATTAGATTGATCTAACACATCTGTTTTTCGAGTCATCAAGGATTTCCCCTAATGAAAAATAGGATTAATAATGCTTGGATTAGAACAGACGAACTTTCAATCTGTAAGACTCACAGAAATATCTTTAACATATCATTTCAACAGAACTGAAAAATAAAAGCATATTTCAATTTCAGGCTTTCAGCTATGGATTTAGATGTAGGCCATTCAACAATTCCCAATATAGGATCCAAACGTCGTTTACATTTAGTACGAAACCAATAAGTGATATAAAGATATCCCAAGCCTTAGACCCCAGCCCACATCTCTAGTTATGCATTTTTTTTTTTTCAGATTCAATGTATGATCAGATGAGAAAAATTGAAGATCATGATTAATGATCGAATGAGGAAAATCAAAGACCATGAAAGGTGAAGGAAAGTAAATGATCCATTTTAAGAGAGGGAGTTGGATGGATAAATTATTGTTAACATTATTGTTAGCTATATTCATTGAGATCTCTTTTTATTCCTGAAAAAGATCTTCCCTTATAATTGACCTGAAAAAGATCTTCCTTCTTATTCCTGTAAGATGAACTTTGCTTTTTATATGAAAAAATAGAATGATTTTTTTGTTTCACTTAACTAAAATGATTCTCTTTCTTATGCAGGCGCAGCAATAGATTTCTACTTAGCTGTTGCATATTCAATGGAAGAAGAATCGGAGGCCATAAATAAACCTGAAGACAGCTGCCTCCCTGAAAGTGGAAGGCAATAGCTATATTGTTTTTTGTAAGTATTTCTCATAAATAAGTCACTCGTAGTAGAAGAAACCAGATTTTGGCAGCAAAGTTTGCTGTAAAGAATGTGTACATTCTATACATTGTGCTTTATTATTGTGGATTGTCTCCAAATAGGCAAGCTTTCTCACATGGTATATAGTTCGCCAACAGAATCCTAGAGTAATTTTTTTCAGTTTAATTTCACCCATAGTAAGACAGGTACAATAGAATGAAGCAAGTTACTCTATATTATGCTAAAATACCACCTAATATTCACTACAATAGGTATCCCCATATAAGATCACCCTATATCCTTCTGAAAGTCGTCCCAGTCTCCCGACTCCCATATCAACTACCTGTCTTATGTAAGATAACTGCTCTTTCACCAAAATTCAACAATGCGTTACATTCAATTGGCTATACTCAGACAATACTAATCAAACTCTACCTTCACAATTCACAAAACACCACAGTACAATCCGTTTTTAATAAGATTCGTCCAAAAGAAAAAACATAAAACATCATACAGTTTGAACAGGCAGGAAACACTTTTGATCCAGGGAACATGAAGATTGTGGTTTAGAACTACAATGATATCAATCCAGAAAAGAAGTAATTAAAGACCAGAAAGAGATTCTGGGACTTACAACCTCATAATAGCAAAAAAGGGACCATTCATATAGGCCAGGATGAATTTAGATCCTCAACTACATTTTTGATGATGGAGATTCTCTGACATGAATGCTCTGCTAGCCAACTAGCCGTCACACCTGTCACTATCTAAAAGGACTGAAACAGATGGAATAACACTTTGTCTAAGCTTCTACCAGCTTTATAATTAAAGCACAAATCCACAATTAAAACAATTATTGATACAAGTATGATCTCATGTAAAAGTGCTCTGAAAGCCAAGTATGTGTACAGATTAACCACTGATCTGATACTGAGTGCAAGCATTAGCAGAACAGCAGCTGCTGTTAGTAAATATTACCAGATACAAGTACTTATGACAAAGAAGTAAAGAGCAGAAAATAATTCTAGGCCTTACAATGTCGTTGTAGCATCAAAGAGACCATTCATAGCCAATCCAGAATGACTTTTAAACCCTCAATCGTGTTTTCGTTGATAAAAATTCCCTGATATGAAGCCACTGCTAGCCGTCACTATCTGAAACAGATGGAAATACATTTTGTCTAAGTCTCTACCATCTCTACAATTGCAGCACAATGCACAATCACAACACTTTTAGAGTATAAGATGCAAGCATAATCTTATGTACAAGCACTCCTAAAGCCAATCATGTGTACTGAACGCCACGTTATGTTGACTATTGATCTGATACTAAGTGCAAGCATTTGCAGTTGATGTTACTCCCTCCGTCCCTAAATTAGATTCCTAATTCTAGCATTTATTCCTCGCATAATAGAGAAAAATAAGAATGTAATTTAGGAACAGAGAGAGTAATAAATAACTGAATATTACCAACTATGCCCTGATCCAATATCTTGTTAAAATTTTCCATGACATTGGCCTAAAATGAAGGGTTAAAGTGTCCATACCCGTGTTGGAGTATCAATGATCTGACATGACACGCGGGTACTTGATTCAAGTAACATAGATTACAACTTACAAGCAAATACTGAACTCAGCTAGAGTTAAGTTTTGTGTAAATTAATTTTTCTTGCCTTTCATAAACATCACATATGAATATTTGTATGCACAACCTACGGAGTATTATACAAGATTACAAGTATAGGCCTTGCCATATCTTAACAAGCACAATGCAAGCCCATGCATGTGGCCCAAACGAATTAATCACGACACTACCCAAAAAAGTCTCGCCTTATTCAAGTTGGAACATGTAAATCACAAATAATTAAGTACGCAGATTTCCGCTAGCCGAACACTCTAATGAAATTATCGACAAGCTAATCTTCGGTTGATCCCCTAACTACCATCCTAAATCGCCAGAAAGACTTGCGTGAACCTGATCCACAATAATGTTATTGTGAACCTGATATTTATACACACGCAACTGACATTATATTGAACATAGTGACCCTTAGTTTTGACATAATAACCTTAATTTTAACATAGTAACCTTTATTAAAACTAATATAACGTTTAATATTATTGTGAACTTAAAGTACAACGTGATGACTCTAATGTTAACATATTGACCTTTATTATTCATATTAACCCGTATATAAAATATTTCGTTAAAAAAATTAACCTCTTATAATATTTTTATTTCAACATAGAGACCTTTTTTCAATTATAGTAACTTTTTTTTTTTACTAATAAAACAAACATAGTTACTCAAATGTTAGTGGTCCACAATAAATTAGTGTGAACCAGATCCATTTAAAAATTGGTACATAAATCGCATACGGACATAAAATTCAATGTGTCCACAATTATTGTTATGAAATCATTCGACGAAACACCTGATATAGCGTGGATATAAGGTAGTTGAAAAGATAAGTTAAGTGTGTAAACTTTGGCGAGTGACAACGATACTTCCTCCGCCCCTAAATTACGTGAAAGAATTGATGCTAGAAATAGTGTCATAACCAATAGGAATGTAATTCGGAATAACACAAATTAATTTAATCTAAAACATACTGTAATTAATTAATAGGGGGACAAGATTTTCTACAGGGGTGGAATTTAGCATACAAACTTTGATAGTGATTTATGAAGTTTACCTGCGAAAATTAATCTCTTGGACATTTTGGCGAACACGTTGTGAGCATCAAGTACAGCATAGAAAAAATGTAAGGTAAGTTGACATGTGATTGGTTGAAATGTCTGGTGATAAGAAAGGTTGAATTTCTAAATCTTGGTTTCATTTCAAAAGTTGGAAGTTAAGCAGAATGGTTTAGTGGGCACCTATATTGCTAAATTTGTGCAATTCGGGAAGTATACTTGAATAGAATCATTATGTGGATATGTCATGGGTTACCCGCCTTGTTCGGAAGGCGGGCAATGTCCCCGACTCCCTCGTAGTGGTTGTGGGGGATTCTTGGCGATTTCATAGTCCTATAATAGTCTTAAGGTTCGTTACCGACTAGAGGCAAATTCAGGAATTTAGTGACAGGGTTCGATATTAAACTCATTATAAGATAATAATAATAATAATAATATCATAATATATGCTACGTACATCATTATTTTTTGCTAGCTAAAATAGTAAAATTATATCAAAATTTTATACTGTATTAGTCTTTATGTGTAGCCATTATCGTCAACAACATATACCAGTTTAGGTAAACAAATAAAGCAATAATATAATGCAATGTTAAGCTTTTATAAAATGGTTAGTCGAGTTTTTATTAAGTGAATTATTACCAAAAAGTACAAGTGAATTCAGCTTTTACTGAGAATGTGACAATTCAGTGTATATAAAGTAAAACTTCAGTACGCAGTGATAACATGAGATTATTGAATAGTTGAATATGACAATATATATAATGTTTTCAATTGATAATATAATCAACAATAACATGCTTTGTAAGTTGAATGTGACAATATAATGGTTATGTATTGACAGTTAAATCAGCAGCGTGTTCTATGATATTATCTTTAAAAACAAACCAAAAAAACTAAGAGATTATCTAGTCAACCCAACCGTACTTAACAACTGCTATTAAGCCTAAAACAAAACTCAAAAGTTGTCATAATCATTAATCAAATTAGTAAACCAGATTTGGAAATTATGTTCATACACTGCTTTAGAGGCAAATCAAGTTGAGGACTGACTTTCAAATTATTAAGTTGAGTAAGAAAGTAAGATGATCCTCAATCAAGAGCTCATCAAATTATATTCCTTGTTAGTAGATGATATTAGAGGAGCTTTGATGTCATGTTCATTATTATACTTCCTATGTTATTTTATACTTGCAACATTTTTTTTTTATGCTTGTTGATGCATTCTTTCAATCGTTATCTTATATTATTAATATGCTAAAATTATACTCCCTTCATTTCTTAATCAGAATTCTACTTCTCTCTATTATGTGAGGAATAAATGCTAGAAGTAGGAATCTAATTAAGGGATGCATGGATTATAGTCCTTTGTGGACAATTTTTACGAGAATTAATAAACATAAAGAATAGGTAGTAAAAGTACATAGGAATAGTAAAATTGTATTGGATATGCAAAATAAGTAGAGAGAGAAAGTAATAAAAGTACATGAAAAAACAAAATTTACATTGGAAAAGTTAAATTTGCACAAATATTAATGCAAATTGGAGAATATTTTGATAAAAAGAATAATAATATAAGGAATGGAGGGATTATTTGATATTAAAATAGTACTCCGATTTAAGCGAATAATGTAAAAATCAAAGTGTTGCATGTATTAAGGGCATGTTCTCTTCCGTTGAAATTCAGTTCAGTTCAGTTCAACTCAGTTCAGTTCAGTTCAGTTCAGTTCAGCTCTTAATTTACGTCTAATGATATTGCTAATGATATAAAGCCAAATTTCATTCTTTTAAGCTCTTATTACAACGACAACAACAACAACAACAACAACAACAACAACAACAACAACAACAATATTAACAGTAATAATAATAATAATAATAATAATAATAATAATAATAATAATAATAATAATAATAATAATAATAATAATAATAATAATAATAATAATAATAATAATAATAATAATAATAATAATAATAATAATAATCAATAAGTAGTAAATAATAATAATAATAATAATCAATAAATAATAATAATAATAACAATAATAATTGAAATAATAATAATAATAATAATAAATAAATAATAATAATAATATCAATAAATAATATATTACACTTTTCTATATTCCTATATTTGTTTCAAACTAGGAAACCCTGACCTCTCTTTTCTCTCTTCTCTCTCTAAAAGCCTAGCCTCCATTGTTGAATTTTAGAGGGGCTTCTGTTTCGGGGTTTTCTGATGTCCTGCGGGAGAGTTACAATTCCGAGACTGGAACCGGACGCCTGTACCTGCAAAACAACGGAGACTCCTGGTGGTGGGAGCTCCGCCTCCAACGGTCAAGTTAGTACTTGATTAAGGAGTAATTAATGCGGAAATTAAAGTGATTGGGTCTCTCTAGGTGAGAGTGTTTAATGTATGTAATCTGCTTTTTTAGCGTGATCA